GGAGCCCGGGACGTTTGAGCTGGAGCGAACTGACGATTCGGACGACGAAAGCTCGGAACAGGAACAGCGGCCGCAGCCACCGCTGGAAGCCGCTGCTGCGCAGCCCGAGTCTGAACTGGTGGTGCAGTACGCGGTCAACGTTGTGGATCCATCGCTGATTATTCTGGCAAACCCGCAAAACGCGGACTCAGAGGCCATTGTGCTGAAGGTGAGCCAGTTCCTTGTGACGAGCCAGAACATTCTGAACGTGAATGCGATTGGCATGGGCATGTTTCTTTGCAAAATGGACGCATACGAGACGAGCCGGCTGCGGGTTGTGGACGATTTCTCGGCCAGTTTCAACCTGGACTCGCGCGAGTCGACGGCAACGCAGTTCCTCAGCGTGGTCGACATGACGATCGACCCGCTCATGATGCGGATCTCGCTCAGGGATATCCGGCTGGCACTAGAAATAATCAACAAGGCATCGTCGATGTACGCGCAGATCCAGGAGGCCGCCAAGAAAGAGGACCATGCCACGCCTGCTACCACGTACGTCACGTTCCCTGACGAGCTGGGCAAGAAGTTCAGCAAGTATGCGCCGTCGCTGCTCTCGTCGATGTCGCGGAGTACGCGGCATACCGACGGTGGCACGGACGAGCTTGTGGTGATTGTCAAGAACGAGCGGCTAAAGCTGAATGTTTCTGGGCTGCGTCTGGTCGTCATTGGAGACGTGCACGAGCTACCAGTGTTGGACATGGAAGTGAAGCCGTTCTTGGTGACGGCGAAGAACTGGTCTACGGACCTGGAGGCCGATACAAGCATCAAATCGCTGGTGAACATTTTCAACTACTCAACGTCCGCGTGGGAACCGCTGCTGGAGCCGTGGTCATTCAGCGTCCACGTTTCCAAAGTGAGCGAGCCGTCGCCGTCGTTCACAGTGGACGTTGCGTCGCGCGAGTTGGCCGAGATCACGGTCACGTCGCGTAGCATCGCGCTGCTCTCGCACGTGAGCGCGCTGATCACCGAGGACACTGACCTCAAGCCGCGCGGCGAGGACGCGCCGTACCGGATCATCAACGAGACGGGCCACGACCTGCACATCTGGATCGATGACGGCAATCCGAGCCTGCAGGAGCGGCGGCAGCTGACAGTGCTCAAAAACAACGAGACGGTGCCGTGGTCGTTTGAGGACTGGCGCAAGGTCAGAGAGACGCTCGACGTGGACGCCGAGTTGAACTTCATCGGTGTCGAGCTTTTGGACTCGCCTTACTCGCCGGTGCGTCGGATTTCGCTGCGCAGCGAGGGCGAGGACGTATTTATGCTCAGCCCGAAGCTGAAGGAAGGCTATCACAACCGGATTGCGTGCGAGATCGTGCTGGGCGAGGATAAAGTCAAGAAGGTGTATTTGAAGTCCACGCTGACGATCCAGAATTTCACGCAGACGCCGATCCGCGTCGCGTCGCTCGCGCGGTCGGAAACTGCAGACGACGTGCTGGATGAGTTGGTGATTGCGGCCGGCGAGCGTCACGCGGTCCCCGTGGAATACGTCTACGACAGCCGGCTTGCGATCCGGCCGGAGGTGCACGAGCAGTCGTTTGGGTGGTCGTCGTCCAAGATCATGGGCAGCGACACGACAATCGACTTCGACTGGCGCGCCATCATGAAGAACGACATGGTGCTGGAATGTCCACAGCGTGACGAGGGCGTGGCAAAACGGTACTTTTTCCGTGCACACGCCACGTTCAACGAAAAAGAGGTGCTCGCCCAAATATATCCTCACATGACTATCAATATCACGCCGCCGCTCGAGATCGAAAACCTGCTGCCATTCGATATCAGCTGGAAAGTGTTCCAGAAAGGCTTCAAGACGTGGACCGGTGGTCTGAAAAAGGGAGCCACGAAATCGATCCACGTTGTGGACATGAATGCGATTCTGATGCTGCACATCAAGCCGCTGCACTCCAAATACCGCGAGTCGGAGGCCGGGTTCATCAACGTTCCGGACCGCTCGCGCATCCCGCTGAGCAAACGGCTCACGCTCAAAAGCGAGGACGGCCAGCGGCTGCATCTGGGACTGCACTACGTGAACAGCAACCGCTCAGGGCTGAAAATTCTGATCTACTCGCCGTATCTCGTGCTCAACCGTACCGGCAAGGACATCAGTCTGAGCGACAAATTCAACAAGATGATTTGTGAGGCGCACTCGCCGGACGCGCCAGAGCAGACTGTTCCCGGACTGTTTTCGTTCGACTACGACGCTTCGGACACGAAAAGGTTTATGGGCGGCAATTTGGAGGAGAATCGGGCCGTTCTTCGTGTTGGCGACTCGCAGTCAAGCCCTCACATCAGTCTGGACAAGATCGGGCAGTCATTCGAGGTGAAAGTGCCGTTGAAAGACCGCGAGCTCGAAAACGACGTGGGCATCCATATCACCGAGGGAGAGGGAATATACTCTCTGACTAAGGTGATCAGCATTGTTCCCCGTTATGTGATCCGCAATAGTCTGGCGGACGCGGTCCAGGTGGCCAAGGTGGGTGCTTCCGGCGTGCTGAACATCGAGCCTGGCCAGTTCCGTCCGCTGTACGAGATGCCTCGAACGGATGCCAAACAGCTGCAGATTGAGTTCTCGGGCAGAAAGGCCGCACTGTCGGCACCATTTGGCATCAACGACATGGGCGAGGTGTTCATTCGGGTGCAGAAGCTGAACGAAAACGCGCACAAGTTGGTGCGTGTGGTGATCAGCACGGAGGCAGCAGCGATATTCGTGGACATCCTGGACGCCAAGGACATGTGGCCGTATTCGATCCGCAACTTCAGCGACTACGAGTTCTTCATCTACCAGTCGGACCCGAATATCAACGAGGAGGGCCGGCGTGTGTCGCAGGTTCCTTTCAAGCCTATTTACTACCGTATCCCGCCAAAGAGCGCCATGCCGTACGCGTGGGACTATCCGGCTGCGCAGTACAAGGAGCTAGTTCTGCGGAGCGGCTCCCGCGAGCGGTACGTGCATCTGGCCGAGATCGGCACGCTTATGCCGATGAAAATAGGCAAGGGAGCCGACGGCACAACCAAGATCGTTGACCTCAACGTGGTGGCCGACGGCACGATCCAGTCTCTCATCATCTCGAATTACGACCCGAAAACGAGCATGTACCAGCTCAAGCACAACAGCTCGTCACAGTCTGTCGTCGGGGGTACGACCAACGCGGACAAGTTTGAGACCATTGAGAAGGACGAAAATTACTTCACCAAGGTGCTTGTGCGGTTTGAAGGTGTGGGCGTGTCGTTGATCAACACCAAACACCAGGAGCTCTGTTATACCACTATGCGTGGCATGGAGCTGCGCTACAACGAGTCTGACATCTACCAAAACTTCAGCTTCAAGCTCAAGTGGATCCAGGTCGATAACCAGCTGTACCCAAGCATCTACCCGATCATCGTGTATCCATCGGTTGTGCCAAAATCGACGGCCGAGATGAACGACCATCCAGCTTTCTCAATGGCGATCTCGCGGCTCAAAGACGAAACTCATGGCGTCAATTATATCAAGTATGCCACGATGCTGCTGCAGGAAATGTCGATCGAGGTGGATGAGGATTTTTTGTTTGCGCTGCTCGACTTTTCCAAGATTCCGGGCGCCGCATGGAACAAAGACGTCCAGAACGTGCTCTGGGACGAGAACCTGCAGATCCCAGAGCCGCCAACGGTGCGCTCGGGCAACGACCTTTATTTCGAGGCTTTGCACTTGCAACCATTGCAGTTTAACCTCTCCTTTGTGCGCACCGAGCGCGTCAACACAGAGGATGCGGCCGAGGCGCAGAACGCGCTTGCTGTCGTCTTTAACATTCTCACAATGGCCATCGGCAACATCAACGACGCGCCCGTGCGCCTTGGCTCGCTCTTCCTCGAGAACATCCGTACACCGCTCCCGTACCTCTTGCAGAACATCAGCGAGCACTACCGGCAGGCGTTCCTGTACCAGGTGTACAAGGTGCTGGGGTCTGCAGACGTGCTGGGCAACCCTGTGGGACTGTTCAATAATATCAGCTCGGGCGTGATGGATATATTCTACGAGCCGTACCAGGGCTTCATTATGACGGATCGGCCACAGGAGCTGGGCATTGGGCTGGCCAAAGGCGGGTTGAGCTTTGTGAAGAAGTCTGTTTTTGGTTTCAGCGACAGCTTTGCGAGGTTCACAGGCTCCATGGCCAAGGGACTGACTGCTGCGACAATGGACAAGAATTTCCAGGAGCGGCGTCGGCTCTTGAGACAGCGCAACAAGCCGAAACACCCGATATATGGCATCACGACGGGCGCAACGTCGCTGGTGGAGGGCATTTCGAGCGGACTGGCTGGAATTGCGACGGCCCCGATCGAGGGCGCTAACCAGGAGGGCACGTCTGGGTTTTTCAAAGGGCTGGGCAAAGGTTTAATTGGGCTCCCTACAAAGACGGCTACAGGGCTCTTTGACTTTGCTAACAACATCAGCGAGGGAATCCGCAACACGGCGACCGCGTTTGATGCTGAGGGCCTCGACAAAGTGCGGCTGCCGCGGCTCATCAACCCGGACGGCACGCTGACGCCGTTCAGCGAGAGAGAAGCACAGGGCCAGTTCTGGCTCAAGAGCTGTGAGGGTGGGAAATTCTTTGACGACCGGTACCTTGCGCACGTGATTCTTCCTGGCCAGGAGCACTGTGTTATTGTGAGCATGAAGCGGATCGTCATTGTGTCGATCGTCAACATGACCGTCGAATGGGAAATCCTGTATGACCAAATAGACAGCATCACGCTGGAGAACTCGGGCATTCGCATCAGACAGAAACGAGCTTCCGGTGTTGAGCGGTTTATTCCCATCCCTGACCCAGCGGATAAGAAATTTCTGTACAGCAAGATTGCCGTTGCGGTGCAGGAGTTCAACAAGAGGTGTATTGTTGCTCTATAAAAAATGGCTAGATACAAGTCCGGTACGTTTTTGTAGGCTGTTGATGAATTTTGCTGCCGACTCCGCCCCGATGCCCTCCAGTCCTGGCGTCGCGCACTCGACAGCGCTGTCTATGGTGGCCACCGTCAGTTTTCCATCTTTGAGAGAGAATTGTCCTGGCTGTGCAGACTCGTCGCGTGTGGTAGCTGGTTGCAAATTTGGCAGGTACACCCGTTTGAGGATGGGCTGGTTTTCCTTGGAGATGGCCTGGACGTTGGCAAAGAGCGGACCGAGCGTGTTCTGTCGCCGTAGGATCTGTTTTGTGGTGAAGTTATTCCAGTCGATGCGTTTGTCTGAAGGCTTTATTTTCGCCGCGTACGAGTAGCTTTCAGGTGAGACGAAAGAAGGGTAATTTTGCGGCTTGTACAGGCCAGTGTCCAGAGAATTTTTCAGCAGCCTGCCGCCGGCATCCGCCAGTTTCTCGCACAGAGAGTCAAGGGTCTCCGATTCGGTGATCTCTTGTCTATCCTGTGCCAGAATGCGCCCACGGTCGAATTTCTTCTTATCGAGCGTCTGCAAGGACACTCCGGTGTAATTCTGGTGGCTGAGTAGCGCGCGTTGCATGGGAGCCGGCCCGGAGAACGCTGGCAGCAACGACGGGTGCACGTTGAGACCCGGGTATTTGAGCGACTCGAGGAAGAAGGCAGGGATGAGAAGTCCAAAAGACACAGCCACGCAGATGTCGAACTGGCCGCACAGCCTGTCAAAGTCGGCACGTTGATCTGCACGCACAAGCGGCAGACCTGTTTGGTTGGCGTAGCTCACGATGAGCGGTTCCTTGTACTGTTTGAGCCCGCGGCCACTCAGCTTGGCCGTCCGTGCAACCACGGTGATCGCGTCGGCGTATTTGGGAAGAAGGTGCGCCAGGCACCGGATCGAAAACTGGTCAGAGCCAAAGTATGCGATTTTGAGCATAAATTTTCAGCAGTGAATATTTTTATTTATTAGCACAAAAGCACACACTTGTTCTCTACCGATGGCTCCGTCTGCGTGGGTGATTGTCACGTGCGCGTCCATAGCGAGCCTCAATTGCGGAACGCTCTACTTCTTTGGCGCGTTTTCGCCACAGGTGGCCTCCCAGCTACGGTACACCGCCGCACAAACGTCGCGAATCGCAATAGCTGGACAGTCTGCCACGATCCTGGCAGGCCCGCCGTGCGGACACGTTATCGACGCTGTGGGCTTCACTTTTCCGGCGGTGTTGGGCTCCTTGGCAATTTGGCTCGGGTACCTGCTGTTCTACAAGCAGTACTCGTCTGCTGCATCAAATTTACCGTACAGCTGCTTTTTATTTGCGCTGATCGGCGTCGGTAGCACTGGACTCGGCTCTGCCTGCGTGAAAAGCAGCATGCTTGCGTGGCCTGCGCGCAAAGGGCTTGCCGTGGCGCTACCGCTGGCATGCTACGGCGCCAGCGGCATCTTCTTTTCCAGCCTGGGGAGCTGGCTTACGCCAGGCGACACAGCCGCGTTTCTGAAGATGGTGGCTAGCGTAACGTTCGGAATCGGACTGGCCACGGCGCCCGTGCTCAGCGTGTACGACTGGCGGCGGCCGCGTGTGCCTGCAACTAACGTGTCTGCGTCGATTCCGATGCAGGTGCTGTCGTCGCCGCGCCCTGTGCTGCGCCACACAGAGAAGCCGCATGCCCTCAGGACACCCGAGTTCTGGATGGTCACAGCGGCTCTGGGTCTTCTTGCCGGCATAGGACAGATGTACATCTACGGTCTCGGCATGATTGTGTGCTCGCTGTATGCGTTGCCGTCGCAAACGCAGCAGGCGCTCGCCGCGTACGATGTGGCGGTGCAGGAGCACCAGCACGCGCAAGTGAGCCTGCTCTCGCTGTGCTCGACAGGCGGGCGACTAGTGGGCGGGCTGGTCGCAGACGAGTTCCATGCGCGCGTGCGGCGTTCGCGAACGTACCTGCTGCTAGTTCCCGCCACGCTGATCGGCGCGGTCCAGATTGGTGGCATTTTTTCGCACAACCTGCGTACGCTTTCTTTTCTGTCTGTGGGGCTGGGGTTGGGGTACGGCTCGCTGTACACACTGACGCCGCTGGTAGTGAGCGATCTGTGGGGGATGACGAGCTTCAGCACGAACTGGGGGCTGTGCAACCTGACTCCCGTGGTGACGAACCTCGTGCTGAGCACGCTGTTCGCCCGCAACTACGATCTGCATACTGAAAATCTGGAGATATCTGGGGAAACGAGACGGCTGTGCATGGCCGGACACAGGTGTTACAACGGCGCGTTCTGGGGCACACTGGGCTTGGCGGTGGTTGCGTGCGGATTCCTGGGCGCGCTGGTGAGCCGGCAGACGCACTACACTCCACTGCAAAAAGAGGAGACCGAATAAATATTTTTTTTTTTATTTTTCTATAAGTTAGTTGTACCTGCTGAACAACCATGAGCTCGTCCTCGGCGTGGAAATTTGCACACCAGATCTTCAACAAACAAAACCTCAAGTATGTTTTCACGACACATTTTTGGGGGCCCGTGTCGAACTTTGGGCTTCCCATCGCGGCCATCATGGATATCAGAAACAAGTCGCCAGAGGTGATCAGCGGACCAATGACGGGCTCGCTGATTGTGTATTCTTTGGTGTTTATGCGCTACGCGCTCGCCGTGAAACCAGCCAATTACCTTCTTTTTGTGTGTCACTTGCTCAACGAAGGAGCCCAGATTGGCCAGGGATACAGGTATATAAAGTACCACTACGGCAACAAGGTGCAGAAATAGGCGTTCTGTTTATAAAGTCGACATAAATATCATTCCTTAGTCAAACAGGCCCTTGGCAATGGGCACCTGCGTCGGGTCCAGCCTGTCAGGGTCGAAGGGCAACGGCTCGGGCTGGGAGGCTTGTTCGCGGGCCACCGCCGGCGGACTCCGAGGCCGGTCCTGTGTAGCTGTGTCGTGCGGCTTGTTATTCCAGACGATCTGGGCGGCAGCAGTCGACTCCGTCCGCTCGGACACAAACAGCGACTCTGCCGACTGTGGCTGTTTTGGCGGCTCGGCAAACGGAGCAGACTCTGAGGCCTCGCTGTCGCTGATCATGGTCAGCGTAAACATGCACACCTCGCACCGCTCGTGCTCTCCCCTCGCGACGCGGCGCTCAAACACGATCGGAGAGCCCTCGTAGCTGAAATTGATGGAGCACTCGCCACTTTCAGCACCTGCCAGCTGCACAAAAGTGCGGAAGTCGCGCAACCTGAACGCGATACTGTGTTTTTGGTTTCCTGGAAGGGTGTTTTCGTCCACCAGGTCGTTCAGACTCACTTGCATCGACAAACTCATCGGCTGCGTCGCCAGCGACGCATTCTTCTGGCTCAGCATTTCCTGGCGGTTGAATCCGTGCAAAAGCATCTTGCGTGCACTGGGGTACACCTCAAGTCTGAAGTCCTCGAGACCCTGACCAAACATGCTCAGGAACCTTTTCAGAATGCGAATCTCCATCACCAGATGGTGCACGCGGTCTTCCTGGTCCTGTGTACGCACTAGGCGGGCATAAACCCTGCTGATCTTGAGATCATCCGACGCGTATCCGGGTCGGAACGTCAGCGAGTAGTTTTTGGTCACCCCGTTCGTGCGCATGGCCTCTACGAACAGCCTGTTGCTGAATATCTGACTTGAATCGGGCACGTTCTCGTGGATCAGCAGCAGTTTCAAAGACTCTGTGTTTTCGCAGTCTTTGAAGCACACATTCATGGTTTTGCTGTTGATCAGAAAGCTGAACGTCTGCTGGTTGTTCACAACCGGCAAATCGCCTTCTATGGTAAATGTGTGGAAAAACTCCTGACGAAAAGTGCACGTCAAAGAGCTGGTTTTGTTGATGTTCACGGCCGTCAGCAGAAGCTCGTACTTGTCCCCAGCCTCCTTCAACGTGACCTTAATGGTGTCAGAAATGGTCGACAGCGCGTAGACGCAACGCGTCCATATGACGGCCTCTGTGAAGAGAGCCTCGAATTTAAAAGGCATACAATATTTTTTATAAAGTACAAAACAATTTCCCACCAATCGATTAATTTAGTCGAAAGTCTTCTTTTTACCCTTGAAGGCCACAGGAATGGAATTGGAGCCGCTTCCGCTGGAACGCTCTCTGCCGAAGCCACCGCGAGCTCCCCCGCGTCCGCCGCCAAATCCTCCACGGCCACCTCGAGGGGTAGGCGTGCCGTTACGAGAACCTCCGTTAGGGTCTCTTGGAGCACTAAAGTCCAGACGCACAGGTCTGCCAGCAATGTACTCGCCGTTCAGGGCCTCCAAAGCCGCCTTGGCCTCGTCAACAGTGCTGAATTGGACGTATCCGAATCCCTTAGGCTGCTCGGACTCAGGGTGGGTAGGGATCCTGATGCCCAAAACGGTACCGTGCTGCTCAAAGAACTCCTTCAAAGTGTCTCTGTCGGCCTGGAACGAGAGATTTCCCACAAACAGGGTGTCAGAAGGCTGCGACGGAGTGTCGCCGTACTTCTTGGCTCTGTCCTGGAACTTCTGGTTCTGAGACGGTGTCTGAGGCTTCGAAGTCGACATGTCAAGATTAATTGGTCTGCCCTCGATCTCCTTGCCCTGGAACTGTTCCAGGGCTTTCTGTGCCTGTTCTTTGGACTCGAAGTCAACGTATCCGTACCCTCTCGAACGACCGGTTTCCCGCTCAGTCATCACTCTGGCAGACAAAACTCCGTCCAGAGATTGGAACTCCTCTAAAAGTCTGCGGTCGTCGACTGCCCACGCCAGTCTTCCGACAAACAGAGTGGCCATCTCCTTAGGTTTCTTAGTTGGGGTCTCTTGCTCTTCTTCAGCCTTTCTCTTGCGAGGCTCTGAGGCATCAGATGCAGACTCAGAGCTGGCATTGTCTGAACTGTCACTATCAGAGTCTTCGCTATCAGAGCTGTCACTATCAGAGCTGTCACTATCGCTACTGGAGCTCTTCTTCGCCGTACTTTTCTCCTTCTCTTCCTCGGACTCAGAGTCAGAAGAGCTCGAAGAATCAGAGCTCGAAGAATCAGAAGAATCAGAGCTATCGGAGTCGGAACTGTCAGAATCAGAACTGTCGGAGTCAGAACTGTCGGAATCAGAACTGTCAGAACTGTCAGAACTGTCAGAACTATCAGAACTATCAGAACTTTCCTTCTTTTCTTCCTTCTTTTCTTCTTTTATCTTCTTCTCTGTCTTCTCCTTCTTCTCTTCCTCCTCAGAGTCAGACTCTGAATCAGAGCTCTCAGAACTATCAGAGTCGCTAGAGTCGTCAGAATCACTAGAATCACTAGAATCAGACGAGTCGCTAGAATCACTAGAATCACTAGAATCTTTCTCACCCTCAGAATCACTCGAATCGCTCGAATCGCTCGAATCGCTAGAGTCACTAGACTCGGTCTCACTTTCCTCCTCCTCTTCCTCCTTCTTCTTACCTTTACCCTTCGTCTTGATCTCCTTAGCCTTCTCCTTCGAAGCCTTCACCTCCTTCTCCGCTTTCTTCCCCTTCAGTGCTTCTTTGGCTGGCTTAACAGCCTTCTTAATGTCTCCTTTACCCATATTGATATTTTTTTTTTTTATTGAAAAAAAAAATTTATTAAAATTTTTTCACCCTCCTTATCAGGAATCCGTATGAACGCCTTGGTATTGCCAGGACAGCCAATTGTCCCCGTCCATACGAGCAACCACACGTATGTGTCAGGCCCCAACACGCTACAGATAGAGAAAACAGTTGATGGAACGGTTGTTCCGTGCATTGTCGCTACCACCTTGGGGTCTGTGCACTTTACCACCAACGATAACACGTCCACCGTTTCAGTGCAATCGAGTGGAGCTAAAATCGCCAATTTCACGCCTTCCGAAAACGACGTGGTCATCGCCAAAGTTACAAAGATTTCGTCCAACAAAGTCCACCTCGATATCCTTCACGTTCAAGACGCAAGCATTCATCTATCTAATTTATTACTGAACGATTACGGCGAGAATTTCAAAGCCGTGATTCGCTCCACAGACATCCGTTCCACAGATCGAGACAAGGTGAAAGTGGGAGAATGTTTTAGACCAGGAGATATCGTCAAGGCTCTGGTGATTTCTCTGGGAGATGGAATTAATTACTACCTGTCCACAGCAAGGAACGATTTAGGAGTGATACACGCGCGTTCGAAATCGGGCAAGCTACTCTACCCGCTAGACTGGGAAACGATGGTGGTGCCCGAAACGGGCGAGCTGGAACCGCGCAAGTGTGCCAACATTAATTAGTACCGCTAGTCATTTGGAATATTACTCTAACGAATTTAGTCTTTGGAGCAGTCCCGACCGAACAGTGACACCTTGATCCAGTCGCTGATCACAAGAAGCTTGCTTCTGACTCCTAATATCATGGAAACGTATGCCGTTCTCCAGAAGAAGAACGTGAGGCTTCCTCCAAGAGCAACAGTGGACCACGAGCCCCATGTAAGGTCGGCCACGGCTCTCTCAGAACCAACGTATGCCAGAGCACCCTGGTGTCTGTAGGAGAACGGTTTGAGACTGTTTTTGTATCTCTCAAGACGCTTCAAGTGTTTTTCTTTGGAAGCCTGGTCTTTTTCCAAAGATATGACATACTCGAGGTCGTCGATCTTAGCCAGCTTGTTGAAGTGATCAGCTAAAAACTCTCCCTGCTGGTGAGCAACCTGGGCAGTTGGGGCATTGGCAGTAAAAGTGCAGTCTCCCAAAGCATAGATGTGGTCGTCTCCGTCAAGCTTCATGTACTCATCGACAAGAAGACCTCTTCTGGCCGTCTTCTGCTCGGTGATTTTATCAGCAAGCGAACGGGTCAACTCTCTTTGGGCATTACCACCGGCCCACACAAGTGTACCGTACGGAATCACCACCTCTTCAGTGGTGCCGTCTGGCTTTTTGGCAGAAGCGTAAACGTTCTTAGCATCCACTTTTTTCACCATGGTATTGGTTCTCAAATCAACATGTTGGGTCTTGAAAACCTCCTTCGTGTACTCAATCAGCTTAGGATGGAACATGTTCAAAATGTTAGGCAAAGCCTCCACCAAGACCACCTTCATTTCCTTGTCGATTCCTGGAATGAACTTGAGCAGGTCCTGGTCGATGTAGTCTTTCACCTCAGCAGCCAACTCAACACCGGTTGGGCCTCCACCACAAACAACAAACGTCAGGAGACGCTTGCGGTCCTCTGAGTCTTCTGGCAACAGTCTGGATGCCTCAATGGCGTTGAAAAGTTTCTGTCTCACCGCAGTGGCGTCCTGGGCCTCTTTCAAGAACGATGCGTACTCTGGAATACCGGGAATGCCAAACGTATTGACTTTTGCTCCAACAGCGTAGATCAAATAGTCATAATTCAGCGTCTTCTCGATCGGATCATCTTTGTTCACAAACGCTTCTCCGTGTGCGAAGTTCATGTTTTTGTGAACAATCTTGACAGTCTGGTTCACAGGATCCACGTCGGTTGCAGCAGCTTCATAATAAATCACCTCGCCCGGAGTTTGACGGGCAATAGTCCGAACAGGGTCGCAAATCGAATTGGATCCAACAGTGGAGGTTGGAACAGACGGCAGAAGTGGAGTAAACAGGAAATAGTTACGTGGAGAAACAATCGTCACGTTATACTGTGTGGTGTCCAACTTATGCAAGAATGAGATTGCTCCCCAGCCGGAACCCAGAATAACAACGTTCTTCTTCTTGTTTCCGTTTTCTTTCAAGAGAGACTGTGGCTTCTGTAAACCTGGGTTGGTCTCCTTATAAACAGAGTAGGTCAGGTAAGCAGTTTCCGCCAAAGCGGCAGCGATAAGCCCATAAAAAGTGTAGGTGAAAAATCCGGCCTTTTTGCGCTTCGGAGTCGAAATAGGCTGGACCGGCTCGGCTGGCTTGATCGTCTGTAGAATCTTTGGGGAGTGTCCAAACAGACGTCTTTGTCCGAGGCGTCTACCCACTGCCGCTAGTTGTGCCTGCATTATTTAGGATATTTCGAAAAAATACTGCCGACAAACACAATTCTTATACTAGAACTTGTCGAGGTCGTGTGAGAAAATTAATTTTTTATGGGGTCAGAATACTAGCAAATCATGGAGCCCTCCGGTATCGGTCCACAGTCACCCTCACCCCATCAACGTTTCGTACTCCGTAAATTCCTGCTAGTTTTAGTCCATTTTAAATCCCCATTGACCCGCAGACACCCTGAGTTTGCCTTCCCCGCTCGACACCCCGTCCTACTAGACCGTCGATCCGTAGTGGTCACTCTGGGTGTCCGGTGGTGGTCAGCGGGGTTTTTTCTCATGACCAAAATTCATGGATTACCGTTGAGAAAAGAGGACTAATATGTCCCACTTGTAATTGGCTGGAGCGCTGTAAGTAAAACGTACCACGGGTGTTTTGAAGGCCTTTCGAAGGTAAGAACCGCTTGGAGAGGCCGAGGAAGTCTTGATTCCAAGGATATCAGAGCGGACTTTCGCCTCGCTTTCATTTCACTCACAATGGGAACATGCTTTGAGCTCTGTGTTGGCCCCGTAAGAGATGAAACTCTGGATCGGATCTATGGTTAGCGTATGGGTATCATGGCTTAAGACGGCGTCCACAAGTAAAGAATAAAGCCTTATAATACAACGGTTTGAAACAGAAATACGCCTATATAGATGTTCATGTGTGAAAACTTCGCTGCCGCAGCATATAAATATCAATTGTAGACTGCTTTGTGTGTGTGAATTGTTTTCGGGTCGAAGAAAAATAAGAATATTTGCTACAGCCAGGTGCCAAACAATAAACAATAACTTGAAATTCTGGGCTGTCGGCACTGGTTCCTCGCAGAACACAAAAGGCTAGGCTGCATGAGACAGCAGGAGCTAGAGGCAATACTTTCACAGGGGTGAGCGTCGCATCGACAACGTCTCATTAATGCTGGCAGCCGAACAAGATGATCAGCAGACCAAAATATCATGGCCACTTTAAGCAAACCTGAAACTACCAGCAGTTTCTCAAGACTGTTGCTGTCTGTCAAATCAAAATCTAACAATAAACTTGTGAGTGTTAAACAACACGAAGAGAAAAAAAGGCACAATAAGGTTGTAGAAGCTCTCTGTAGAGAAGTGGCCTTTTTCCTAAAACGTGGGCTAACAGGCCCGAAGAGGCCAAAAAGTGCCTAAATTTTCCCCAGGCAGCAATATGTAAACACACGCACTTCTTTCCTATTCTATCCATGATTGTCCTCCGTTTCTTTTGTCTCTTCATTTGAACAATAAGAATCTTATACATCGATCAGCGTCTGCAGACTCCACCCTCTGGGAAAGAAAGTGTCAATTTCATTGTATAAATAGGACACAGATTCTCGGGGACCAAGGCATACATCATTAACGAATACCAAATGGACGCTGAACAACAATTGGGCTACTCCCCAGCTCTCAAGACCTCCAAATTTGGTCTCTCCATCACCATGAAAAATCACTTGGTGGCTGCCTCTGGTGAATTTATCGGTACCTTCATCTTCCTATGGGTCGCATACATGATTGCCCAGATTGCCAACCAGGACGAGTTCTACTCCTCCGAGGGTTCCAATCCTGCCAAGCTCATCATGATCTCCTTCGGTTTCGGTTTTGGTGTCATGGTTGCCATTTTCCTCACCTGTAGAGTTTCTGGTGGTAACCTCAACCCTGCAGTCACCCTGTCCCTGGTGCTTGCAAGAGCCATTTCGCCGGTTCGTGGTATTATCATGATGTTGTCCCAGATGGTGGCTGGTATGGCCGCTGCTGGTGCAGCCTCTGCTATGACTCCCGGCCCAGTGGCTTTTGCTAACGGTCTTGGCGGAGGATGCTCCAAGAGTAGAGGTCTTTTCATTGAGATGTTCGGTACCACTTTGCTGTGCATCACTGTTCTGATGACCGCTGTGGAGCAATCGAACCTTTCAGATTACGCTCCAGTGTGCATTGGTCTATCGCTTTTCCTGGGTCACTTAATTTGTGTCTACTACACTGGTGCCGGCCTGAACCCAGCCAGAACGTTTGGCCCATGTATTGCTTCCAGATCCTTCCCTGTTTACCACTGGATCTACTGGGTGGGCCCAATTCTTGGTTCTGTTCTTGCCTTCTCCATTTGGCAATTTTGGAAATTGCTCGATTACGAGACTTGCGTTGTTGAGGAGGGAGATTAGATAACCCAGTAATAATATGACTAATAAATGCCGTACTCAAATTTCTACTAGTAAACAATTAAAATCGCGTAAATAAATTTGTGATGGTGCGTAGATCTGCCAGATTGAGAGAGCAGGATGTCCAAGAGGCTAGTCCAGAGCCCAAAAAACAAAAGAGAGAGGTGAAAACCCCGGCTGCAGGCAAATTGACTGAGGAGAAGAAGTCAGTGGAAAAAAAGGAGTCTACCAAAGTGGAGCCAAAGAAAACGCTACAAGAAGGGGACGTGCTTCCTGACGATCTGGAACTGGAGAACCAAGACGGCGAGAAAGTTGCCGTTGCACAGTACGCGAAGGACGCTAAGATTTTGGTCGTGTTCTTGTATCCAAGAGCCTCGACTCCAGGATGTACGCGTCAAGCCGTCGGTTTCAGAGACAAAGCCGAGGAATTGACTAAATTGGGCGTCACTGTAGTGGGGCTTAGCTCAGATTCGCCTAAAGCACAGACTAATTTTAAATCCAAGCAACAACTGCCCTACGAATTGTGGTCTGACCCCTCAAAACAGCTGATCGGGCTGCTTGGCGCTAAAAAACACCCTAGCGGCATCGTCAGGTCAGACTTTATTTTCAAGGATGGAATTCTGAGGGTCAAACGAGTCGGTGTGTCGCCAGAGAAGAGCTTCAATGGTGTGATCGAGCTAGTCAAGGGCCTCGGTGAGTGAGTTTTATCTTTGCGTCTTGCAGAATGTTCGGTTCCTGCGCGGAAAATACCGAAGTTTTCACTATGCAAAGTGCGCGGATTGCCGACGATGGCAATAATTAGAGATCGCAGCTTGCATATTGTTGCAATTCCAGCCTGATACATCATGTGAACATCTCGGACATGCGTTTCAATACGAATATAAATGGACAGAGAATAATCAGTATTAGCCGGCCAAACTTAGTAGCGAGAAAAATTTTTTATTGTGCCAGCATCACCGTTGCATGCTTATGTTTAATTAGTAGAAGCGGCGCTGCATAAAGCAGGTTTGGTAATGTTTCGTTTTGTAGGTTCCTGTGGCGCGGAGTGCGCATTCCCAACCATGATAGTTGTCATCTAGAACAGCTCTACTGGCGGAACAGGGCTTCCCTGTACACATGCGGCCTTTGGTACTCTAAATCCAAGCCAAACAATTCTCGTACCACCGACTATTTTTCCGCCACGATTTCCACATACGCCCACACTCACCTGAGAGGTACGTCGGCGCACGCACTGTCCGTATTGTAGTATTTGCTTCTCTTAATAAGTGGTTTTCCGTAACGTCAGTTGTCGCATCCTGAGAACATGAAACACAAATTTTTTATTGTCTCTGACGCTAAAAAGTTTTCGGTGCATCTATAATGCATCGCTAATAAGTTGTTGCTGCTTCTCACCGCTAAAATACAAGCGTAGGAACAGATATTTCAAGATTATTTCAACTGCAAATTATAAAACCCTTTGGACGTCTGTCATTCTGAATTTCTCCCAAATTCCCTTTTCCAACTTCATTCTAATCGTTCATGACCCACTGAATAGTTCCCCTTTTGATAAGAAATGCAAACATCTCGGGTCTTGCCAAGTCACCATGGAAAATACTACAGATAACAACGCCGACAAAAATGCAAACAAGATCACCTTGCCCTCTATCCGAGATTTGAGGCCTGACTTGACTCCATCGCCGCCGCAACTTCCGCCTCCGAGAGTAAGCCTACCTCGAATATCGGCGCCCTCCACGTCTCCCGATCAGTCGACCCTTCCTCCTCCATCTCCTTACCTGATCTCATCGCCCTATCCGCCCCCACGGCAGTACGGGGCCTCTCCGCAGCATCCGTACCCTATTTCACAGCCCCAGTACATCTCTGCATACCACCAAGAGCCTGTCGACTACCGTCCTCCCGCTGGCCCAAATTACTACATCCCGCCTGCGCCCAATACTCAACCATATGCCATAGGGCACCCCCACATGGTCCTGCCGCCTCCTGGCCATGTCTCGTCGCGATACGTTTCCAAATCCAGCAGCGCGTGGAGCCCTGAGGACGACAAGCTATTGAGAATGCTAAAGGAGGAGAAGAACTACGGTTGGAGAGAAATCGCCTCGTATTTTCCCAACAGAACGATTAACGCGTGCCAATTCCGCTGGCGAAGGCTCGTGGTGGGCGTGGCAGGCAAAAAACACTCCGATGGATCCGTCTCGCCCAAGAGCGCGCGCTCGAAACTACGCTCTCGTGAGAATGAAGACTCTGACACTGAAACGGCCAAAGAAGATGAGAAGGAGGACGAAAAGGACAGAGACAAGCACAAAGACATAAAGGCCGTCGACCTCAAGCGACTGCTCAACTAATAGACTAGCATAGAACTGTAGAACTAGATGTACCGATATATGTCGGTAAACGATTCACACCTGGGACCAGTAGAAACGAAAACCACAGGCAAACTGCTCACATAAATCTCCAATATTACTGCTTCTTCTATATGCTTAACGGTTACTCTTTGCAACTCTCTCCAACTCGTCCTTCTTCTTGATGGCGTACGAGGTAGAAGAGCCCTTGGCAGCGTTAATCAGTTCCTCAGCAAGACATTCAGCAATGGTCTTGACGTTTCTGAAAGCAGCCTCTCTGGCACCGATAGTCAACAGAGCAATGGCCTGGTTGACTCTTCTGAGTGGAGAAACATCAACAGCCTGTCTTCTAACAGTACCGGCAGATCCAATTCTGGTGGAGTCTTCTCTTGGACCGGTGTTGACGATGGCGTCAACAATGACCTGGAGTGGGTTTTGTTCGGTCAAAACGTTGATAATCTCCATGGCGTGCTTGACGATTCTCACAGCCTTGAGTTTCTTACCGTTGTTTCTACCGTTCATCATCAAAGAGTTGGTCAATCTCTCGACAATAGGACACTGAGCCTTTCTGAATCTCTTAGAGGCGTATCTGCCAGCAGTGTGGGAAACGTACACTGGCTGTCTGATCTGGATGTAATCGGTCAGGGAGATGTCCTTGACGGTGACGTCTTCAAAAGACCACTTGTTGAACAGCTTCACCTCTTGGGTGCCGGCCTGGATCTCTTTAGGGATCGGAGTGGCAAGCTCGACGAACTTGACCTCCACTGGTTCGGAGACGATCTCCTCCTCGTATTGTTCGACTGGTTGTTGTGCTTCGACTTCAGACATGGTTGATTGGAAAGTTTTTCACGCTTGAAAATTTTCAAATCCGCAAAAAATACAGTCACAAACTTGAGTTTTTCGCATGCGCACGATCGAAATTTTCTTATCCCTGGAATTGACTTTCTGGCTCAATTAGGAAGTCTAAAAACTGCTGGGGTTACCCGGTGTCCTCTCTACCTCCAGAACCCCTCAAACTACCCCCGTATGTCCATCACCCGCTCCGTGCAGCATCACCCATTTTGTCTGACGTCTAGATAGCATTGGAATCTAGTCACTAGAATGTTCAGCATCTTGGACTCTGTTAATTTCTATGCGGGGATGTGGGGTATAAATATTTCTGCTCTCCCCTCGTCCTGCTACTGTTGCTTACCATGTCCAACCTAACGTTCCAGCATGAGGCCCAATTGCCCCGGCTTCCCGTCCCTGCTCTGCTGGACACCGTGGACCAGGCGCTCAAGGCTCTGAAACCGCTCGTTTCTGCCGAGGAGTACCGCCATCTTGAGGGGAAATCGTTTGAGCTTCTCAACTCAGACATCGTTCAGCTCCTCCAGCAGCACTTGCTTGAAAGCTCCAAGCTTAATCACAATTATTTGGAATCTGAGGGAATTTCCCCTACCACGGCAAATGTGTATGGCGATCTCAGAGGCCATACGTTGCCAAGGAATCCCTTCTTCATTTTTGAAGACGATCCCCTCAAATCGATGCCCCCCACACAGGCTTTCCGGGCTTCGATTTTGATCACCTCTGCATTGCGCTTTATTGTAGCTCTGCGCCAGGATCTCCTCACGCCGGACACGGCCCCGAAAAGCAAACAGCCGCTCTCCATGAGCTCCTATCATAATCTGTTTGGAACCACCATCGTGCCCTTCAACAACGGTGTCACCATAAAAAGATGTACTGATTACCAGAATAGCAGGCACATTGTTGTGATGTCCAGATCCCAGTTCTACGTTCTCGAAGTGCTTTCTGAAGACCATCAGATCTGGTTCTCCAAGCACGAGCTGAAAGAAATTCTGCTCGAAATCATGGAGGACTCAAAGAAGGAAGACCAGGCAGACGTGTCAAGGCATGCAATTGGCTCCTTCACGACTGAACTCAAGTCCACATGGAGGCACGCCCGCTCGTGTCTGGAACGCTCGAACCAGGACGTTTTGGAAATCCTTGATAATGCGCTATTTGTGGTGTCTCTTGACCACGAGGCCCCAACTGATGACCTGCAGAAAGTGCAGTATGTTTCGCATGGAACGTCAAGAATTGATTCAAACGGGATCCAGGTCGGCACATGTACCAATCGCTACTACGACAAGCTGAATCTGATCATTACAGAAAACTCTGTCGCAGCCTGTGTGTATCCTGCTGCATGCATGGATGGAACCACTGTGCTGCGGTTCGTGAGCGATATTTACACAGACTCGGTTTTGCGTCTAGCCAGGAAGATCAATGGTACAAACTACACCCTCTGGAAGAACGTCAACACTGTTCCGATCAATAGCCAGCTGGACAAACCAACGTTCCAAAAGCTCGAATTCGGGCTCACTCCTGAACTTAGGTCAGGCCTGCACCTTGCGGAGACCCGTCTAGCAGACATTATTCACCAGCACGAGTACGTTTCCAGAACAGTGACGACTCTTGGAAACAGCGTTTTTGCCAACAAACTTAACCTCCCTGCCGACTCGATCGTTCAGCTGGCTATTCAGATTACGTACTATGCACTTTACGGAAAGCCAGCGCCAACGCTCGAGCCTGTCAGTACTCGCAAGTTCAGAGACGCTCGAACGGAGCCAATATGCATCCAGAGCGAGGCTGTGCTTGCTCTGTGCCAGGCGTTCATCTCTCAAACCTCAGGCTCCCAGAAATGGAACTTGCTTCTTGATGCCGTTGACGAGCACTCGCAAAAAGTACGCAACGCTTCCAGAGGACAGGGATTTGAGCGGCATCTCAGTGCCCTAAGATCGGCGTTCATACAGCTTGATCTTCTTCAGAAGCTGCATCCAAAAGTTTCAAGCTGTCAGACGCGTCAGGTGCCGCCGTTCTTATTTGAGCCTGCTCTCGACCATCTGTACAAGCCTGAGCTCCTTGTTGCAAATTGCGGAAACCCGGCGTTGCATCTATTTGGTGTCACCCCGGCAATCCCTACCGGCTTTGGAATTGGCTACATCATCAAGGATGACATGATCTCGATTGTGGCTTCGTCGCAATGGAGACAGACAGACAGGTTTTTGGAAACGTTGGAGAGTGTTTTTGACGAAATCAAGTCTCTATGGAAAGAGGAGGGAAGTGTCTCTGACAAGTCCACAGAGCGCAGCAGAGCCAGAGAGCTGGAATCTTACGTTGGTGCGATTCCCAAATCCATGGTTTCCAGTAACTACACGTTAAAGAGCTCCAATATCTTGGGTGGTTACGATTATTTTGACGTGAACGAGTTGGCAGCAAGGTCGGGCAACAGCACTGCCATGCACAGTAGCATGAGCACACGGTCCAACAGTGCGATGAACATAGAGACAACGCGCGATCAGGGTGTGGGAAAGCGCATTCGCGTGAACGAGGACTAGTCATGGTGGATTATCTGCGAATCAAGGTGCGGAAAATTGTATCCGAGGATCAGGTTCGCCGCCACCAAGAGCGAGGCGTTCAGAACAAAGCACACCCACAGTGCTCCATGCTGGGCCATGATACCAGTGAAGTTTGGCGAGATGGCTCTGACGGCTGTTTTCGCCAGGTTTACCGTGCCCATCACTTTTGGAAGCTCTTCTGAGGTCGTCACGGACGAGAGAAGAATCTGTCGCGGTATCACATCAAATGCGGTGAACGTTTGATTGAAAAGCAGGAAAACAGATGCAGATGCTAAGGTTCTGCCGAGCAACGGAATGCAGAGCAGGGCCAGCCCGCAAGGAATCTGTGTGAGGATCGATGACTTGACAGGCCCGATGTGTTTAGCAAACCAGGCAGACGGAATTGCAGCGAGTGCTTGTAAGATGTCGAGCGACGAGAAAATGGCTCCTAGAGTGGCTGCTGGGGCGTCAAACTCGTATTTGAAATAATATATGATCCATGCCAAGGGCATGAATCCAGCGCCGAAGGAATCGATCGTAAACGTGAGCAGCAGCTTGAAAAGCGTTTTCTGCGTCGATGGCGAGAGTCCCGTGACGGTCTGGTGTTCGACAGTCGATACGAGGAGAGGAGTAGAATCATTAGGCTCGCTCGATTCCTGCGGAACATTTTTATTCGCAGCATTTTCATAGGTTGGGACATAGGAAATTTCACACTTGGGTGATAGCAGTAGCATTGACAACATCTTTACAGCCGAAATGCCGCAGTAGATAATGAATGTGTATCTATAGGCGTCCTTGTGGACGAAATTGTACTTTGAAACCATTGACTGGACGAAAAATCCTGCCACTAGTGCCCCCAGAGACGATCCCGCGCACGAGAGAACGGCGTGCACAGCAAATACTTCTGGCCGATGGTTTGGCGGGGTCAACTTTGCGAGAACAGCTTCCTCGATGGACTTGAACGGGCCTGTCTCGCTTCCAGATGGTGAAATCACACCTAACACCGAGGCGCTGAGAAGCAGGCCGAAGCTATCTGTTCCCGACGCAAACACAGCGCCAGATATCAGCATCAAGAAGCTTCCAAGCACCATGATGCGACGATGGCCTATTTTGTTCGAGTTCCACACCAGAATGTACGACAGCAGGGTATCTCCTATCATGGTGAGTGACATGAACAGTCCGATCAATGACTCCTTGATGTGCAACTCTTTGAGATACAAGGTCAGTACCTGGTTGGTAAGACTGAAAGATGCCATTCGCACAAACACCGAGAACCACAGCACTTTTGTGTCTGAGCCAGCATGGCCGATGCTCTCAAAAAAATGCACCATATTATTGATAAAAAAAAATTACAATTCTAAATACATTTATTTAACAAAAGGGAGATCCCTACTACCAGGTCAAATCCGAATGAGTACTGATGGACAGCCATTGGTGAAAACCGATAAGGAGGCGACGAGGTCAAAGAAAATTGCCTGTGTCGAATGCCGACAGCAGAAGGCCAAGTGCGACGCCCATGAAACGGCCCCCGAGCCCTGTACCAGATGCAAACGACGGAAATTGCCCTGTGAGCTGAAATCAGACTACAAGAGAACTTACAAGCGCGCCAAAATAGCACAGTTAGAGAAAGAGTATGAATTTCTTCGACAACGACTTCAGGGAGACGTGAGAAGTATGGAGTATGCTCCTCAGATTACTACACTTCCTCCGCTGAATGCCGTTACCGCCCCTCTTCCCGCTCCTCCACCGCCGCAGACCATACCTCCAATTCTACCGTTTGTGTCTCCATCCCCATCTCCAGCTACTGCGCCCGCTACGGCACCAACGGGTCCAGCAGTGATGCGGAACATGACCGAGTCCACCTTTTTTGGCACTAAAGGCCCCGATCCAGTTGCTGTTCCCCGAGTACATATAGACCCGTCTCTGTACATGTGCTCCCCGAAATCTCTTGGCGACGTTAATCTTTCGGAGGATCAAATCAGGGCGCTTTTTTACGAGTACGTTGAACGCTACCACCCGATCCTACCCGTCGTTGATGTCCACAAAGGTGTGGAAAAATTGTACAAATTGTGTCCAGTGCTTTTTTGGACCATCATGTACACAGGACTACGGAAACATCAGTCATCGACCATTTCCAGAGAGGAAAGTAGCCGGCTCTATTTTGCACTCTCTCCCATTCTCAAGTCCGCTTTGGCAGAACTCGCAATTGCGCCAATCACGAGATATGCACCTGCAGAGATGGAGGAGGCCATTCTCAACGTTTCCAGTGTTTTCTCTGTTCAGGCCTTACTAATTTACACCTACTGGCCTCCTTTAAAGTCCTCGTTGAGCGCTGATGCGAGCTGGAACTCAATAGGAATGGCCATTTTCCAGGCTATCAGAATTGGACTCCATGTGCCGGGCCATTCTTCTGATGGTATGAAAACGAACAACATGGATCTATTACAGGAGCAGGTGAGAACTTGGCTATGCTGTAACGCGGTGTCCCAAATTATTGGCACTGCGTTTGGTTTTCCTAGCTTTGTCCAGCTCGACACGTCTTTGTTGATGTCGTGCAAGCCAAACAGTGCGTTGGAGATTCCTGACTCTCTGAGGCAGATGGTTGAAATCCAGTTGTTTGAGGACTGTCTGGCCAAAACACTGAACAGTAATCCGCTGGACCCTCTGCGACTAGTGGATGCCTCAGAAAGACTCCCGTTGCTCCAGCTACTACACAATCAACTGGACCAGCTGGAAATTAAGCTGCTGATGGACTTCGCCCATCCTGTCGACGACATGCTGCGGATGAACCTTTACGCTGCCAGACTGCACATCACAACATACTATTTCCTGGACACCGACCGAATTGCACCTTTCGAGCTCACCAAAGGCATGACCAAAGCATATAATGCTGCGTTGGCCGTTATTATGCACTGCAAAGATGCCCAGGCCAGAGATAAAGGTTTCATGAAATACATGCCAGGGGTCCATGTCTTGACAATCTGGCAGGCTGCCTTTATCATTGCCAAACTCGTGCACTCCTCGTATTCCTCGTTCGTGGATGTTGGTGCTGGAAAGGAGGCTTACCAAAGCGCAATTGATCTCGTTTTAAAGGCTTCGGTCGTCAAGCACGACATGGCACACAGATCCTCCGGAATCATGCGCTCGCTCTGGCCCCTGTTCAAGACGCTTCATGAACGTGGAGACGAGTTCCAGAAAGTTACTGTCCGTTCGCGGATGGCTGCGAGCGTTTTTTTCGACTGTCTATGGATTTTGCGCGAGAAGAGCGGTATGATCAAGCTGGCACCGCGCGACAGCTCCTCGAACGTCGACAGCGGAGCAGCAGACGAAGAGTCGGAGTCGGAGGCCTACGAAGACGCTGTAGACTCTAACTCGGAGCCTGAGGCGACACCCGATGAGCAACAGATTGCCAAGGACGTTCACGACACGCCTGGTTCGTCTATTTCGTCCCAGTCGCGGAGACGGAGAAAACAAAGAAGCTTGTCAAACACGCTGCATCCAGAATCCTCTGCCCGTAAAATTATCAAAACAATTCCACTTGATCCGCAGCCGATAGCTTTGAGCGACAAGCAGGACCGCAGCAGTGCCGCTTCCAGCAGTAAGGCGTCGCCATTTTTGTCACAGTACAAATCGCCTCCGGAGCAGGCCCAGGTGCAACCGGAAAGAACGAAAAAGACGCGCAAATCAGACACGAGCGAAACCCGCGAGTTCCCGCTAGACTCGTGGGAGATGGTGACGGACATCGACTCGGACTTTCTGTTTAAGAATATCGACACAGTGATGGATGTGTTCGGGTTCCACGCTGAGTAAAGTGTCTGAAGGACGATCGACGCACCAGAATTTCTCCGTAGACGTTGAAAAAATTGTTGGTGAAAAAAATCGATTAAAAAAAGTACCTACAAACTATTCATCATGCCGACCGAACTTCAGGACGTAGTTCCCGACATCGTCATTGGCGGTAACCAGGATGGGACTCAGAATGATCAGTATGTTGCTCAGGAGGGAGACGACAGCGAAAACGAACAGGAAACACAGAAGGGGAAAAAAGTGAGTTTTGTGACATCTGATGACGAAAAGGAACACGAAGACGAGCTTGAGAGACGCAGAAAGGAGTTTGAGGAAGGAGGAGGTCTTCCAGAGCAGCCAGATAACCCTGATTTCTCGTCGTTGACTCCTTTGTCACCAGAAATCATCAACAGACAAGCCACCATTAACATCGGTACTATTGGTCACGTTGCCCACGGAAAGAGTACTGTCGTCCGCGCTATTTCCGGAGTTCAAACTGTTAGATTCAAGAACGAGCTGGAAAGAAACATTACGATCAAGTTGGGATACGCTAACGCCAAAATCTACAGATGCGACAATGAGGAGTGCCCAGAGCCAGGATGTTACCGTTCTTTTGAGAGCAGTAAGGAGATTCACCCAAAGTGTGAAAGAGAAGGTTGCACGGGAAGATACCAGTTGGTTAGACATGTTTCGTTTGTTGACTGTCCAGGTCACGATATCTTGATGAGTACTATGTTGTCGGGAGCAGCCGTCATGGATGCTGCTTTACTACTTATTGCAGGTAACGAGTCTTGTCCACAGCCGCAAACGTCTGAGCATTTGGCGGCCATCGAGATCATGAAGCTGAAGCACGTGATCATCTTGCAAAACAAGGTCGATCTTATGAAAGAGGAGGCTGCTCTGGAGCACGAGAAGTCCATCCTAAAGTTCATCAAGGGCACGATCGCCGACGGCGCTCCAATCATTCCTATTTCTGCACAACTTAAATATAACATCGACGCTGTCAACATGTGCATGGTGAACTCGATCCCAGTGCCTCTGAGAGACTTCTCTGCCCAGCCCCAGCTCATTGTGATTAGATCCTTTGATGTGAACAAGCCAGGTTCCGAGATTGAAGAGCTGAAGGGGGGTGTTGCTGGAGGATCCATTTTGACTGGTGTGTTCAAGATCGGAGATGAAATTGAGGTCAGACCAGGTATCGTCACCAAAGACGATAACGGAAAGATTCAGTGCAAGCCTATTTTCTCGAGCATTGTTTCGCTGTATGCTGAGAACAACGACCTGAAGTTTGCTGTTCCCGGAGGTCTGATCGGTGTGGGTACTAACATTGACCCTACTCTGTGTAGAGCAGATCGTCTTGTTGGCCAGGTTGTTGGATCCAAGGGACATCTTCCATCGGTTTTCACTGACATTGAGATCAACTACTTCCTGCTCAGAAGGCTGCTGGGTGTCAAAACTGATGGCCAGAAACAAGCTCGTGTCAGGAAACTTGAGGTTGATGACGTGCTGATGGTGAATATCGGATCCACTGCTACAGGAGCCAGAGTCGTTGCTGTCAAAGCAGATATGGCTAGATTGACGCTCACATCGCCGGCCTGTACCGAGATTAATGAGAAGATCGCTTTGTCTAGACGTATTGACAAGCACTTCAGATTGATTGGATGGGCTACTATCAAAAAAGGAACCACGATAGATCCAGTTAATTAAGTATGGATAAATTTACCTTTTGATCTTGTATCCAAAATTAATCATTACAGAAAAATAAATCTGTACAATTATATATCATTTTGTTTGTTTAATGATCGATACAGGGAGTTCTTTGAGAATATCGGATTCTAGAAACTTAGGCAGCGAGTCCTTTGCCATTAGCTCAAAAACATGGCTCTTTACCTCCTCGTAAAGCGGCATTATTCCGGCCAGAGACTCCAAAATGGGGGCAATTGAGTTGTCTGTGGGCGACGGCGTTGGAGGGTCCACAAGTTTGATGCTTTGCAGGTCCAAGGTGAGTTGAGACGGGTCCTTTTTGTTGGCCGGGATGTCCGTCCTGGGTGGCGGAGTTGGAGCTTGGATCTCTGCATTTAATTTCACCTCTTTGGGAGCACGCTGCTCTGACATTACCATTTTGCGACTGATATCAGTTCGGAGTCTAGAGTTGATATTCAGCTCAAACGGGGCTCCCTGTGCCAGATACGCGGTATAGATGTTAAATGCGTCGCTGAGACAGTCGGTGGACAGCTTGATGACCGCTGCGGAAATGGTAGCCTTGCGTTTTGCGCGCAGAGGCGTCAGCAAAAGGAACATTTTCTCCCGTTCTTTTAGCTTTAGCAACTTCTTGAGTGTCTTGAACTTTTTCTCCAGCAGCTGAATGTCATTGTATACGTCCAAATTTTCTACAGAGAATTCGTCAACCAGATGAGTGCGAAACTGGTATTTCATTCCTGGATCCTCAAGCACGTCTTTCAGAGAGATTTGCGACATCAGAGACTGTTGTCCCACACCCCATGTCTCCGACTCTTTATCTAACTTGGTCAAGTTTTCGTCCGGTAGTGTCCAAGGAACTAGCCTTCTGCCCTCTTTGGTCAGAAAATAATAGGCGTTTCTGCGAGGGATGAATTTGGAAGCATTAGGGAAGGTCTCACCATTCAACAAGTAAAACAACCCCAAGTTCCAGAGCAGTCCAGCTACTTTAACAGCCTCGTCATGAGAAAATACGTCAGTGCAATCCAACAGCCACTGCACCAGCGCTTTACCAGTAAAACAGGTCCCCGTATTTTCTTTGCTACCGTCTGGCTTCTCGACTACTTTATTGTGGAAAAGACGGACCCCCTTCGAAGACACATAGTATTGAACGTGTGAATCTGAGTCGGGATTGGTGAAGAACCTGTGATGGAACGGCGAAACCGGGTCTTTTGCGATTTTTTCGACCGGTTGCTCTAGCTCAACTGGCTGGGCAGAGGCTCTTTTTTCGTTCAGAAACGCGTAGAACGAATCCTGAGACGCCATTTCAAAGGGGCCAAATTCATTGGCAGTCCCAAAAGTCTCTTCAGTGTAGCTCCTCGATAAATCTGGCAGCTCGTCGGGCGGCATGTTGGGTGACCAGAAATTCTTGGTCGGCCCCATCAAATGCACGAATAGCACCTTATTCCAGTATTCGCTGTGCACGATTGCGCCAGTTCTGGAGTTGCGCTCAAATGAGATCAGTTCCATGGAGTTCAGGTTACTTTTAAGGATTTGGGGAACATTGTTGTGCCCTCGGATACCATATTTCGAGCAGAACGAGCTCAAGATAGCAACGCCCTTCGGTGTCGGCTGGAGCAGCATACTGGACTTCAGTTTTGACCGAGTCTTGTCCTCAGGTGCGTGCAGTAGCCTTGCGTTCATGAACAGCTGGAGCAGATCTCTCGCTGTCTTTGCCTTGACCTCATAGGAAATGTTGATGCAGGTAGCTGTGTTTTCGAGGTGGATCCTCAACTTTTGCATCGTGGCCAGGCCTTTTTCCAAGCTGAACGAGTACGGGTAGTTCGTTTTGAAAGCCAGCTTGAGCAATTTATGGTCTTTTTCGCGCTCTGCTTTCAGGTTCAGGCAGTACAAAAGACATGAATAGATATCTTTGAGATCCTTAACACTGATATCTCCACAAGGAATTGTGTTGAAGCTCTTATTTACCACTCCTTGGACTTTCTTTGGCTGCTCAGGCATCAGTCGGAGACCACAAATTTCGTCTGTTACCGAGTACAGGTGCACACGGGGCGTTCCTGCGTATCCTACATATTTATATCGTGGAGCTAAACTTGAAACATGCCGTCATCGAGCTTCGATCCCGCTATGGAGATAGCTGATTGCGGAAATTTTAATGCGTCGAAAAGTTTCATATATATGAAACCATTATGACAGTGCAGAGTGCATGCAACAAGAATCAGCTTGCAAGCCATGTCTTTGGATGAAATATCTGATCCGATCCCCCGTCACTCAAAGGGACAATCAGGCGGAATGAAGGTCTTCAGGACATTTGGAACTTGGAATAAAACCCATCGTGCTTCGTTTGCTATTGTTCCTACAGAAGTATTTGCATGTTTGTGTGCAAAGACTTGAAGAGCCTACAGATGATGAGTGTGACCAGCGTCCGCAAAGGCATCTGTGAATTATTTTTTTTAATAGATCGTACGATCAGAAGAGAAATCCAAAACAGACAGCATCCCGGATTTCCTTCACTGGGCTACGCTGTAATTATCCACAAGTTGTATTCGATTTGATGATCTCCTATGAAGAGTTGTTCTTGTTTTGTTCCATGATGACTCGGTGTCTGGCCATCATATGCGCCTTGAGCTCGGCTAGAGACCCTGGCCGACTCACTGCGACGTCGTAAGCGCTCTCCGACCTGATCACAGATCCAATTGACATGAATAGTCCAAAGGTAGCTGCTGAGCCGAGAATATATTGGCCCAGCGTGTTCATCACTCCGTTAGGTGCTCCATGTCTTAAGATAGTCAAGCCACCAAACATGAGGCCAGTCACGACTCCAACGGTGCTCTAAATGTTAGGACTTTTATGTCTCAATACCTACACCCATCATGAGTCCCATTTTGAACTTGTCAAAGTTCGAAGGCTGCTGTTGCTGATACTGTATGTTCTGAACCGGTGGCATTGATGATTAAAATTTTTTGTCGTGATTGGAAAAAAATACGTCGATCGGCGCGTCTAGTACTCGTTTGCCTTGATCCGATCAACTTCCGCCTGCAGACTCTTTAGACTGTTTAGAAGATCAGATCCTTGGCCAAAGCCTCCAGTGAAGTTTGGCGTCATATTTTCAGCACTCACGTGGTGTTTGCGCTGCATATCAGTCAAAAAAGGCTTGGGCGGCAGGTACGGCTGTTCTTGCGTAGGACCTTCATGAGCAAGTATTGGTGGCGGAGATGAATTTTTGCGCGATCTCGGAGGAGGTGGAGGAGGCTTGAGCAACGACCCGCCTCTGTTTCTTGAAGGAGGCGGTGGAGGAGGCGTCGCGCGTGAATGGTCTGGCCCAGGGCTGCTGGCTCCTGGGGAAAGAGCAGCTTCCAAAAACGTTGCGGCGCTGTCTGCGGATGTGGTTCCATTGCGCGTAAGCGGAGACGAGACCCTGGGTTGTGAGCTAAACGGTAATGGAGATGAATTTCCCCGTTCTCTTGGAGGTGGCAGATTGTAGTGATTTCTCATTGATTTGGACACACTTCCCGTTAAATTCGGAGCAAGTGGCTGCAACAGTGGGGTCCCTGTCTCAGGGGATCCACCATTCACCTGTAAAGTAGGAACACTGGATGGTGTACCATGAATGGACACACTATCAATAGTCACATTCTGGAAATGATTGATAGACTCTTGCATGTCTTTCAATTCTTCCTCCTCATCCTCGGTGCTTTGTTGTTGTAATTGCTGCATATTTAGAGAGGAAGCCTGATTCTTCATCCGAGCAAGCAGCTGATCCATTGGCAAGGAGAGATCAAGGCCAGATGTCTCGGGAGTCATATCTGCAGAGGACACAGAAACGTCGTCAGAAGGTGGGGGCTCTATGATCACCTGATCCGAGAACTTGACCTTCTTGCCCGACCGGCTTTTGTTCTTCGGTGACTCTGAAGGACGTTCTCCTGTAAGAATAAATTTTGTAAACGAGTCCAAGTCCAGTTTCTGGGGCGGTTGGGAAGTGACGTCTGTCAACTGTTCGTCTATCGAGTTTGTTTCGGAGTTGTCGATGCTTTCGTTTGGATCTTTAGCTCTTTTACGAGCCATGATTGAAATGGGCTTGGGAATCGATGCCTGTTCCTTTATTAGCGACTTTTTAAGAGGTTTGCCTTCTAATGTGTGAGCCAACAATCTCAGTAGTGCATAGAATTGGCCGATATTGAGAGAGTATGCTATTTTGCCAAAGAGCTCTCTCAGTCTGCTTTTAATGGCTTCCGAGATGCGAAAGTTGGAGAGAAATTTGAACACATCCTCCAAAGTTATGGTTCTCTCGCCATGCTTTCGGGATAGTATATTGTTGTACCACCTGAGGTACGTTTTAGCTTCTTGAATGGAGAGATCGTTCGCTGTTAAGGACAACGCAACTGTGTTGTCATCGTCAGCAGCCAGGGTCTCTGAGCTTTTTGTAAGTGGGTGTGGGTCTCTCTTGCTTCCAGATTCCGTTCCTGCCATGTTTTTAGGTGTGTAACCCAAACTAATGTTATCGTCGCTCTGCACTCTCCGGTCCATTCCAGAGATATCCAAACGGTTGAAAATGTCGGACATCTTGTCGGGCTCAAATAAAGCATCGGCTGATGCATTCAAATGAGCACTGTGATTCTTGTAAGGTGAAGAATGTACTTGTTGTTGTGTTTGAGCAGTAGGAACTGAAGAATTTGATGATGTAGGAGAGAACCCAAAGGAAACCGACGGATGCGAAAACCTTTCCGTATTGCCTGCATCAGCATTCATTCCCGGTATCGAAAACCAGTCAAATCCTTGCGACATCGTGATGACACCCTTTGGCTTTTAATGTTCTACTATGCGCAAATGTATCCAAGGTGGCCTGTGTCGTCTTCCAGTATCTATGTTTCAGTTCAAATTCTATGGTTGCTCCAGATTCTAGTTCCAATCAAACGACTTGCACTGATGGATCATAATATTTCTGCGCTGTAATGCTAGAAAGACAACTCTCTTTTGTCTAGGGTTCTTTTTTTTTTGATCAATTACAAAAAACGTCGCGTCGCTCGATAAGAATTTCGAAGGTTTTTATGAGATTAGGCAAAGTCAAGGTGAAAAATACATCTGCTTTTGGCGATGATTCCGATGAGACCGATCAGAAGCCGAAGGCGTATGTAAGGAAAGAAAGGTCTACTTCTGAGTCCGAGGAGTTCCAATATGACGAAGTCTACGAAACGCTAAAAAAACCTGTCCAGCAGGCTCCGAAAGAGTCTAGAAAACCTAAATACATAAACAAACTGCTCGAGAGCAAAAGGCTGCGAGAACTTGAACGCTTAGAACAACAGCAAGAGAGAATTGAACTCCAGAAAGAGGTAATGAAGAAAGACATGGGAGCCACAGAGGTCTTCGTTTCTAATTCATACAAGAAGCATAGGCAAGAGGTTGCCGATAAACTGGGTAAGCCACTCAACTTGAATTCAGTTACTGAGCATTCGAGTGACACTAATGTGCCTGAAACGCCGGAGCTGACAATACCGGCTTCAGCGAACAGCACCTTTTCGCGGTCTCTTCAGAAGGCCATACAAGAACTCATCACCTCGAAATTAACTTCTGACGACATTGAGCAGTATCGCAAACGATATTTAGAGAGAAAACGTAAGTTACAAAACGCAGTCGCTTCCTAAACATCTATGTAACTCAATAAAACATGTCACGCTTGAATAGTGTGGTGCTTCGATTTATAGGAAGCAATATTCTCCATATGAAAGTTGAAGTCGCTGTCAAGCATTTGACTAGATAGGCCAGCATCTGTAATTTTGCGAGACTCCTTTCGCTTCCTTCTTGTCTTCGTGGCGCTAGTCTTCTTGGATCTCGATGATTTCTCCTTCCGCGAGACATCAAAATCAAGGTCTATATCATTGATAGCTTTCTCTGTAAAGGAATCACCCATATCACCCAGAGTTGCACTTGATATCACAAAATTTTCAAAATCCCGTTGGTAATCTTCCATCATCTTCATGTTTTTGTGTCTTAGATTGCTGGTAAACTGCCTTCTGAGCTTCTTAAACTCGTCAAGACTCGTGGCTATCTGAAGTTTGATCATAAGAAATTTGTTGGGACCTTTCAGGTCCTGGTCAAGCAGGTCACTAGGTTTCACAGTTTTGGGAACTGGGTACTGGCTCAGGTCCACCTCCTCAATGGAGGACAGAAACTCTTGGATTTCGGGCTTCTCCAAAAGATCCACGATTGTCAGGGCTTCTCCCGGTGGAATTGCAGTTGGGTTTGAAGGCGTACAGCAATCCAAATCAACCTCTTTTCTTAAAACATGGTCAATGTCCACGGCTGAGAAAAAGGCGCAACTCTGAGGAACCTCATCAATACCTAACTGATGACAGAACATCGCACGTGTCCACAAGTTCGCTATCTGAAGGATCATTGCACATTTGTACCTCTGTTCCTCTTTCACTATGTAGCGAATCTCATCGTGCACGGTGATGCACAGCCTTGCGTCCACTTTGTATCTCTTCAGAAGGTATTCCATGGATACCACTAGTAGGTGCAAGTAATCAACTCCTGAAGACTGGATCGCCCAGTTGATTCGGGATGGAAGAAACGTATTGGAATGAAGGTTCTTTTTTTGTAATGCAGAAGTGATACCTGCCCCGAGAACCGGAGTCTTTGGATGCTCTTGTTCTGCTATAGTTTCCAGTCTGTTGAAAACAATGGATTCTGACCCACCAAACCACATTTTCCTTTTGTTGACCGTCTGGCTTTGGCCCTTGGTGGCAGCATAGAGTTCGGAGGCTGTCTTCCTGGCGTCCGCTTCCGTTAGTGCTGGGTTGAACTTTTTCAGCAGAGAAGTAGCAAACTTCACTCCTGCACCGTAGATACGACCGTAATTGAAAACCTTCGCGTCGTTTCTAGAGATTCCTAGAATCTTTGCTGTTTTCGAGTGAAGGTCCGTACCTTCACCTTTAGTGCCTTCCAGAGTCATCCATCCGATCGCAGTTCCTCCGTGTATTTTGAAAACTGAGTCTCCAACCAGAGAAGCCACCCATAATTCTTCACTGTCAACATCTGCTCCCACAAAGCAATAGCCTGGAGGTGACTGAATCATGGCCTTCAGCTCGGATCCCAGCCTCGATTTCTTAGCATTGGAAGCTGTGAGCCATGTGTTTTCAACGGCACGTCTAGTGATGGTTCCCATTGGAATAATTTGTGGAATGATCATACCGATCTTGGAGTTGTCTGCGTCGTTTTTGTAAACCACAAACTGATTCATGATCCGCTCCCGGGAACTGATCCAGTAACTGTTTCTAACGGCCAATTTTAGTGCATCTTTGGCAAGATCGTACTCCGATGACAAAATGCCTTGCTCAAAATAGCGCAAAAACGGTTTGGACATGAGTGTAGTCGTCCGCGATTCAGGCCCTTCCTCGTGAGGAACTTTGAAAAGGGACTTCGTCTGCAAAAGCTCCGGGAAGTCTGGATTTGAGGCCAACCCCTCTTCCACTATCCTTGCTGGCTCTAAGTATGTGTAGTTTTTCTTCTTGTACTTTTCCTCCTCGCCTTTATCAACTAGAAAGCACCACCCTTTGCTATCAAGCCAATAAACAGGTTTTCCCTCCCAGGACAATTTCAACAATAGCGGTGTCACTCTAGATTTGGGGGTTAAAGTCATGTTATCTTTAGAAAACAATTTTTTGTACCATTCGGGATAGCCAGGCATCTTCTGTCTTCGGTAAGGAGTTCCCTTTTTCGTCAACTTAGGTGGAATAATGGTCCAATCTAGCTGTGACAGCCATGGATCATTTAGCCATGGCTGAGAAGGATCATCTTTCAAAGAAACCACCTGCTCGCACATCTTCTTTAAGTTGTTTTCAATCTTTTGCACACTATCCTGATACATCTGCTCTGTTCTGGTGATGTACTTCTCCCAAGCTTCATTAGTCGGGAGGAATGATTGCGAAATGTGCCTCAATGCTGCTAAGCTGACAGGATGGGGTACCAGCTCTTTAAATTCTGGATACACTTTATGGAAGACCCTGTATGTGGTTACCACATCAGTGGCACAATATTCCATTAGCTTTTGGAAATTGTCAATGATTTCCTGCGGATTAGTGGTCGAGAATTGATCTCTTGTTTCTTTAGTGATGTTGATGCCACAGTGATGATGAGCAACATACTGCAACCCGTTTAAACTGCTGGTTCGCAACCATGGGTCGTCTTCGAGAAATGAGCTCAGGGTTTCGTCGGCATCCAGATTTGGGTTGTCAATAAGCTCTTTGAGAGATCCCGATTCCACCTCCTCTCTGAACTTGATCAAACTTCCCTCTTTCTGTTTTTCCTCGTCCTTCATCTTGTGATACTTCATCCACTTTCCTTTTTGACGAGAGCACATTCCACTAACTGCAACATGCAAAGACATAGTATCCAAATAAAAAGCTTTAGATTGCGTAATATCGTATTCCTCCAGTATGCGCGCTCTGTCGTACGAAACATTATGTCCAATAATGATTTTTTCCTCGTTCTGGACGTTCATTGGTATCAAATGGCCATCAAGGGTATCATTTTCGCCGGTCAAATAAGGAGAGACCCATCCATACCATGCTCGGTTGGAATATGCGGTTGCAATAACGGGATATTTACTAATTTTGTACAAGACCTCGACATCGTAGATTAGCCCCTTTTCTAAGGGATAAGGAACAGCTTCAGGTTTCTTTCCGGGTGCATATCTTGTCCATCCACTTTTAAAGAGCCACTTTTTTGGCATTGGTTGCACCGCAAGTCCTATGCTCATTATTTCTTGGATAATTTTTTGGTACGGCTCCAAACTGTCCATACCCAAGCGATAAAAATGCTCCGCGAGGTTCTGGCCCTGAAGCTTTGGGAGCTCAAATTTGATAGCTTCCGAAATGGAGCATTTCTTACCAAGAAGCTGATTCGCTCTAAGATGTTCATGGGCAAGTTTCACCAAAAGCGCATTGTGTTTCGTGAGGCGTTCAGTGCCTCGTTTGTAGGAGTCAGGAAAGAGCTGCTCCTGCAATTCTTCTGAGAGATGCTGGATGCCCACGGGATTGATTCTGGGTCGCGCAGAAAGTAGCCTTCTTTGCTGCAAGCGGATCATTAGAAGGAAGGAGGGGAAATCACCAGGGCGCGCCGTGTATGGAGTAGCACTGTTTCGGTCTTGCTTTATTATTTGACCTATATTTTTTTATGTCGTGCATATAAAACATGCACTGGTACCACTAGTGTTGTGCTGCTGTTTTTCAGATGCTGCTTAAATTCATAGTTGTCAAGAGTAATATATACATCTAAAAAAAACGGCGATTGAATAATCTTGTTACCATGTCGTCCACCCGTGCACTTACAGAGGATCAGGTATGTAGACGAGGCTGGTTGGTTGTGCGAAGGCTAACGAAATAGGTTCAAGGTGAGCTCCTAAAGATGGAAGCATTTATCACCAAGGAAGCTGAAGAAAAAGCAAAGGAGATCAAGTTGAAGGCTGATGAGGAGTACGAGATTGAAAAGGCGTCGATTGTGCGGTCAGAAATCAACGCCATTGACTCACAATACGAATCTAAATTTAAGAAAGCGTCCCTGGCACAGCAAATCACCAAATCCACCATTGCCAACAAAACGAGACTCAAGATCCTCGCGACCAAGGAAGAGGCCTTGGACACTATTTTCAAGGAGGCGGAGATTGCGCTCGTTAAGTTGTCGCACGATTCCAGCAAATACGAGAACATTCTGAAATTACTCATCGAGGAAGGATTATATGCACTTATGGAGCCAAAGGTCACCGTGAGGGTGAGAAAGTCGGACGTTGAGCTGGCCAAAAAGGTCGGCGAGGAGGCTGCAAAGGATTTCAAAGAGAAGGCCAACATTGATGTCATCATTTCCATCGACGAATCGTCGTACTTGAACGACGACTCTGCTGGTGGCTGCATCATCATAAATGGAACGGGAAAGATTGAGGTCAACAATACACTCGAGGAAAGACTTGCCCTGCTATCGAAGACCGCACTTCCGGCCCTCAGACTCGAGCTATTCGGTGTCTCTCCTAGCAGAAAGTTCTTCGATTGAAATTGTAGACGATTAAATATTGATAGTGTAGGTCTAGGGTGTGATAAATTTTATTAAATTTAGTCTTGATGAGGAGGTGGATAAGGCCGGTTTTCGGTATGAACACAGCGCCGGTGTTGCCGAGAATGGGGCTTTTGAGCTCTTCCCATGTTAGATGGTATATCTCGCGCCATAACCCTGCTTCAAGACCGCGCATGGTCTCAATACAGTCCAGATCTCGCCATTTTCAGAGAACCCCACGAGACTTAGCGAAAGTGCTCAAGACCATACAGCCGGACTCTTCAGACGTGAGTTGTACCATTTTCGATGCGAACGGAAACGTTGTTGCGGTTTCGAAGAGCTTTCCAAAGGCAAAATTCTTACACGAAAACGGTCTGTTCCCGAGAGATTTGCGCAAAATCGACTCCTCAAACGTCGATGTGGCGCCCATCATTGCGGTCCGGTCTAATTGCATCCTAATCAACTTGTTGCATATCAAGGCATTGGTGAAGGCCGATTCTGTTCTGGTGTTTGATACAGCCAACTCGGAAGCCGCCTCGAAACTCAGTTTATTCATGTACGACCTAGAGGCCAAACTGAAGGTCAAGACGGTCCACGGAACAACAAACGTTAACCAATCCTACGAGTTCCGTGCGCTAGAAAGCATTCTTATTAACGTCATGGCAGTTCTCGAAACAGAACTGCAACAGCATTTGAAAACCTGTACTGAAATTCTTAATCACTTGGACACAGAGATCGACAGAGAGAAATTGAGAGATTTGCTGGTCAACTCCAAGAAACTCACCACCTTCTATCAGAAATCGCTGCTGATCAAAAATGTTCTTGATGAGCTGCTGGACAACGATGATGACTTGGAAAGCATGTATTTGAGCGAGCGCAGCGTCTATGGGGGGCCTTTCCGCCAAGAAGAGCTGAGTATCGACGGAAAGAATGGCAAGGACCATGATTCTGTGAAAATGTCTATGGACGAGCTCGACACGGGTGAAATCGAAATGCTTTTGGAGTCTTACTACAAGCAATGTGACGAGATAGTACAACAGGCAGAGACGCTAATTAACGACATTAAATCGACCGAGGAAATTGTTAATATCATCTTAGATGCTAACCGCAACTCGTTGATGGTATTTGAGCTCAAGATATCGATCTACACAATGGGGACAACAGTGGCGACGCTGGCTCCAGCCCTTTATGGAATGAACCTCAAAAACTATCTGGAAGAATCAGAAATTGCCTTTGGAGCAGTGGTGTTTTTCAGCATGGTTGCAGGGGCAGCCATGGTGGTCAACTCATTCCGTCGTCTAAAAAGTGTGCAGAAAATGAACATCACAACTACAGAGCAGACTAAAAGACTGGACGACAAAATCAGGGGCCAGCTGTTTACTAGATTCAAGAAGCAAAAGACGAGAGGCACTTCTGAGCAAAAGGACCTCATTTGGAAATGGCTAACAAACGGGAGCCCGAAACCCAAGTAAATATGTATATAGAGCTACGGGCTGTGTAAAAAAATCGTACGCAGTAAAACTAAATTACTCGCTTGTGTACTAGATGCATCTATACTTGACTATTTGACCGTTGAACTGCCACCGGAATATTGATTTAATTCGCGTTCCCTTTACTTCTCAAAAATCTACAACTCGATACTTGCTGAAATCGCCTTTCAGGGCATTTTGTTTGCACTACACACCGGCTTATTGATAAGATAAACGCGTTGGCAAGTAATGAGTGCACACTCGCCGGCTCCATCAATAAATAGCCACTCGGACATGCCAGCTCCTGCTATCAAAGACTGTGTCCCACTAGACTCTCTTGACGCGCGCATATTGCAATATCGCTACGCCTCACAGAAAATACTGAAACTGGTTGAGAACGTTAAATTTCTCGTCAAAACATGCTCCCAAGAAAAGAAGATTGCTTTCACAAAATATATCATATTGCTCAACGGGTGTATATTCAACGTCAATGATAACATATACAGGAGATCTGAAATCTTAATCAATGGCAACAAATTTAATCCTGCCCAATCTATAGAGCCTTCGCCTAACATCGGTGCGGTGAGCTTCGACTGTATGGACAATTCCACCAATTACGATACTACCAAGCTTAGGTTGCCGACCTTGAGGCAAAGCTTGGACACTTTAAAGCTGTTGGAGCTATTGTTGATTAATACGTTTGAGATATACGACCACAAGTGGAAAATTGCCATGAACGATCGATCTTCTCAGGAAACGAAGAAAGACAAGCCACTTTTCACCCTGGATGATATTTCAGACGTGCTAGAGTTTCCGGAGCTACAATCCATGCAGCTCCTAATTGACGATGAACCCGAAAATACTTCCGCCGATGCTAAAGCCGACGTCTATCTCCGGTCTATTGACCTCAAGAGCTTAAAAGTCAACCTGGCTAATTTCGAATTAGCCATGGATGCCTTCCGGGACCGCATTGATGCTCTTGGCAGATGCAAGGTCAAAGAAAATCTGCTTTCGTCACCGCGTTACAAATACATTCTTCAGAGATCGTTTCTGCTTTTATTGCACCTGGCCGACTTTTATGGTGTGGTACGCAAATTCGGTAAAGTGCTATACCATAACAACAGCTTCTACTTTGAAAATTATGCGCGCACAAGCGAATCCCTTAGAGTGGTGATGAGAAACTTTGAAGTTTATTTCAACCAGTCAAAAAAGAACAATCTATTGCTGGCTGCTATAACGAAAATCACGAGAAACGGAAGTTTGATGGCAGTCCGTCCCGATAATATAGTTGAACTTTATAAGGTGAGCGACGATGCACACAGCTTGCTAAGTACGATGGTATTTGTCCTGAGAAGGTTCCAGGCGGAGTGGCAAGTCATTATAGACTCGAATCGCTCTAATGAGTTCGACAAAGAGCAACTGAGACGGAAGCTTAAGGAGCAGACAATTAGAGAGCAAAACGAGCAAAAACGCTTGCAATTCGATGCCCAGCTGGGTAGAAACATGGAGGCTCTGCACATATCTCCCGAGAAGTTCAAGGCAGATATGGAAAAACAGTCAAAATTCCAAAAAGAGCTTTTTGATGATGCCCGAGAGGCTAGACTAATCAGAGAGGCTGATGTAAGAGACCAGGAACAGCAAAAAGCAGAAGAGATGGAGCAGAAAGTTGGAGAACGTGAGAAACAGCTGCGTGAAGAGTTGAGATCCGCCAGATCGTCTCCAAACTCCTTATCACGACAATCTTCCATTTCACGCTCGCGGTCTTCTAGTCTCCAGAGCAACAAAGATGATGGTTTTCTTCGTCGATCAAAATCCACTTCCAGTAGGCGTAATTCTCTACTGGTCACTCCCGAGATTCGCCGTGTGATACCAGAGCAGAACGAAACTATGTCGGATCCTACTAGTCCGCTGATTGATTCTCAAAGTCCAAACATCAACTCGACCACGGCTGGGGCTGGTGCGTCGTCAACACCCACTCTTCGTCTGCAAACAAATTTATCAAAGCCACAGAACTCGCCCGTTGACCATGCCAGAGCAGCAGCGTTGGCTTCTAAAAAAGTGACACAGCCACCGCTGACTGCCCAGCAGAGACTCCAGCAGCACATCATAAAATCATCGCAGAGTGGACAAGCCATTGCAAAAAGAATTGAACCAAAACCAAGACCAAGGTCATTCTATGCTCAATTAAATGGATCTCCTGCAAAAGCCCTGGGTGGGTCAAACTCAGGAAGCAGAAGCAACTCGCTGCAAAGTGATGCTGAGTTCCCCACCAGTCCCCTGAATTCGCTCAAACAGAGCAACTTCCCAGATTCCCAGGCCCAAACAAATAGATCGAGGTCAGGATCACTGCAGGGTAGCGAACACCTGCAGTCACCAGGGAATAACGCGGCAGGACGCGCGTCTCCATCGAATTCAGCGTCGCGCAGTAGGTCTGGAAGTTTGTCGCAAAGGCCAGTGAGCTCGATTCCAGAAGGTGACGAGACCGCAAAGGGTCCCGAAGTGGACAACGTTGCTGCACGCAACTCTCCTAACAAAACAAGCGAGAACTCTTCGATCAAAACACGTTCACGGGCCTCATCTACACGCCAAAATGGCCCTCCGCAGAATATTGGAAATGTGCTAGTTGTTCCTGAGAATTCGTCGCCTGAGCTTGATACGAATGGGGAAGTGATCAAGAAAGTACGTTTTACAGGGGTCCCCGAATATAGCGAGGATGAAGACGCTCCGACCCCACAGCAAATGCAAAAACAAATGCGGCAGAAATGGTCGTCATACAAGCCGCAGTTCCGAAACAGAACCAAGCAACTCAATTCCCAAGAGGGATTGGCGTTCCGCAAGTTTCAGGGCTCTATGGTTGGAGGAGAATTTGAAGGTTTCAGCAAGGTCAACGCAAATAGCATTCCTGTGGAGGTGAATGGAAAGTTCTCTATGATGAGTGTGATCAACTCTCCTGAATCTCCTGGACCTTCACGAAAGTTGACTAAACTTTTCAAAAGACGTTAAGTTGAAATATGCTCTCTTATCGCAGTGCGGCTCTAAAAAAAAAAATTTTCCAATTGAAATAAAATACTTGGACATGTCTGTTGGGGTGAAGAGAAGATTCTCTGCCAGCTCGCGCACGGCAAAAGACATGTACAATGTAATATCTCATAAATCAACGAATCCTGTGGATGAAACAGGGTTGTCGAAGTGTTTCCACAAAATGAAAGCCCAGCTTTATCTGTCTCTCGCTCCATGCCATATAAATTCGCCAATCAATGGGATTAAACAGCAGCATTTCGACCATATGCTTATGACCTATGTTCCTTTTGCCAAAGGTGTTCTTCTGGGTTACTTCAATGTCCAACTTGCCTCGGAAAATTTGGTGGAGGATGAAGACGGGACAGAAATTGCCGTTGCGAAGATCGCTGACGACAATCCGTTCGCATTTGTGTGGTGTACAGCGGAGCTGTTGGTTTGGCGACCACAAGTTGGCGACGTTGTTGAAGGCTGGTCGTACATGCAATCCCAATCTCACATTGGTCTTCTCATCAACGATACCTTCAATGCCACAATTAAAAAGGGAGGAATCCCGCCAGAGTGGAGGTACATACCGAACCAGGTGGATGAATTCAATGCCGAAGGGGATGCCGAAAAGTTTGGCAAGTCTCTTGGTCAATGGGTAGATGAAAATGGTGTCCCTGTTGAGGGAAAGATTCGCTTTACGATTAAAGCCTTGCACGCTGCAGGTAAAGTCGTTTCCATGGAGGGTACTCTGGTGAAGCCTGGCTCTGATAAGGAGAGCCAGCCGGTCGTTAGGGACGGAAAGCACAAGAAGTTCGAGGAGCCCGAGGATATTGTCGCGGATGACGAGGACAACACCGACGACAAAACCGAGGTTCCGCAGTACGACCAAGACGACGAAGACGACGAAGATGAGGATAACAAGGTTGTTGGCGGCGAACTGAGTTCTGACGAAGAGTGATGTAATATAGCACTAACATTTTGGAAAATGTACTAGCCACATTTAACTGCCACATGTAGAATAAATGTATTTCATCAAAACAAAAATAAACAACATGAGTAACGAGTCGGCAGAGATGCTTGCTTCACAGCTCCTGACGGAGCATCTTGGTTTTCAGCCTATCTCTGTGATTGACGATATTATCAACATGATCAATGAAATAATGTATCGATGTACAGAGCAATTGGAGCTGGCTTTGATTCAAAAGAAATTCGATAAAGAGGAGGAGGAAAAAAAGCAGCAAGAGCGCGTCTTCCATTCACGCAACGATGATGACGACGTGATAGTCAACGAGGAAGAGACACAAGAAAAAACGAATACGGGGTTTAGCTACACTGTAGAAGACATACAGAAGGGAACGGCCACTCTAGAATCTCTGATGGAGCATGTGATCAACAAGAACTTCGACAAGTTTGAGGTGTATGCGATGAGGAATATACTGAATATACCGGAGGATCTCGTTGCTGGAGGATTTGTGCGATTGAAACACCATCGTGGGATGGAAATACGCGATAGTATATCTGAGGAGGCACAAGAACTGGACTCTGAGTACGAGCGACTTGTGCGCGAGCTGGAAACGGAACTCATCGTCAATAAAGTTTTGAACCAGATGCTCTCCAAGTTCAGATATTTGCTGGACTACTCGAGAAAGCTCAAGGCAGAGCTGTCTTTTATCGACCTGAAATCGGAGGAGTCGCTAAATGGTGAAACAGGAGCTATCCTCGAGAAACTAGCCCCTTTGAAGGAAACTTACAAGTTTTTGATCAACGAAGTGAAGTATGTGTATGACAAAGTGGAATCCATGAAGGAAGTTTTGGATGACCCCAAAATAGTTGCATTTGATCATTCCGAGGAAGATAGGTATTTGAATGGGCGCATCAAGGGGATATTTGAAGAGCTGGGTTTAACGAAAGTCGATAAGAGTTCTGGGTCCAATCCCCAAGTCCACCTAGATCTGGTGCAAAAATTGAACAATATCTTGGATAAGGAGTTACAGTGACGCGACAAGAAAAATGTCGTGTTCTGGGGTTGACGGATTAAGAGCGAAGGAGTGTCATAGAAGTGTTTTGAGTTCAGCCTGTGGTTGCAGAAGCATCTTCATCGCGAATGTCACGCGCTCTAGGATTTTGAAAGTCGATGTATTATAAGTGTATATTAGGATTATAATAAGTTCGGATATTTAATGTCAGAAACTAATATTGGACATCATAGGTCAAACGGGACAGCACGAGAGATCACTTGGAAAAATACAAGTGATGACGTTCATACACACCAAATACTCTCTAAGATAGAGGCGATGGCGAGTTCTAAACAGACGTTGGCCACTGTCTACTATGGCTAATTGGCAAAATCAACATTCCATCGTCAAGTGTACATAAATATAGCCTATTTGGACAACAAAAACTAGACATCAACTTGTGCAATGCGATGAAAAACCGTCATGTAACACCAATATCATGTGGGCCGTAGTCATTGATCACCCATATATACAGATGCATCTCGCAACTTTCTTACAAAGCCTTTCTCACAAAGTGAACAGCAGTTGGAATAAGCCACAGACCAACTGCGATGACAGCAGCCAGCTTGAAAGTGGCCTCGTTCTGCATTTGCTTGAATTTCTTAGCGTCTTCTTCAGAAAATCCATCCATGGTGAAATAAAAGATTTTTAAAAAAATAACTGTGCACGGTTTTTTTTTAAAAATTATGGACGAAGGAGACGAGACCAATCAGCTGGCATCTTCCACGGGGCAATCCCCTGCTGCCCCGGTGGAGGCCCCAGAGCCTACCAGCCCAGAAGCTCCAGATCTTGAGGAAGACATCAGCAAGCTCGAAGCTCACAAGCGCGAACGTAGCGAGGAGGCGGAAACTGAGAAGAAACCGAAAAACAAAAAGCTCAAGCGCAGTAAAGGCACACCACAAGAGGACACCGAAGTTGCCGCACCAGAAGAAATTGAAGAGGAAGATGAGCAGACAAGGAAGAGAAGAGAATTTGAAGAGAAATTTGCTGCGGTGCTTAGGAAACCCACCAAGCGCAAGAAGAACGACGAAGTGGATTTGGAGGCGATGCAGGACGAAGCCATTGCCCACTTGAAGAACATGATGAAAGATGCCGCTGAGTTAGACATTGAATGCGTCAACAACAAGCGTCCGGCTACGCACAAACTGAAATTGCTACCGCAAGTCAAGGATACACTTTTAAAATCGAACTTGTACGACTCGATTCTCGATAACAACTTATTGGAGGCCGTGCGAATTTGGCTGGAACCACTTCCCGATGCTTCGCTCCCCGCATTTGAAATTCAGAAGACTCTCTTTAGCGAGCTTACAAAGCTTCCAATCAAAACGATTCACCTCAGAGAGTCAGGGTTGGGTAAAGTGATGTTATTCTACCAAAAGTCAAAGAAAGTGGAACCATCGCTGAAAAGAACGGCAGAAAAGCTCATTGGTGACTGGACTAGACCAATCATGGGCAGATCAGACAACTACAGAGCGAAGAAAGTGCAAACCGTCACCGTGGATGTGGACAGATTGCAAAGCATGTCTCCAACACCAAAACCCCAGCAACCCGTTCGCAAATCTCTTTACCAGGAAAGTGCAGATAGGAGAAAGCGTGCTGCGGCACCAGAAGCCCGTACCAGTGTTTATACTGTCGCACCCCAGGTGAACTTGAATTCCATTGGCCAGCAAAAGAACAGCGCTGCTGCGATGGGCGTTGGATCATCTCTAAGCAGAGATGAGAGATTCAAGAAACTGAACCAGAGACTCACGATGCTGAGCCAGAAGAAAAAGAGCACCAAGAAGGGAGGTGTCTCTATCGAAGGCCGCGGCTTGGCCATGTAACTATAATAATACTGCTTCTACAATCATGTCTGTACCAGTTTTTATTATGTCTTATTGCTCTTTGTACCTAAGATCTTGGCTTTTCCTTCTTCTCCTTCCAGAGAGCCAACAAGGAGACACCAGCAACCTTGACGACCTTGAATCTGACACCTGGAATATCACCCTTGGCCTTACCTCTTCTACCGAAACCAGCAAGAAGGACCTCATCGTTCTCGTCCACAAAGTTCAAACAACCATCGTTTGGAACGAAAGCAGTGACCTTCTTACCGTTCTTAATCAGTTGCACTCTGACACACTTTCTAATGGCAGAGTTTGGTTGCTTGGACTCGATGCCCAACTTCTCAAGAACAATACCCTTAGCGTGGGAAGATCCACCGAATGGAGAGGACTTGTAAGCAGTTCCTAACAGCCTGGACTTGTATTGTTTGTCTGCCCACTTGTTGTTTCTTCTGTGCACTCTCAGCTTTCTGGCGGAGTTGAGTCCTCTAGGCTTTCCTTTTCCCATGATTGAAGTTAGTGATTGAGTTGCAAATTTTCAGAAAAATTATTTAACAAGGCTCCAGGGTAAGAAATTAGCCCTATTAGCAGTCACGTGCCACAATTCTAAAATCACGAAAAAAAAAAAGAGTACGCCTGTCTCTATAGGTTGATGGAGAAAACATCCGTGCACCGCATATACTGGATGGCCAGGAGCATAACCAGATGTACCTTCATCTCACTACGGTAGGGTACTTATCTCGCGGAGCTGTTTGGCATCGATTATCTCGCTGTGGCAAGTACTTTAGTACAGCCTTGATTGGTTTTTGTGCCAAAGCTGCAGTGTCTAAGGCCTCAGAATTATATTAGTCGTATTTAGTCGCGTCGATCGGCCTTTTAACCTAAATTCAATGTCTGCCGCGCAACAGCTGATAGCACACTATCTCAAAACCAACAATCTCACACGCACTTTGGAGGCATTCGAGCTGGAGCTCAATAAGAAATTTGACTGTTCAGTTGAGGAATCATTGGAGACCATTCTGAAGGACAGACTTGCCTATCTGTCGTTGGAAAAGCCGGAGTACAAGAGCACGAAGTCTCTATGGACCGTTGATGCGCCAAAAAGACACGAGATTTTGGAATTGGGCACTCTCAACTCCCTTGTGATATCGTCATCCTTTGTAAAGTTAGAGATTGGCACCACAAGTGTGTCCTTGGGACTATTCGTGACCAATAACAAGCAGGTTCACTTTTTCGATCTAGAGAAGCGCAGAAACCTGCTAGTCAGAAACGACCTCCATGATTCAACAGCAACAAAGCTTGTGGCAGGAGCCGACGGAACTGACATCCTATTCTCTTGCGGCATGGATGGGAAATTAAGGGTCTGGAGAGTCAGTTACGATAATGAGTTTCAGCTGAAGCTTTTGAGTGAAGATCAATTACATAAAAGGCTCGTTCTCCAAATGAAATTCAGGCAAATGGATAGAAACTCAGGCTTTTTAGTCTCCACTGGATGGGATTCAAAACTGGTGGCCACTAAACTCAATCTTCAGGATGGAACCATCGAAAAACTGAACGAGGTGAGTTTGCTTACCAGAGCAAGTTGCCTGCTGATCACCGCGGACTCGAGCAATTATCCTGTGATTCTTGTGGGACGCACAGAGACTTCAATGGTTGGAGTGTACACCATCCACGATCGCATTTTTGAGATTGGACGCTTGGCACTGAACGACTCTGAGTTCTCGAGCCATTCGTTTCATCCCATGGCATTTGCAATGACTGAGAGTGATAATGTGGTAGCAGCTACCAACCATATTCCCTATATGAGATTGATTACCTTCAAAGTTCCGACGATTGCCGATCTCATAGGCGTTGAAGAGACAGAAGTGGCCGCAAAAATCGCTGCGGCGAGCAGACTGGCCACAGACAGCGAGTCTTTCCAGACGAATGTAACCATCAGAAGAAACATTATCGTCTCCAATTTTAATTCAATGTCTCCCCAAGACAAATTTTCTGACCCCATAGTGATAACAAGACCCCACAAAGATGGGATATGGATATTTGGAGACGACGGTATTGTCAGAGGCTTTGACGTGGGAGCAGGGTCTGTGGTTGAGGAACTGAAGACACACGAGGGCCGGGTCAAATCTGCCTTTGTGGCTGAGGTGGGCAACACAGAGACTATCGTGAGCTGTGGTGCCGTAGATAGGGTTGCAAGTGTTTGGCAATAGTGCCTATGAGATTTACAGGCCGTTGCAATTTTTTCTGCTCCTCAAATCTCAATAGAACAGAAAATGATCACGAGATATAAATATTTATTGATAAGGAGCAGAAATGTAGATCCTCATGTTTCCGGGGAGGGTGTTTTCAGGCATGGAGCTGGAGGTCATACGGGACATTTTTGAGAAAGAGGTGGTCGATAATGACGCCTTTCTTTCTCGGTCGGACATTTTTTTACAGCCCTTACCTGAAGACCAGGGAGCAGTCGATCCGAATGACATCACCAGTGATGCATGGATCGATAACGACCAACACACAGATATAACGCTAGTGAACAGCCCAAACATGCCCCTGTTCAATGTTCTATTTGACACCGATGACATTGTAAATGAGTCGCTGGAAGAAATCGATGGTTGCAACTCGTTTCGGAACTCTTCAGAGCTGGTACATTCGCAAGTTTTGGAAGACTACATGCCAACTCCTGAGAACTCGTATTCATATACCTCCGAAAAGGCAGAAATTACAGATCTGATGCTAGAGATGCCAGAGAGCTCTGAATCGCCCGACTCAAGAAGAATGTCGTTTTTGGATAATGATCAGCTGACTGGATTGCAATCAAAACGCAAAAGGTCTATCCAGGCAAATCCAGAAGGACAAGAAGGTGTAACCCTAGGCCGAAAGGTCAGAAAGAGCACACTTGTCGAAGATTTTGTGAGCGTATTCGAAAAAGGAGAGCCCGAGTACAGGGAAATAATCAACATGCATCTTATCCCCTATTGTTCACTGAATGAACTGGACCCAGACTTGTTTGTGAGCCGTCTTCAATACAAAAGAGATCATTCATGGGCATATGAGATAAATAAGAAATCAAATATCACTAGCAATCGGCTGGTCCGGTTTGCCAATCATGATAATGTGAATTTTTATGAACCGCGAGTCTTCAGGTATCTGCGCACGAAAAACACTTGCAAAAGACACAAGAGAGAAGGATTGTGTTCATTCTGCAAACCAACAAAACAAGACTTTCAGAATGACTTCAATAATCTATTTTTTGACCTGAACTCGTCTGGATATTTACACCATCTGACGAAGCAGCACGGCGTTTTTAGCAACGGCTCAGAAATGCCATTACCAAAGCTGATAGGGTTGCACCCGGAGCTGAAAAGCAACAAGAACTCAGCAAAAATTGGCCATGTGTACGTCGCCGTCTGTCCGATATGTAACGAAAAGGTCAAGGTGCAAGATTTGAGTCCCGAGAGCAAGGTCTCGGGAAATCGGTTTTTAGCATACTTCAGGCACATGCTAACGCACAATGTTAAGAAAAACAGCGGCAAAGGACGATAGAGCCCTAAAACACTATTTCATTAGGAAGGACATTGTATTTTCTTCCATCGGCACGCACAGACTCTCGGTTTATATCCCGTTTCAAAGCCTTTCGCATATCAAAAGCATCAATCTCGTCGTCGATCTTATTTCTGTTCATTTTACTTTCGTAGTCTCCATAATAGCCCACAACCCGACGGTAAACAGAGTAGCCCAGCTTCTCATACAGCACAATTGCCAGCTTATTGTTGCATCGCACAAAAAGATCTATGAAGTAAACTTCGTATGGCTCGTTCTCTGTAAATCGTTCTAGCGAAGAACATAATGTTGAGGCTAGTCCAATCCGTCTATAATTTGGATTCACGGTGACAGCACTGATGTGTGCATGCCAATCTTTACCCTTACCCTCTGTTTTGGCCAGCATGTAGCCCTGCACGTCGTTGGATGGAGAAACTACCTTATAGAATAGCGATGGCCATTCTGACAGGTACTGGAGATAGAAGTATAAGTAGAAATTTTCAGTGAGTGGATCAAGGTTGACCGAGTTGAGTTCGAAAAGATCAGTGGCAGAGAATGGTCTGATTGAACTCATACTGATAATAATTTTTTTTGAGAGTGATTTTACACTATTTTTACTTGTACAGCTTTGATTACTTATGCCCATTCAGGGTTTCTAAATCCTCCACGACCTCCCCTTCCTCTTCCACGACCTCTTCCCCGCCCTCTGTATCCTCCTCTGCCTCTATTGTGCCTAAGAGAAGATTGGCCGAATGTGTCCAGGTTGAGTTTTTTCTCCTCCTGCCATCTCATTCTGTCGGAAGCTGATTGCTCCGTGGACGACGAGATGTTGTCAAAGAACGACGATTTTTTGTTGTAAAACGTTGATTCGGCATTTTGCAGCTCGGCTTCCTTCTCAAACTTGGCATTATTGGACTCGAAATCGAAATCATCTCCAATTGGAGCCTGGGGCTTTTTCGTGCTTTGAGACTGCTTGATAGCACCCTTTTGGGCTTCAGAGTTGGAGGATGCAGTCGATTCCTTAACCGGAGATTTGTCGTCTATAGACTGAACAGGCTTAGGCTCTGTCTGCTTCTCAGTTGGAGCGCGATACTCTTCTGCTGCCTGTTGCGCTGGCTGAGTTTGTTGCTGCTGAACTGGTGATTGAGCCACAAACTGTGACGATGGCTGAGCCTGCGGTGCGACAACTTGTGAGACTGGCTGTGGGATTTGCGGGACAGGCGACTGCACTGGGGCCGGCTGTCCTGGCTGAGGACCAGGACTTGGGAAGGGCATTTGGCCCTGAGGGAAAAAGTTGGCAGGATTAAACATGGGAATGGGCTCCGGAACAACCTGTTCAATCGGAACCTCCAAAATATTGAGTGTCTTGACATCAGGCCCGCTCAACATGATGTGCTCGTAAATTTGCGTCGAGGGATAGACAATTCTGTTTGGGTCAAGAATTCTACCTTCCGTCCCAAAAACCCTCACATTTTTCAAGGCAATGGTACCCTTTGTGCCATCAATACTCTCAAGAATTCCAACGTATCTTATGTCCGCTTGAGAGATTAGGGAAATAGTCTTTCCAATGTATTGCGACATGACGTTGGAAAAATAATAATCGAAATTTTAGAATTTATTTTTCTATCGTAACTATTACATTTTACCATCTTCCGGTTCCAAAATCGTAGCTAGTTTGTCCGCCGCCAACAACGTCGCCATATGTCGTACCATTGGCTCCACCGTAAACTGTCTGTCCTGCATATGCTGTGGCTCCATTGGCCTGTGCCTGGAGCTGTTGCTGGTCTAACTTGTCAAGTTCAAACACAATGTTGGCTATTTTCTTTTGCAGCTCAATACAACCTTTGGAAAACACTTCATTCGGTTTTAGTGGTCCTGTCGTCTCCAAGTTTACATAGAAACGATTAGGTTTTGCGTTGTAATCGAACCTTTCGCCGGGGACAGGAGGCTCCTCCCACTCGCAGTTGGCGCTCTTAGGCCACTCCTCCTCAACACTTTCTTCAAACCAGTAGTCTGTATGTTTCAGCTTATTCCAAGGGTCATACTCAAATCCTATGGCAGCGCATGGAGACCATTTGGCATGCTCCTTAGCAATTCCTTTCTTGGCCACGCATCTGACATGCAGCTGTTGATGTTTCTTGAGTTTGCACAGCAAAACCCCTTTTCTTTCGGGATCCCTCACTACCGGAGTGCCCAGGTTCAAACCAGTGTTCGGACTCACGATCGTGAGATGACTAGAGTACACGTTCATGGTTTCGTCGGAGTCACAATGGGCTCTCAACTCCAGCGTGACAGAGCACTTTTCGCAGTGATCTTCGCATGTACAATCTCTTGTGTACTTCAGTTGATCAATATCCTCGCTCTCCAAAGGCACGAGACCCAGTCGGTGAGAAAGAAACTCATCTGCGAGAACACTGGTGTTCACCAGAATTTCCACCAAATCGATCGCCAACGTCGGCACCTCCGCCAGCATCGTTCTCCGCAAGGAGTTTGCCAAAGAGAGATCAACATCGCCCAAAATGAAGTCGACCTCGTCTCGGCCTGCCTTACGAATAGTCACCTGTGGCTCTTCAGACATGGTGGTGAATTTAAGTTTTTTTTTTTGTTTTTCGCCACAAATAAAAAACGAAAGCACACCGAAAACCCATTATCTCTCCTTCATATGGCCCAGAAGATAAACATCCCAGACTTGCGCTTCGAGCAGGTCTTCAGAAGGAACCTCCTCAGTTATGCCAAGCAAAGGAAGGGCGCACACGCCACAGATGCTGACCCGCTTCCCATTATTACTCCGTCTCTCGTCCTCTATGCGATCCTCAAAGACCAAGTGCTGATGCCTTTTGTCCAAGGCTTTGCTGTCGCTTTTGGTCTCATGTTGCTCCGTCCTTGGATCCATAAAGCATATGAGGCTGGCAGATTGGTTGGCGTTCGTCTAGTGACTAGCATTGGTAACGTTACAGCAACTTTAAAACCGTACAAATGATACCTAATTATCCAGCTTCTCGTTCCAAGCACAACACTCCTCAAATTTCACCAAATTGCCTCCAAAGAGGTCAAGAGAGCTGCCATATGTCAAGTCCACCTTTCCACCACTCAGCCTGTCCACCAGGGCCAGGTCTGTAATGGACCTTGCTCCACCAGCATAAACAACGGGAACAGGCGACCATTCACCAAGATTCTGCACCAACTGCTGATCTATTCCATTACAGAGCCCTTCCACATCAGCTGCGTGCACCAAAAATTCTGAACAGTACTGGCTCAGATCTTCAAACAATCTCTTGCTCAGCACGGTCTTGGTTAGGGTCTGCCATTTATTCATAGCTACCACCCACGATGTTTCCCCTTGGTGCTCCACTTTGCGGCAGCTCAAGTCAATAACAAGCCTCTCAGGTCCAATAAGCGCGCTCAACCTTTTCAGTCGATTCCAGTCCAACTCTTGCTCAGGGAACAGCCATGAGGTGACTATCACCTTGGCCGCTCCGCTATCAATCCAATATTTAGCATTCGAGATGTTGATTCCTCCACCAATTTGTAATGCATTCGGCCAAGCCTGAAGAGCCTCCAAAGCAGCTCTATCGTTGCTCTCCAGAGAGCCGAGCTTAATCACATGCGTGCGTACAACGTTGTGTTTCTTGTATATTTGGGCATAATATGAGGACGAATGCGTGCTGACGAAATTCGTTGACACCAGGTCCTCGTTTTCCTTATCGTCTTTCTCGAGCGTTCCGCCCACAATCTGTTTGACTTTTCCGGCGTGGATATCGATGCACCCAACGTATCTAGTCATGAAAAATAATTTGGAAAAAAATGTCTAAAAAAATAATTTTTTATGGCTCCCTTAGTTGTTAAGTTTGAGGACAAATATACGCCCACCAAATCTCAGCCAACCAAAGAGGACAAGAAAGTCTTGAAAAGTGGTAGGCCGATTACACTTGAAGAGCTGAAACGCAATAAAAAAGCTCAAGAGGAACAGCTTCTCAAGGGGTCAAAGTCTAAAAGCGATGAAGAGGATATAAAAAATGATATTGCCCTGGAAAGATTGCTGAGCGAATCACATATACTTGCAGACACAAGAGGAAGTATATACTCGGGAGCAGATCTTACACTTCAGACGCTGGACCATGAGAATCCAGTGGGGAATGCCCGCGTAAAAGCTCTAAACAGTCGAATTCAAAAAGTGGCAGAGGTTAATGGAAATGGCAAGAAGAAGCTTGAAAAAATGCCGATGGAGATGCGAAAGGGAATGATCAAGGCACACTTGCGGAAGGTCGAAAAATATGAGCGCGAGGCAAAAGATGCTGGTATAGTGCTAGCAAAGAAAAAGAAAGAAGAGTTCAGACAGTTGAGTGATCGTGGGGTCACCTCTATCAGCACAAGAATCGGGAAAGGTATTAAGAAGGATAAAAGAATTAGAGATCGTGGCCTGAAAATCAATACTGTGGGAAAATCTACCAGAAACGGATTGGTGCTCTCGCAGAAGGATATCGATAAAATCAATAAGGGACGCTAGGACGTTTAATATATATGTTTGATTCGGGTTATTCATCCCACTCGAGTCTGGCCTCTCTGAGCTTGGTGATTTTGTTGACCAGCTGGACTAATTGCAGACGTTCGGCGATTTTGGAAGCTGCATGCAAAGCTCTCTCATCCCGTAGCTTACTTGCCAGATAAAGAGCGTCGTGAAGGTTGCTGTCGTTACAGGACTGGCCGAATTGTTTTAGGAGCGCTGCATCGTATTTGACACTGATGTCAGCCAAACGCTCCTGCGCAGTCTCGTCGACCACGTCGTCGTTTTGGATTGCGTCATTGAGCAATTCTCCCAAGGTAATATGTCGCACCAGTTCTTCTTCAGGGTCCTCTTCCTCTTCTTCCCCGGTAATTGGAAGTTTCACTGGAATTTCTAAAGGCATGGCTAGCGGGAAAGAAGGATATTCAGACCCTCTTGTGACTATGGAGTTGAAATGATATTTCAAGAGTCCCAATGGCCAGCATTTTATATCGTCACCAAGAGCCAGCTTTTTGACCCCCGCAGCGGTGTCCAAAATAGGAATCCAGGAAGCCTGCAGTGGATCTCTCCATCTGGTAAGTATCAGAAGATAATCGTCAGCCCCAACAACACAAGGATCACCATCAAGAGAGAAGAAAAGCCCCTTCAAAGGATACGACGAGTACGACCCTCCAGCCAGGGCCAATGGAAGATGCTCGTTTCGCTGAAAGTATTTTCCGTCGAGATCTTGCACATTGAAGTTCAAAGACCCCGAATTGTAAGTGACGGTAAACAAATACTTGTCGCTATTGACACAAGCAACCACAGGGGCTGTTTTTTCGATTCTTTCGATTCGGCCAAACAAGCTGTATTTGCGGACAAAACCAAGAGAGGTGGCGACATATATCGAGTTCTTGCTAAGGGTCACGCTGGAAACGAACTCTCCGGGCTGCAGGAGAAGTGTCCTGATCCAGGTATCCTGCTGGTCATGTGACTTGTACATTATGGTAGATTTCTTCCCTTTGGTAGCAGAAGCGAGAAGAATGCCGTCTTCGGTGATGGATGCCACATTGAACCCATATAGATCTTTAAAGTGATACTCGTTATGTAGCCCTTTGTCGAAGAAACTGACTGTAACTGTATTGTAGCTTTCCAATTTGACTGTCCAAGCGTATCCAACGGAGTTCATGGTCAGATATTTCCTGTTACCGTTCCACGGCGTCCCGCCTGGAGAATAAGGCTGAATTTCAAATGAAGGCCTATAAGCAGTCTCGTCAATGACCACCTTGCGTTGTTTTATGGGCTGGTTCGTCTCTAGAGAGCGTTTCTTCTCAACGTAGCCTGAGCCATCGTCATCGACAATAAAGTCGTCTTCGGGCGCCTCGTCAAACAGTCCAGTCACCTCGCTCTCAGGCTCACTTTCGGCCTCATCGGCGACCACCTTGCCTTCCCTTGTGCCAGTTTCTGCCATAGGAACAACCGATTCATATCTGATGATGTGACCATGATCCGTTCCAACCACAATGTCAAAATTACCATCTCCACGGCCCCACGACAACGAGCAGCCATTCTCCGGCAAACTATATACCCTGGCGGATTTTCTGGAAGCTGTTTCCCAGATAATAAGTTTCCTGTCTTGACCAAGAGAGGCCAAATGGGCACCGTTGGGAGACCACTTCAAATCCACTAGGGGCTTCTCGTGTACTTGTCCCTGGAACCTGAACTCTAGAGATGAGAAATCCGTCCGGTCGTACACCTCGATCTCCCTGTCCTTGGTGGGAATAGCAATCAGATCTCCATCTGGGTGCCAGTCACAGCCACACACGCCAGCCATGTTCTTGGCTTCTGGCGGGTGAGTCCCAAACGAGTCGTCGAGATCGATATCGTCCTCGTCCTCGTCATCCAATAGCTTGTGTTTCTCGGTAATATTGGTGTAGACATATTTTTTCACCGGCTCGGCCGTGGAATACGCGTATATTGAAACGTCTCCGTTAGAAAGAGACACAGCTGCCAAATCGCCGATGTTATTGTACCCAATTGCAGTCACCTGGTCGCCGGTATTGATAGATTTGATGCTAGAGTCGGCTCCAAGAGCCACCAGTTTCAGCTCTCCGTCAGAGCCCCCGCAGAGCACCATCGAACCTCCGTGAGTGAACACAGCGTCTCTCAAGCTTAACGGCGATCTAACCAGCTTTCCCATCGATTGAAGAGAATCCAGGTCATAATATTCACAAACTCCACTTTTCGAAGTCACAATGCCGTACCTGTGGCCGTTCAACTCTCCCACCTCGAACGAGCTCACTTTCCCTAGAATGTCCAACACCTCAGGCTCACGCTCCGGGTTCAACACATCGAATACCTTCAAAATGGAATTAGTACACACGTACAGCTTAGAGCCGTCACGTGAATGGCGTACAAGCGTTGTTCCAGCGGTGACAAAGACCTGCTTCAACGAATCCATGTTAAATTTCGTGTAACAAATGGTACGCGTTATTAGATCTCGAAAATCGGTGCACGGATGCGATAAAAAAAATATTCTGTAAAAATATAGTGGAAAAAAATTTTAGATCCACCATCATGTCGGATTCGTTTTTCTCTGACCCTTCGAAGAAGAGAAAGCGTCCATCGCGAGGACCCGAGAAGTCCAGAAAGAAGAATGGATCAGCCCCAAATGGTCGGCAAAAGGAGATCCCCGAAAGCTCCAGCGATATAGACGAGGAAGAAGTGCAAAGTGATATATTTGATGAATCGTCTTCAGTTGTATCTGAAGAGGAAGAAGAAGACAACTCCAGCGAGGAAGAACATGCAGGCGAAAGTGCAGCAGACAAAAGAAGACGCATGGCCAAACAGTATTTAAGCGAATTGCAGGCGGAAGCTGAGGTGTATGACTTCGACGCCAAAGATTTGGACGATGACATTATTGCCTCCAGGTTGCAGAAAGACGTCTCTGAGCAACAGGGACACGTTTACCAATTCATTGGTGACAAATTGCTATTTGAAGAGGCCAAGATAACTGTTGCCAGGGCCCCCTGTATAGGGCTGACGGGAGTTGCAGTACGGTATCCCTACGCCTTCACAATTTCTAAAGACATGGAGCTTGCAAAGTGGAACGTGAAAGACGAAGACAAAAAGCCTGTCAAACTGAAGTTTGTCAAAGGAGGACGTAAATACACAGAAATTTCAAAAGAGCAAATGAATAATGGCCACTGTGACGAGATACTATCTGTGGCTGTGAGTCCCGATGGCAAGTATGTTGTCACGGGAGGTCGTGATAAGCGCATTATTATTTGGAGCAGCGAAAATTTGGCTCCGATCCGTGTTTTGGAGACCCGCGATCGTCGAGGAGAGGTCTTAGGACTAGCGTTCCGCCGAAATACTGATCAGCTGTACGCGGCCTGTGCTGACCTCAAAATCAGAACCTATAGCGTCAATCAACAGGCACAGCTAGAAACGCTTTACGGACATCAAGACTTGGTTGCTGATATCGCTGCATTGGCTCAGGAAAGATGTGTCACTGTGGGATCTCGAGACCGGACTGCTATGCTATGGAAAATAGCAGAAGAGACAAGACTCACATTCAGAGGCGGAGACACGCCCAAGGCAGGTATTGATTTTTACGCAGAGGGTAGTATTGACTGTGTCTCGATGATTGATGACACTCATTTTGTCACGGGATCAGACAATGGCAACATATGCCTATGGTCTCTAGCCAAAAAGAAACCTTTATACACAGAGAGACAGGCACACGGACTTGAACCTGAGATGGAGCCTTGGAAAGCTAGCGCTGAGAGTAACCTAGAGGAGGCGCGGTTGCAAGTCCCAAAACCACAACCCTTCTGGATCACTTCTATTTACGCCGTTCCCTACAGTGATATTTTTTTCTCTGGGTCCTGGAATGGAGAGATTAAAGTTTGGAAGCTGGAGAAAGACCTGCGCAAGTTTGTTCTGATCGGCACGTTGGAGAGGGCCAAAGGCGTGGTGACGAGGATTAGCGCCCACCTCGAAGACGAGCAAGTGCGGGTGTACGCGTCACTTTCAAAGGAGCACAGGCTGGGACGCTGGATAGCCGGAGCAAAAGGTGGCAGGAACGCATTGTACTCGTGTGTGATAAATATAAAGGGTAATTAATAATACATAGCAAGAATTAGCCGGTATTTGAAGTAGTCTTACATAAATCGAAAGCAACAGGGGTCAAATCTAGATCAGGGCAGCCAAAACAATTCCAGTCAGGCCGAAGGCGAAACCACTTATTGGAGCCACTCCGTTAGCTTGAGCGCTGGAAGAAGAAGAAGCAGCAGTGGAAGTTCCTTCGTCATCGTAGGTGGAAACTGAAGTAGAGCTTGAGCTGGCTTTCGAGCTGGACTTGGTCGTCTTCGACTTAGAGCTCGAAAAGGAAGAGCTGACGCTCGAGGACTTGACGGCGGATTTGCTGTAAGCGGACGAAGGAGCCACCGAGGATCTTATTGGAGCCCTCGAAGAGGATGGAGCTGCCGATGTCACATATGACGTTCTCAAAGTGGAGGATGGCACTGTTGAGCGTCTGCTGGACAGAGCAGAGCTCTGGGAAACCTCCTGGGAGGAGCTCACAGTAGCAGCAGAAGCAATAGCTAGCAGACCCTTGGCCTTCTCCAACGAAAGAGAAGACTCAGCAGCAAGGGAGGCTGCAGACGCGGCGGAAGCAGAGGCTTCGGAGGCCTCAGAAACAGAAGCAGCAGAAGCTGCCGCGACGGAAGCCGCAGAAGCAGAGGCAGCAGAAGCAGAAGCCGCAGAAGCAGAAGCCACACTAGCAGCAGAGGCAGCAGAGGCAGCTGAAGCGGAGGACTCACTGGCAACTGATGCCGCAGACGCAGAGGCAGCAGAGGCGGACGACAACGATAGAGCAGAGCTTTCGGATGGCGATAGCAAGGTCTTCGTCACGGTGACAGTGACCTGCGAAGTGGTGGTTTCCTCGGCTTTGGTGTAAGCTGACAGCAAAAGAAGGGGCACAAAAGTTTTGTAAAGCATTATTATTGTTTTGGGCTAACGAGTGGAGGTATTTGGTTCTTTCAAAGAGTGATTATAAAAGTAAGCTCTGGTAGCACAAGTGAGAGTGATTCTCTCGATTTAAGGAATGACTGTGGTAAGTTTCAGAGCTTGTTATTCAGTTGAGTAAGAAGAAAACGAAAATACGTTCAGAAAACAAAGTTGTGTTGTCCAAGGTGCGAAGTGACTGGACAACTCTGCAAAGTTTTAGTTATGGAAATGATCAAATGTAAACAAACAAAGTAGTGGACAAACAAAAATAATTGTTAAAGTACAATAGGGGCATTGTAGGAAAAGTACACAGATGCCTGTTTAGGATTTCCGGGTTCCCAAAAGAGCAGTCATGTGCAATATTTGTCCGCAGAAAGTGATCTCCAATAAAGGATTAAGGCCAGACCACTGTTTGGACAATAACCAAAGGGCATTGGCTATTGTGCCCCTTGCAATATGGGCAGGGTAAGCAAGGACTTCTTATTCCAGAGATACAACAGGGCCTAACGGCCTGAGTGTGCTATAGGGATCTTGCCGAATCATACTATTTTTGTTTTTTTGGCGGGAATGCACAGAGAGAAACACAGGAATGGATGAGCAATTTCTTTCGAGTCGTGAAAAGTCAAGTCTACATTAAATTTGGTGCTGGCTTGCTGATGAGCCAGAGCTACGCATAGCAACTCTAATAGGTACGGAAGTTGGCACGTCAGCTCGCTTGGATCTGTTAGCGCAAATCATTATTAATACATGAATCTAACGGTCAGCCCTTCACCCAATAAATTCGCAGATCCGTACACTTTTTTATTGTACGTCTATTGTAGTATTTATTGTTGTAAAACTGAAATTCTTGCTCGTCCACTAGAATGCTTTGTTGCTCGAAAAAAAGAAAACGTTGGCGAAAAGTTTTGGAGCGAGAATAAAACGCACGAACAAAGAAACAAAGAAAGGTTTTTTATCAATTCTGGTCTCACAATAAATAATCCAAACAAGGTTTCTTAGACCTCAAGAGATTACTATAAACCATCCCCAAAGATGGAACAGTTTCAAGTGGACCAGGACGGCAAGAGAAGCTTGCCGCCCCTTTCTCACATCATTCCGGGCCAGACACAAGCTTCAAGCCAACAGCACTCTCCCAGCACTCACCAGTCAAATTCAGGGTCCAACTCTCCTCAACCAGAACAGGACAAGCCAGAGTCCAACGATGCAATAACCCATGTTCAGCAGCATGATCAAAAGCTTTCCCAGCAACCTCAGCATCAGATGTCTATCCCTCAACCATCTCAAATACCTGTACAATATCAACAGATCGCAGTCCAACAACAGTTCCCACAGCAGGCAGCGATACAGTACCCACAACAGTTGCAGCAGCAGTACCTGATGCAGGCTCTTCAAATTCCGCCTCCACCCCAACCGCCTCAGCTGGACTCCTCCAAACTATTTGAAAAATGTACCTGTAAGCAGGAAGGAAACCGGATTCCTAGGCCTCGAAACGCTTTTATTTTATTTAGACAAAAGCACCATCAGGCACTGTTGGAAGAAGGCAACGTGATCAGGACCAATCCAGATGTGTCCAGAGAACTGGGTCGCAGATGGAGAAACCTACCACCAGAAGAAAAAGAATACTGGAACAAACAGGCCGAAGAAGAGAAAAAAAGACACGCAGAAAGATATCCGGGATACAAATACACCCCTAGAAGAAACAGTAAAAAGAATTGTCCTCACTGCAGCACAAAACAGGCAATAAGAAACCATAACTTGGCTATGCAGTCTTATATGGCCCAATATCCTAATCACGCGTATGCCTTCGCCTTAAATGGCAACCAATATTTCCCTCAACCAGTGGGAGCTGCAAATGGATCGGTTTCTCAACAGCAGGCTGTTCAGGCAGTGCAGCAACAAGCGGCCTCGCAAATACCTCAGCAGCAGGCCTTGTACTACCAACCTAACATGGTTGCTATGCAACCTCAACAGTTCAAATCAGATGACATTTACCCTGCTCTTGCGAGTGCATCGACAGGGACCCAAAGCTCGATGAGCCAGCAACCGAGTAATAAGAACTCTTCATCTCCAAATGTGGCGCAACAATCTGCCACTATGAATGACCAAACTCAATACATGACTTTTGTCAACCAAGTAAATGGACAACAAGGCGCAAGATATTCTAACGGCCAAGCTCAGCAGCAGCAGCAGCAGCAAATAAAGGCTGAGGCGTCACAGACACCGAATTACTCACAAATGTACATGTCACAGATGATGGACACTAATCAAATATACGCAACGATGAGTAGACAGCAACAGCAGCAGCAGCAGCAGCAACAACAAAACATGTACATGAATCCAATGTTTGGCTACGATTTCCAACAGAGTGCCCAAGCCCAAGCCCAAGCCCAAGCCCAAGCAATGCAGATGTCATTGCCATCGATCAACAATCTCTCTCTGCCACCACTCAACATGAATCAAAAGAATGGAGGCTGACTATTCCTACGCTATAGTTATAGAGTATCTGATTACATGTATTTGATGTTGCGTATTTGCTTTAAAATCTAGGCAATTTAACCGATTGTAGAAAAATTTCCTCACAGTTTTGCTAGTGCTCAGCCTCCTTTTCAAAAAGAGTAGCCCTTTAACAATAATAAAAATCGATAAGTGGACCCTACCGAAAACGAGGCACAATTCAAAAGCTGCATATATGAACCAGTGTGCTTAATTGATAAGTGAAACTGAAAAAAAATCATTCTAAATGTCCATCTCAAGGAAAACCACCGATCTTGAGGCCAGGGACAGGTTCAGAGTTTCAGTGAATGATCTGGGCGCGCTTCATGATCCTAAATCCCTGATCAAACTCCAGGAGCTCGGAGGCATAGACGCCCTCGTGTCAGGGTTGGCCACCGATGAGGTTAGAGGGTTGTCCAAAGATATTCCTCAGACAGAGCTCAAACAACGGCAGCATGTTTATGGTGTGAACATGCTTCCCAAAAAGGCAAGCAAGTCGTTTTTGCGGTTGTGCTGGGAGGCTCTGAAGGACAAGATTCTGATTATGCTAACCGTTGCGGCCATCGTGTCTTTGGCACTGGGTCTTTATGAAACCTTTGGCCAACCTCCTGAATATGACGACGAGGGTAAGAAGCTGCCTAAAGTCGAGTGGGTGGAAGGTGTGGCCATCATTGTGGCTATAGCTATCGTTGTGATCGTGGGATCTGTCAACGACTATAATAAAGAGAGACAATTCTCGAAACTGAATGCCAAAAAAGACGATCGTAATGTGATCGTTTACAGGTCGGGGGAGAAGCAATTCATACCTATTGGACAACTTCTCGTGGGAGACCTGATATATGTGGAAACCGGTGAAGTTGTCCCTGCAGACTCGGTTTTGGTTTCTGGTGAATGCGAGTGCGATGAAAGCTCTCTTACCGGCGAAACACATGCCATCCGCAAAATTCCTGCAGCTTATGCATTAGAGCGTTACAAGGCTCTTGGCAACGTTTCCAAGGACATTGGTGACAAAGGCGTTGATGATCCAATGTTGATATCTGGGGCGAAGTTGATCTCTGGCCAAGGAAAAGCTATCGTGACAGCTGTTGGCACAAATTCCATGCACGGGAAAATTATGATGTCGCTTCGTCATGAATCAGAGGAAACTCCACTGCAGGCAAGACTTTCTCACTTGGCAGACGGTATCGCAAGATTCGGATTTTTGGCAGCCATTATACTGTTTATCGTCTTGTTCATAAAGTTCTGTGTGAAGCTGGGAACCGACTATAAGTATCTCACAGGTGCGCAGAAGGGAACGAAATTTCTGAACATTCTTATTACGGCTATCACAATCATTGTTGTGGCTGTGCCGGAAGGCCTTCCGTTGGCTGTGACGCTGGCTCTTGCTTTTGCAACTACACGTATGACTAAGGACGGTAATCTGGTGCGTGTCTTGAAAAGCTGTGAAACCATGGGAGGCGCGACGGCGATCTGCTCCGACAAGACTGGAACACTCACAGAGAACAGAATGCGCGTTGTCAGAGGTTTCATAGGCGACAATGATTTTGATTACACCGTTTCACGGGATAATGGTGAGGCCGACCTTGGGACTATTAGCGACAATCTAAAAAATAGCTTACTTGACAACATTTTGCTAAACTCGACGGCTTTTGAAGCGAGCAAGGAAGAGCAAATCTCTCGTGTGCAGAAAAAAGGACTTTTCAAGAAAGGGGACAAGCCTCAGAAAGCAAAGGTTGAAGAGCCATTTGTTGGCTCCAAGACAGAATGTGCCTTACTTCTTCTTGCTCAGGAGCGGTTCCATGCAATCAACGAAAATACACCGCTGGAACTAATTAGAGAGCAATCGCAACACCGTATAGTCCAGGTGATTCCGTTTGAGTCTTCTCGCAAATGGGGTGGAATTGTGGTCAAGACTAGTTCGGGCTATAGATTTTACATCAAAGGGGCTTCTGAGCTGGTTTTTTCCAGATGTACTGCAAGAACCACCTTGGACGGCAAGATAGTGCCAATCACCAGCGCCACCAAAGAGGAAATCACATCGAAGATCACCGATCTTGCAGAGCACGCACTTCGGACACTCTGTCTTGCTCACTGCGATTTTGAAGGATTGGAATCGTGGCCTCCTGCCAATATGGCCAAGTCAGATAACAGAAGAGAAGCTGATCCGAATATTCTTTTTGGGGAGACAGTTGAAATCCTGGCCAACGACGCTAACGCTGCAGCAATCCAAAACACCAACCTTCCAAAAATAGTTATTGGAGGGGAAACCACACCGAAGCGCGAGGGATTAGTTTTGGATTCCCTGGTGGGTATCCAGGACCCTCTTCGAGAAGGCGTGAAGGAAGCTGTTGCCAAATGTGCCACTGCGGGTGTTCGTGTGAGGATGGTTACAGGTGACAACATCTTGACGGCCCGTGCCATTGCCAAAAATTGTGGGATTCTCAACGAAGAAACATTCAACGATCCAACTGCATGCATGGAGGGCCCTGTTTTCCGGACATTGAGCCCACAAGAGCGCGTCAACCTTGTTCCCAAGCTCTGTGTGCTGGCCCGGTCCAGTCCTGAGGACAAGCGGATATTAGTTGACACTTTGAGAAAACAAGGAGAAGTTGTAGCAGTGACTGGAGACGGTACCAACGATGCACCTGCATTAAAACTTGCCGACGTTGGTTTTTCCATGGGTATTGCAGGTACCGAAGTCGCCAGAGAAGCTTCCGATATCATCCTGACAACGGACGATTTCTCATCGATCGTCAATGCCATTAAATGGGGAAGAACGGTTGCCACTTCGATTCGCAAGTTTGTTCAATTCCAACTCACTGTCAATGTCACCGCTGTTGCACTAACATTCATTTCTGCCGTCGCATCGTCTGACGACAGTTCAGTTTTGACTGCTGTCCAGTTACTTTGGGTGAACCTTATCATGGATACTCTAGCTGCGTTAGCTCTTGCCACAGATAAGCCGGACGAAGACATCTTGAATAGAAAGCCAGCTGGTCGCCACGCTCCTCTTATTTCCACCTCCATGTGGAAAATGATTCTCGGACAATCCATTGTTCAGCTGGTTATCACTTTTGTGCTCCATTTTGCAGGAGCCAAAATATTTTTCCCTAACGGTCATGTGAATGATCACCAGTCGACTCAGATAGCTGCCATGACTTTCAATACTTTTGTTTGGTTGCAATTCTTCAACCTTTTTTTGACACGGAAATTGGATGAGGGTGATGGAATTAAGAAAGTGAAGGATCGCATCACTCGCTCTAATCTCGACTTTACTCAACATTTTTTCAGAAATTGGTATTTCATTTCCATTGCAGCAATCATCGGCGGATTCCAGATACTTATCATGTACGTGGGAGGTGCTGCTTTCAGTATTGCCCGACAAACGGGTGCAATGTGGGGGACTGCCGTTATCTGCGGATTACTCTCCATTCCTGCTGGTATCATTATTAGAATAATTCCCGACATTTGGGTGGAAAAGGTATTCCCTACCAGGGCCTTCAACAAAGTGATCTCCTTACTGACTTTCAAGAGAAAGAAGAAGTCGGACCCCGAGTTAGAGTCCGAACCAGGCGATTTCAAGGATGAAAATGAAAATATATTGAGTGTGTCGCATATTAAACATATCAGTGATGGAAGGTCGAGATCTTCCACGTCCACAGACACATCTGTTGGCTCGCAAACTACTGATAACACATTATTCTCTCAAAACGATAGCAGATTCACAGCGCATTCTCAGGATCTATAGGAAATCATGTACATTATGATTAGAAAATCACTATTTATAAAATTTAGCAAGGTACCGTTTTTTCTCGTTCTCCAGGAACTGCGCAAAATCAGCATAAACAGGGTAGAACCTTGTTAGGCTCTTAAAAAAGGGCGTCAAATCCACAAGAACCTGTATTTTCTCCACGAGATCATTGTTTACCTCGCCTAAACCCTTTTCTTTCTGTATTTGTTCCATAATGGTTTCTTCCAGGATGTTGAGCGAGGACGAGAACGTGTCTAGTGACACATTGGTGGCCGCCTCTTCGGAGGAAGCACCTGTTGGCGCTAAGGAAGATAGTTGATGCGTACCATTCACATTTTCCTCTTCGATTGCGCTCGTCAGCACCACTGCTTGGACGGTCTCAAATATATTCAGTACCGCTTGGATGCGGTCTTTTACTAACTTGAGCGTTTGAATGTTATTAATCAACTCCTGCGATTCTGGATGTTGTCGTACATTATTCAACTTTTCGTTCACGTCGTCCATATCTCTATTGAGAGAGTTAATAGAGGAAGCGAGGTACTCCACGTAGTACTCCAGCCTGGTGATGCCACCAGTATTTTCTGAAGCATATGTTATTATCGATGACGAGTTGTGCAAATCCTGAAGCTTTTTCTCAAATTGGTGTGTGAGCTCGTTGGTGTAGTAGTCCAAATGTGTTAATAGTGAGAGGCATTTACCTTGTAATGCTTTAAGAGAGTTCGGAGATGCAAATGTCACGGACTTGTTCTTTAATTGAGGGCCATTGAGGTTTAGTGAAGATGTGAATAAAGCGTCAAGGTAGTCGTGAGGCACAAAAGCGTCATCAAAAAACATTGACAGGACCTCATTTTCCTTTTCTGAAGACATGACAATAATTCGAGAAAATATTATGATTTATTTCTAAACTTTCTGCACAGCCGATGATAGACAAGGTCATTATTCAGCATGATTTCCGGTACGTGATACAAGACGTGCAAAGGGGCGTGGTGGAGAAAGAAAGATTCTGGATCTATATCAATGACGAGCGAGCCGACTTTGAGTGTACTGGCCAAGATATCGTCTCATTAGGAGCATGGAAATTTGAAGAGAAGCACGGAGACATCGTGCTGAAAAATGGATCCAAGAGCATCACCCTGAAACAGCCTTTGTCGGTCACGAATGCTGATTATGAAATCAGCTGTCTGGCTGCCACAGACGATGGCCAACGTGCTATAGGTGGCACACAGGGACAGCTCAAGTTTATTAGTTCCGACGGCAAGTGTGTTGAGGTGGACAACGCCCACTATTCAGATGTTCTACAAATACAATACTTTCCAAGCAAACAGGTGGCCATGACAATTGGTCTCGATTTCAGCATCAAGATCTGGTCTGTGCTGGACGGAAGCAACCCAAGAACGATGCGCAAGCATACAGCAATGCTCACAGCCCTCGCTGCCATAGGACGTGGGAGAAACATTGTCTCTGGAGCGCGTGATGGTGCGCTTTACATATGGGAGTGTGCCAGTGGACAACCAGTCTGGGAGTTCCGGCGAGTGAAAAATATGACAGACCCTGTGGTGGGACTCGCTGTGATAGATACTGAGGAGACCGGGAATGATGCTCGGCCAGTATCTGACTCCATATTTTACGAGACAGAAAACAAAAACCTGTTGGTTGGCTACGAAAGCGGTGTGGTGTCAACGTACGATTTGGGAACACGCTGTTTTCTTGGTGAGTTCTCAGCTGGGGACAAAATGTCGGCATTCGCTGCTAATAAGGAGATTTTGGTGACCGGCCATTCTGATGGCACGATAAGGTGTTTTCGAGGATCCGAAAAGATATGGGAGCTGCATAGCGATGAGGAAGTTCGCAAAATACAAATATCGGACCGAAAAATCTTTTGCCTTCAGAGACAGGTGGCAATCGTCGACTACAATGGAAAAATTGACTCTATATTCAGCGATTATTACGGGCTGAACGATTTCTGTGCAATTCCTGGTATCTTATATGTCGCGTGCAAGGACAAAACCTTGAAGAAGATCAATTTGTGAATACAACTCTACACCAGTATTATGGTGAGATGCGACGCGTAAATAAAAAGTGCGAAATATTTGATGGCAATTTACTTATCTTCCCTAATGCTAAAGCCCGGTATTATTTTAAGTATTTGCAGGGATGGCGTCATGCCAGATGCGATCTACTTGCAGGCCCATCAGGCTAAGTCGATCCCCGAGTCTACGGGAGAAAGATTGAGACTTATGTTGAACGATGGCCAATATGCTATCAATGGTGTGTTCAAGCCTAGCGAGGCCCAAAATGCCATTGAAAACTTTAAGAGATACTGCATTTTAAAGATCACGCAATATGAGATCACGCCAACTAATAATGGTAAGATTTTCCTGGTTCTGGATCGTGCGGAGGTGGTTGAACAGGGAGAAAAGAGCGAGATCAAGTTCGAGAGCCTCGATGACTACCTGAAGGAACATCCAGAGGACAACAATTTGCTCAAGGGACAGCTTCCTCCGCGGGATTCTACGATGACACCGTCTCCTGCAGCAGTCATGCCTAAGAAGACCGTTTCCAAACCGCCGCCAAAGTATCAAAACCTGTACTCCATTGATCAGTTGTCTCCATATCAGAACTCGTGGACCATCAAGGCCAGAGTCTCATTTAAGAGTGATATGAAACATTGGTCCAACCAAAGAGGCGATGGCAAATTATTCAATGTCAATCTGTTGGATGAGACTGGAGAGATAAGAGCCACTGCCTTTAACCAAGTAGCTGAAAAGTTTTGGGATTTGCTGGAAGAGAACAAGGTGTTCTACATCAGCAAGGCTTCCATGCAGATGGCCAAACCACAGTTCTCCAACTTGAAGCACCAGTACGAGTTACAGTTTGACAAGGACACCATCATTGAGCCATGCGACGATGACTCCGACGTTCCAAAACTCCATTTTGATTTTGTTCCGCTCGATCAGGTTCAGAACCTTGAGAATGGCGCCGTCATCGATGTCATTGGTATCCTAAAAGAAGTCAAGGATAAGCAGGAGATTGTTGCCAAATCCACTGGAAAACCTTTCGACAGAAGAGATATTGTTTTAGTCGACAAATCGCAATTCGCAGTCAATATCGGCTTGTGGAACAAGCACGCTCGAGAATTCGATGTTCCAGTTGGGTCAGTGGTCGCATTCAAAGGTTGCAGAGTGCAAGATTTTGGAGGAAAGAGTCTCTCTTTGATTCCTGCTGCTACGATTGTTGTAAACCCCGATATCGAGGAAGCTTATAAGATCAAAGGCTGGTATGATGCACAAGGATCACACCAAAACTTCAAAAGCATTGCCCTTGAATCTGGCTCTTCGGGTGCCACGAGTTTGACGTCCAAACAATCAATTCTGGAACGCAAGACTATTAAACAGGTTCAGGACGAAAAATTGGGATTAAAAGATAAGCCTGATTATTTCAGTTTGAAGGCCACCATTTCTTTTATTAAGACGGACAACTTCTGCTATCCAGCATGCAGAAGCGAAGGTTGTAACAAAAAGTTGCTTGAGCAGGATAATGGCACCTGGAGATGCGAAAAGTGCAACATCAACCATCCTGAGCCTAATTACAGATACATCTTGACTGTGTCAGTTGTGGATGAGACCGGTCAAATGTGGCTCACGTTGTTCGATGAACAGGCTGCCCAGCTCTTGGGATTGAGCGCTGCAGAGCTATTGAAGCTCAAGAACGACGCAGAGGACCCAAGTATCGAGAGTGTAGGAGAAAACGCTCTGAAAAATTTCATCAATGAGAACATTTCTTTTAAAGAGGTCTTACTCAGGGTTCGTGGTAAAGTCGACAGCTACCAGGGTCAAGACAGAGCTAGATTCACCGTTGCCAGTCTCGCTAAGGTCGATTATCTTGCCGAGTGCGAAGCTCTTGTCGAAATTCTCAGCAGCTACTCGGTGTGATGGGTATGGCTTATTCTAGTGTATTTTCGCTGACCGTTAAATGAATTAGTTATAATTGATCAGTCCGTTCACCTCCAACCAAAAGTCTTTGATCAGATCATTTGCACTCCTGGTACCTCTAGTAAGCATGATCTTCTTCACAAAAATCTCCCAGTTTTGGATTTTTTTTTCTCTTTCCTCGTTAAGCTTTGGAAACGCTTCCTGTAGCCATTTGCTCATCATCAAAGGATACTTGGCCACAAGTTGTTTTATGATCTCAATGAAGGTTTCTAAATTGGATCTCTGCGTAGCAAACATATACTTCAGCACATTGAAAGTCAGCACGTAGCCCAGCTCGGTTTCATTGAACAATCTTTTGACCATCACCGTGTCCTGCCTATCCCCCTTTCTCAAAGTGATGAATCTTGTCCAGAACTTTTCCAGTGATTTCAGAACAAATCGCTCATTTGATCCCAAGTGTCCGAACGCAAACTCCAACAGGGTCATGAGCAGTTTCTCATTCGAAAGTAACAAAGAAGGCCTGGTACTGAGCATCGTGCTGAAAAGATTGAAACTCGATTGAACAAGATCCGGATCGTCTTCAATGACTGGGATTTTTGATAGAAAAATAGTGTCGATCGCTCCATGTAGAGCTTCGAGATCCAGAGTCCTGTAGTGAGCTGTGACCAGCGAATTCAACAAGGAGTAGAATAGAGGATATGCATCGGATTTTTTCAATGAGTTAAATTTCGTCACGATAAACTGTAAAATGGTGGCACAGTCAAACACAAAAGGCCCAGGAAGTGGTTCTGTGAGCCCACATTTGAACAAATTGACAGCCTCCTCGATTATCTGGTAGTTTTCAGATAAAACCTCGTTGGTCATCGTGAAGTTTGTAATGATTGTTAGCAGTTTGGCATGTATTCCCAAAGGATCTGTGGTCCAATATTCACGCACTTTCGATTCTTGGTCCTGTGTGTAATACCCATCCACGTCGTCAGGTAGTTGCATGCCTCTTCCAACGGCACTGACAGAGTTGACCAAGCTCGTCAAATAATCAACCATTCTTTCGCGTTCATCTGGATTAGCAGTGACCAGTCCTTCAAGTACTGACAAGGATTTTTTATCCAAGAGGTCGAATAGCTTAAAAAGATTTTCACCTTGAACCACGGGATCTTTCACACCTTCTAGTATAGAAGCATATGCGTTAATTATCCGTTGCCTAACAACTGGATCGATTGTTGTGTTATTGATCATCTCCGTGATGATGGTCTCGAAACTTGGCAAAAATTCAACCAGAGAGTACCTACATTGACTGCAAATACTAGAGATAGCCTTTGAGCTTGACAGTTGATATAGGTTTGTATTCGTCATGCAGTCAAATAAAAAGCTCAGTATCTGAGGTAAGTACTTGGTTCCGGTCTCTGTTTTGTAAAACCAGTCTGCGCTTGAAAAGAATTGAATAGTGGTGCTTACAAGGTACCTGAAGCGATCAGTCTTCACTTGCAAAACGATAGGTAAAAGATTTGCATCTAATATTGCACTCAAGTGTTGAACCAATTGATGGTTGACCTCTCCATCGCCAAAATCTTTGGAAATGCAAGTCACCAGATACAAAGACGGTTCAATGTCCTCCAACTTCCCTGTTTGTATACTTCTTTCTATGGTGATTAGGAGATTGATTATCAGTGGAAGTTTAACCAGTGGATACACAGACTCAAAAAGATCTCCGACATCTCTTCTATAAAGAGCGAATTCTTGCTTATACTGCGAAAAGCCTTCCTCATCTTCCGGAACATGCGCTTTATTCCAGTATATCTGAGTGACTCTCTCAAAAAGGGCTTTGATTCTTTCAGAAAGAGCCTGGTGGCCACCTGGCTTATCATTCAGAAGTGTTTGAAGGGTCGTATCCTCACATATACAGTAGTCTGCAAATCGAAGCCAAAAATCAGCAAACTCTCTGGAAACTGACTCCTCTTCTATGGGAGTCCCGGGGTAGTTCGTGAGGACAATCAGGAAATCGAAAATGTAAGCATTCTCATCATCATTCAGTTTAAGTAACAGTGATTTGAGATCTGTATCCAAAAACGCGATGATCAACCTCGCAAAGTCTGCCACGCTTTTCTCGTCTTGTTGGGAGCTAAAATGTCTCACATATTGGACTCCAACGTCGCCGAATAGCATCGATAGCAGGTCCGCTTTAAGTTGACTATTGAAAAATGAAGGGTTTGTTTCTAAGGCCTCGCTCAACGTCTCAATGGCCTTTTGTGAGATGGCGTAATCTGTGCTTGTGACGAGCGAAATACACATTGAAAGAAGTTCTATTAGATCATAGCGTTCAGTGGAGTCAAACTCAGCCTTTGAGGCATACCCCACCCACGACACAAGACAGTCAAGCCATGTATCTATGAGCTTTCGTTCGGGCGATAAATTAAGGAGAGATGTCATCAACTTTTGAACTGTTGGAAATAAATGCTCATGGACTAAATGATGTGTTTGTACGTTGGACACATTGGTCGCTTCCTTCTTGACTAACTCCTCCGCTAATATCTGAGCGAAAATCAACAGGACATATATTTTTGAGAACGGAAGGCTACTCAAGGCCTTATCAATCTGATTATTGGCGATAGTAGAGTTAGAGACCTGGTCGAAAACGACGCAGTTGATTAACGTTAATAGGGGATTGGTCCATGTTCGACTGCTATTCATAAACAGCAAAGAAAGGTTGGACAGCATTTTTTTGATCACAAACATGCCACTATGTAGAACAGCACCATTATTGATCAGCTGCAGAACCTGATTCAACAGAGTAATTCGAATTTGATTAAGCTGTTGTTCATTTTCAGTCTTAGTTAGCTCTCCGATATGCAAATTGAGATTGACCGTGTATGTGAGAGCGCCAAAGAACTTGCAATTCATCGATGGATGCTTCAGCAATCGGTGAGCCATCGTCCATCCATACTCGGATTTTTGATATTCTTGTAGCCTTTTCTGGATCTCAATTACATCGGTAGACGAGCTGTACAACGCATCGACCAACTAGAAATTAGTTTCTTCCACAATAGACTATACATACCGCAACGATCTCCTCCTCCGGATAAACATTCATATGACAAGAAATTAATTTGATTTGGAAATAATTATATTCCAATATACCTTACCTACTACATTTTGCGCTATAATTTTTAACTGAAATCTTTTTTTTTAGTATAAAAGCTATACACATCTTTTATACATGGTCGACCCAACATAGAGAGTTTCTACAAATCACATTAACAAATGTAAACAAGAGTTAATGTAACTTGTCAGACAGCCATTTGCGTCCATCCAAAACACCCCTTCCGAAGAAGTACGTGTGATGGATCGAGATCATCGCTCCTTGATAAACAAGGCATATGGTAGATGACCAGACCACTAAGGATCGTGGTCAAGCTAGCTTTTCTCACTCTAGGACACAAAGGTATCTACCTCATCAACCAAGTTGGATTCAGTGGCTCTTTTGAAGAGTCAAAGAGAGACGTGACCTATAGAAATGATCCTATGAAGTACGTCGACGAAGAAAAAAAAAATTTTTTGGGCGACCTTAGGGTCGTATTTATAGTGCGAAGCGAGGGCGAAAATTTTTTTGCTTACATAACTGTTGGTTTTTAGCAAATGTGTTGCTATTGTTAAAGCTCCTGAATAACAAAGAGAGGTGGCACTCGCCGCTGCGCTATTGTCGAGCATGCAAACATCGCCGTTGATTTTAGAAATTAGGACAGGCTATCCAATAGAGTTTGAAATCTGCCGCCGTGCCAGATTAAATTGATTTGGTGTAGGGGTGTAGCTTTTGCGAGATAAAGTAAGCTGATAGAATATTCAATTAGAATTGAAATAAGAATATTCTTTGACGTTTTTTAATCAGAACAGGTTTTACAGTACCTTTATTTAAGCACCATCAAGTTCAAGAACAACATAGTCGATTTAGACTTGGTATTAGAAAATGTCACAGACTATGAACCCCAAGCCATCGATGTTCTCCCTTATTTCAAGTAATGGAACGCCGGGCGCAACTACAATAAAACAAGTGTCCGGACAGGGGCGCTTCGGTGCCTCAAACAGACCTTGTTCAAATTGCACTTGTTCTCCGGGTCTCCTGAGCCGTCAAGGGAGACGCTCATCAGTTTACCTCAAGCGTATCAACATCAACCGCACTAATAGTTTAAAGGCAAGTCAGAGTGGAGGCTCCTCTCCAGGTTTGTCTCCAAGAAGGCGCACGGGAGATTCTCTTTATACAATCGACTCAAAATGTTCTACCAAGGAAATTAATACCTCTTTGAGACTCGAAAAACTGAGGGTTGAGATGAAACTGCACGACATTGCCATCTACGTCATTCCTTCGGCTGACGCCCATCAATCAGAGTACACATCCCCACCTGACCAAAGAAGAGCTTTTATCAGTGGGTTTGGGGGTTCTTCAGGTGTGGCTATTGTTACGAGGGATATTACATGCATGAATGAAACCCCAGAGGGGCTTTCTGCTTTAGCAACTGATGGACGCTATTTCATTCAAGCTGCCAACGAACTAGATTTCAACTGGCAGTTGTTGAAACAAGGACTTCCAGGAGAGCCAAGTTGGGAGGAATGGACAGTTGAACAAGCTGTCCAAATGGCATGTGATTCAGGTGAGATAGTCAAAATTGGCGTTGACCCTACACTGTTCACTTATTCAGAAATCAAGACTCTTGAATCGTTGGTGTCGCAGAAAAACACAGATAAGGTCAAGATAGTTTCTGTTCGCGAAAACTTGATTGATAAGATCTGGTCACTATTTGAGGAAATGCCGCTAAGACAATTCAACGAGATTGTTCCATTGGGACTCGAATACACTGGAGAGAGTACCCAGTCTAAGATAGAAAGATTGCAGTTGTATTTCAACAAGTATGGCTCTTCCACCTTGATTCTATCTGCACTGGACCAAATTGCGTGGCTGCTGAACTTGAGAGGGAAAGACATTGATTTCAATCCACTATTCTACAGTTATCTGATCATTGAAAAAGACAAGCTGACATTGTACTCGAATAGTTCGTCTGTCAGTTCTGACAAGCTAAAAACTTATTTGGAATCTATCAGCTGTCAAGTCAAAAATTACGAAGCTATATGGTCGGATATCAGGAAGCTTGCCTCCGAGCTCAATTCTCAAGGAGCTAAAATTCTGCTTACCAAAGAAGCTTCCTGGAAAATGGTGAATTGCATAATTGCCAAGAATTTCCTAGAAATCGACTCTCCAATCGCTGAAATGAAGGAAGTGAAGAACGAAGTCGAGCTCAAAAACCAAAAGAATGCACAAATTAAAGACGGGATGGCGCTGATCAAATATTTCGCTTGGCTCGAAGATCAACTTATCAATAAGGACGAATTTGTGTCCGAATATGAGGGAGGAATGAAGCTTCTTGAATTTAGATCTCAGTTGGACAATTTCAAGGGACCATCATTTGAGACTATTTCATCTACAGGGTCTAACGCTGCCATCATTCACTATACACCAAAAAGAGAAACCAGCACCATAATAAACCCAAACAAAATATATCTATGTGACTCGGGAGCCCAGTTTTTGGATGGAACGACCGACACAACGCGTACGCTCCACTTCAAAAGCCCCACTGAAGAGGAAATCAGGAACTATACGCTGGTTTTGAAAGGCCACATAGCACTGGCTAAGTTGGTATTCCCCGAAGGTTATACTGGCTACCAGGTTGACAGCATTGCAAGACAGTTTTTGTGGCAACACGGCTTGGACTATGAACACGGAACAGGTCATGGAGTTGATACTTATGGACCTGTGCACTCTATGGGCGTTGGAATTGGCTACAGGCCACAATATAACTCCACACCTTTGACTCCTGGTCACCTTATATCCAATGAACCTGGTTACTACAAACCTGGAGCGTACGGTATTCGCATCGAGAACATGTTCTTTGTCAAGAAGAGCAACAAAACATCCCTTGAAGGTAAACAATTTTTGGAGTTTGAAACGGTGACTACCGTTCCGTACTGCCGGAGACTAATTGACGTGAACATGCTTTCGCCCGAGGAAAAGCAGTACATTAACAGTTATCATCAGAAGATCTGGCAACTTTACGAATCTAAACTACCGAAGAAGAGCCTCGAGTACAACTGGCTTAAAAAGGAGTGTAAGCCACTTTGATTGATAAAACCCAAAAAATATAATAAAGTAATGAGTAACTAAGTTTAATTAATGCATTGAAAGTAAATAAATAAATAACCCTATGCCGCCCTCTACACCATGAACGATTCCCCACATCCGCAGCTGCCTTTGCTGTTTGGATTTTTGAAAACAAATTTCGAACTCAACTTATCGTCTATCCAATCCATTTCGGATCCGATAATGCTGAACAACGCTTTGGAATCAATTAACACCTTTACACCGTCTTGCTCCACTTGCTCGTCAAACTTCTCCGGATGCGAAACATACTCCAAGTGATATGACAGCCCCGAACAACCGCGGTTCCGCACACTGATTCGTATGAGCTTTGGGTCAGGCTGTTGCATTAATTGCTTCAAATGAAGTATAGCGTTGGGCGTAAGCGTAATCACAGATTTGAGCGGTTTGAGCTGCCTTCTTCTTCTTGTTTTGGGTTTCGAAGGCTCTAAAGGTGGCGGAGGCGGTAGGCTTTTATCAGGCAAAGAATGTTTCGACCACTTGTTGGTGTTCATAAAGTCATTATTTGAGTCGTCATCTACCTGCGTTTGGTGCAGATTTTGTTGGTGCGTCAGTCTGAATTGCTGTAGAGTAGAATTTCTGGCCATCAGAGAAGCCACGGGCATCCTTAATGGCATTCTCGAGGCCATTGAAAGTTTATTGAGCATCATCGGGAAATTTTAAATTACATCATTATTTTCCTGGTGCGCAAATTTAAACGATGACCTCTTGGGAAACACCCGTACACCGTACAAAATAGTAAGGATTACAGTTTATCGGGCTATCATTGGCTGCAAATCCCATTTCTTATAAATGGGGTCGGACTTACACTAGGGGGAAACGAATGGAGTGCCTGACTACTCACACAGACTATTTCGTTTTCCAGTCTGCCAAAATGGACTAATAGGCACCTTTGATTTCGCGCTGCTCTCCTCATTACCCCGGATTACATAAGCCATAAACGCTCCCGTTCGCATGTGATAGCATACGCAAGTATATAACGAGTGGAGAATCTTTGAGTTGTGAGCAATGAGCTTAGATATTACGAAGGCATCGGTGAAACAGAGCCTGTCAAGGCTTTTGTGGAATAACAGCCGCGCTTTGAAGTTCCTCAACATCAATTTGAACTCAAAACCGGTGTTGCTCTTCCTGCTATCCATTTCCTCCAGCTCTATTTTCGTGCTTATATACAATGTGGTCAAGTTGATCAACTATTTCAAGCTGAAGTCACTTCAAAGGAGTCGATTGGATCTTTCAAAACGGAACTTTTACAAAAAAGGTTCCGTTTATCGGATCATCAACGTTCCCTACAAGAATAACAATTTGAAGGTGAAAATAGATCGCACAAATCCAGATAAATATGAACACGACAAACTAGTTTTCAAAAAGTTCCTTCGCGACACGGAGTTCAGCGATATGACAGACAGCGTGGTTGAGTCCAAGTTCCTCAAAAAGCTCTACATTATCTGGCGGCATGTTCTTATTCCAAAAGTGTTGCATCCCAATAGCACTATCCTCGTTGGTCAGTTACTTTGTTTGGTTGCGCGAACCTGGATGAGCTTACTGGTTACAAGGTTAGATGGACAAATAGTGAAAGATCTCATAGGGCTCCGAGGAAAAGCATTTTTGCGAGGCATCATTTACTGGTTCTTGTTTGCATTCCCTGCTTCATACATAAACTCTGGAATCAAATTCTTAACAACACGTCTTGCTCTCAATTTCAGGACCAATCTTGTCAGATATTGCCATGACCTCTACATGGACCCTAGGATGGTGTATTATAAGCTACAATTTAACCAGAATCACTCTGATGTGTATAAGATGGATTTCAACTACGTTGATCAATACCTGACGGAAGACATCAAGAAGTTTAGCGACTCCTTGACATCCCTGTTCTCAAATGTTGGCAAGCCAACTGTGGATCTGATTTTCTTTGCCATCTATCTACGCGACAACATTGGTAGCGCAGGCATTTCTGGGATTCTGATGTGCTATTTTCTGACCGGATGGTTTTTGAAGCGCCACTCACCCAACTTCAGCAGAATTTGGAAAACAAAAACTCACTTAGAAGGGATATATTACAACTACAATCTGAACCTAATCAACAACTGCGAGGAAATCTCGTTCTATAAAGGAATTGAGATTGAAAAAAGTAAAGTTCACAAAATATTCAACAATCTTCTTTCGCATTCAAATTTGGAGATCAAGGCAAAGTTCAACTATGGACTTTTGGAGGAGTATATTCTAAGATATGCCTGGCCTGCCTTTGGCTATTTCTTTTCCAGTTTCCCCATTTTGCTAAACTATAACTCGGCAGATTCAGACAGCATCAAGGGTTTCATTGTGAATAAGAGATTGATGCTAAACATGGCTGATGCTGGATCTCGTTTGATGTATTCTATCAAAGACATCAGTAGCTTGAGTGGAGTAACAGATCGCATTTTTACTTTGCTACTCAATTTGCATCAAGTTCACGATCACAATTTCCAGTATGGAATGGCCTATAACGGGTTCGGCTCTCAACTGAAGCTTACATCCTTCACTTCGAGATTGCGTGTTCCTTCCAGCTCCCACATTGGAATCAACGGAACAATTCAGACGTCGTATCCTGGCCTCCGTTTTGAACATATCCCAGTGATAGTGCCATCTGCAGAAGGAATTAATGGCACCAAATTGCTGAGTAGCTTGAACTTCAAAATAAATCTGGACGAAACTTTGTTGATTTTGGGAAAGAATGGAATTGGGAAAACATCCATTATACGTATCATTTCGGAACTATGGCCGGTATATCGTGGACTTCTGTCAAAGCCTGCACCTAACGAAATCATGTATGTTTCGCAGAAATCTTACTTCATTAATGGTTCCTTGCGAGATCAAATAATATATCCCCTAAACCACTTGCAAATGATTGAAAAGGGATACACAGATCATCAATTGATAACCTATTTGAATGAAGTCGGTCTCGGCTATTTGTTAGAAAGATTCGGAAACCTTGATTACCATCCAAATGAAACTGCAACCATCATGACCGATGATTTAATCGTCAACGGTAAAAGTGTCAAGATATACAATTCCAATGTCGGTTTGGGAGACGGTAAGAAAAGCTGGCATACATTGCTCAGCGGAGGTGAACGCCAAAAATTGATAATGGCGAGAGTGCTGTTTCATCAAAAGAAGTTCGTGATTCTTGATGAGCCAACAAACGCGATATCCTATGACTATGAGGATGCAATTTTCGAGATGATGAAAGCTAAAAAATTCACTTTCATCACCATCAGCCACCGTGAGACTTTGATTAAGTACCACGATTACGTCCTCCGCCTGAATGACGTTGACAACTATGAGTTCGAAAGGGTAGACGACGGCCTAAAAACATTTGAAAGCATGGATAAAGAGATTGCATTCCTGAAAGCAGAACTCGAGCAGATGGATAAAGCCATAGAGAGGAAACAAGAGCTGCTCAATCTATTGAATGGTCCCGAAGATTAAGTTACCAGGGGAAAGGCCCTAAATCATCATACAAGGCTTTTGCTTCAGGGAAAGTAAGTTGCTCAAAACTTAGGAATGCATTAAGGATAGGCTCTGTATCTTGTGAATAAAACTCTTTACCGTTGCCGCGTTTCAATGGATCCCTAGAAACTTTTTTTTGGTATAGTTTAGATCCAATGCAGCCAAACCAGTCCTTTTCGAACAGATCGGTTGCAAATTTCTTTTCGCTGGAATGAAGTTCATCAAAGTAGCACTTACGTCTGGTTTGCCATTCATGCTCCGGGATCTGAAGAGTTGCAGCATCGGGATAATTGGGTCCTATTCCGAAGTATTCAACATGCTTTAGTTTCAGAACCTTTGCATGCAACTCCAAAAATCTGTATCTTTTAAATTCAAAACCAACGATTTGAGTTCTTTCTGGAAAATTTCCGGTTTGTTTACGGAAAAGGGCAATAGAGAGAAGTAAATTTTCATAGGAGTCACGGGCATACTCATCTAAATATATTCTGTCTTTGTTTTGTTCGGTAATCAGGCCTCTCAGCCGCCCAACTTGTAAATAACTATCACTTTCGGATATGCTCACTCCATCTTTGGTGAATCCTCCAGATATAACCAGCCTTGCGTTCGAATTTGCATTCAGGAGTTCAATTGCTTTATGGATATGTTCCACGAAAGAGAGGTGGTCATTAGCTTCGTACTGAAATGGAGCTAGGATCCAGTCGCACTGGCTAGACCCTGGTCCGTTATTCTGCGGCTCCAATTGAGTTTGGCTAGGATTACTAGTTTGAGCGGCAGTAAACACGGAATGACAGGGAAGTAAAATCAACGTAGTCATTTGAATTGAAACGATCAACTACCAAATACAGTATTTCACCAACAGGAATTAGATCGACGCGACGCTTGGAGGCATTTTTTTTTTTTTTTTTTTTTTTTTTTTTGATAAATTTTTAGATCCATCAGCCATGCAATTGGATAGACCACAGACAAAACAGAGCTCAAGGAAAACTAAGAAAGCATGGAGAAAGAACATAGACCTGAATGATATTGAGTCAGGGCTTGAGCAGAGGCGTGAAGAGCTGATTCAACATGGAGAGGCTTTGGATAGTATTGATTCTGAAGACCTTTTTTTCATAGACGATGAAGCTGATGAGAAGGTGGTGAAGAAGATGAAACGCGAAAACGTCAAGCCTCTTAAGTCGCAAGAAATATTGAACCAACGATCTAAAGTGCCCAGTCTGGAGACCGAAAGGCATAAACGGAAGATTCAGGGAGTTGACAAGAAAGAAGTGCACAAACTGATGGAACTGGCTGGAAAAGTTCAAGGCGTGACTAAAGCCCAAGCAGCAGTGAGCAATGAGGGACTGGTCAAAGTCAACAAAATCTATGATGTGTGGTCTGAACCTGAGTCTCGCGAGCAGAGTCCAAGTCTCGCAAGCTATACACCCGGTACGAAAGCTCCTAAGACCCTGTCAGAGCCTCCCATCAAGGTAAGAGAAGTGGAAACTCTACCTCACGAAGGAAAGTCCTATAATCCATCTTTTGAGAGCTGGCAGGAACTGATCAAGACGGAATCATTCAAGGAAAGCACTAAGGAGGAGCAAAAATTAGCTTTGCAGGAGCACCAAGAAAAAATTCAGTATTTGATTGAGAATTTTGACGATGATGAGGTCCCAGAAGACGATGTACAAGAGGAGGATGAGGAAGAAGATGCAGGTGACGTGACAAAACTGTCGATAAATCCAGCTGTCAAAAATAAGGAGAAAACTAAGGCACAGAGAAATCGGGAACAGAGACATAAGGAGAGGATGAAGCTTGAGACCGAAATGAAGGAGTTGAAACAGAAAATCAAGGAGCTAGAAACGTTACCTGAGCTGTTAACAAAAGAAAATACCGCTAATGTCAGAACCAAACAGGATAAAGTTGCCAAGGAAAAGAAGAAGCTAGGAACGAAACACCAACCTATTGAAGGGTTGCTGGAAGTAAAATTGAGCGACGAACTGAGCGATAGTTTACGCAAACTTAAGCCAGAAGGCAATCTGTTGTACGACCAAATGCGCGCATTACAGTCTTCAGGTAAGGTTGAGGCCAGAAAGCCTGTGAAGCAGAAGCGCAAGTACGCCCCAAAGATCACTGAAAAGTGGACTTACAAGGATTTTCGCTGGTAAATATTAATGCTAATTTCTCTATTGACTCGTATTTTGCCAGTACTCCTCCATCAGTGCAAGCGTTTCCTGAATGACAACGATGAACTCCGTATGTGAAAATTGCCCACTTAAACTAACGTAGCTGGGGACGTTATATTTTTTGGACACAAGCTGTCCGATTCGCTTCCCAAGCTCCACGAGAGTTTCTGAAGCATTGTTAAGCAAAGTCTGATATACCTGAGGCGTGCTAGATTGTTTTCTTGTATCAACGATGGAGTATACGTAACATCCCAAATTAGTATTTGACCCTTCGGTGCTTAGGTGAATTGTGATTGGAAGTGTGTTGCGGACATTTGTCAGAGGTCTACTGCTCGGAAGCGTGAGAACGACCTCAAAAGAGGGGCCAAAAGACGGCGTCAGAGTCTTAACTATGCTTTGAGTACTCATAATTCGCATCAAATGCGGCTGGCCCAACTTTTTTTTTATCCTCGAGCCGCAATGGAAAAATTTAGTTCAACAGCATTTTCATTGAATGTCTATTCTTCTAGTAGACTCTTACGACTCGTTCACGTACAACCTGCGCCATCTTGTTGAAAATGCGACAGGTGCACATGTGCTAACAATTCATAACGATTCGTACGATCTTTCTCGTGAGAAGGAGAGTCTCGACAAATTAGTTGGATCAGTCGATGCTATCGTGATTGGTCCTGGGCCTGGAAATCCCGAATTTGCGCAAGATGTGGGCATCATTCCGTATCTCTTTGAATCCTTTCCCAACACCCCGATTCTTGGAATTTGCCTCGGTTTCCAATGTTTGTGTCTGGTGCATGGTTGCACGTTGGGGTATCTTGATCACCCTATCCATGGTCAGGTAAGCAAAATAACGCCAATCGACAAACAATCCTTATTCAATGGTTTTGATTCTGCTTTCTACAGTGTGCGGTACCATTCAATCTATATTTCAAAGGTAACTGACGACATTATCCCACTCGCCTATTCGGAAGATCAATGTCTGATGGCAGCCAGACACGCTCACAATCCTCATTTTGGAGTCCAGTATCATCCTGAATCCGTCTGCTCGGAGATGGGCGGCACAGTTGTATCGAACTTCTGGGCTTTGGTTGAAAAAAAAGGAACCGCTCCTGTTAAAGACTCGCACCTTTTGCAGACAGAACCATTAATTAAGCATTTCAAAACTACTTTGGAGTACGACTACAAGTATGAAAAACTGCCCAAAGTTGAGATCCTATCCGCATGCGAGCAATTTTCTGATCTGCTTTTACTGAACAGTGCCGCGTTGCCGGGAGAATGGTCCATAATAGGGTTGCCCGAGCCAGGGAAGAGCCTGGTAGTTGGAAACTCTCACGAAGCAGGATTGTCAGTTGGAACCTGGAAAGGGGAGATGGAGGCTCATTCAGACTCGATGTGGTCTTATATTTGCAACCATATGTCTCAGCGGTATTACGAGCCCACAATTGATGACCCGGAACTGGCGAAATGCCCGTTTGTTGGGGGATTTATTGGGTTCTTGTCGTACGAGGAATCTGTACCACTAACGGTGAACAAGATCACTGTAGGACCGACTCCAAGCACGAGGCTCTGTTTCGTGGACCGCTTCATCGCCAGCAACGACAGGCACACGTTTGTGGTGTCTATTCGTCCAGGAGACCAGGGTTGGATACAGCAAGCAAAGAGTCGGTTGCAAAGTTATCGAGAAATCAGCTTTTTATCTTCAGTGAACGCCAAAGTGGAGAAGCCAGACAGAAAAAGCTACGAAAAAAGCTTTAACGACTGCCAAAAGTACCTTCACACTGGCGACTCATACGAGCTATGTCTGACTCGGCAGACCAAAATACACATTCCGAAGAATATCGCGCCCTGGGAAATATACAAATGTATGGTTAAAAGCAACCCTTCCCCATACTCATGCTATCTGGATTTTGGTGACGCAAGGCTTCTGTCGACCTCGCCCGAGCGGTTTCTCAGCTGGGACAACATGGTGTCTCAGATGAGACCGATAAAGGGGACCGTGAAAAAGGGCTCAGAAATGACCTATGCCAGAGCCTGCGAGCTGCTGAAAATACCAAAGGAGATTGGAGAAAACCTCATGATTGTGGACCTGATCCGCCACGACCTCTACCAGATGCTGGAATCAGTCGAGGTGACGAAGCTCATGTCCGTGGAAGAGTACCACACTGTTTATCAGCTGGTTTCAGTTATTGAGGGCCGGTTGCAAGACAGCAGCTACTCGGGAATAGATTTACTGAGACACTCTCTTCCGCCAGGGTCGATGACAGGTGCACCGAAAAAACGCAGCGTAGAGATTCTTTGTGACCTTGAGGAAAGAATTCCAAGGGGATTGTATTCTGGGGTATGCGGATACTGGTCTGTGAATAATCATGCCGACTGGAGCGTGGTCATCCGTTCGCTGTTTAATTACGAAGACGATCTTTGCTCCACCGAGACGACCAGATGTTTTAGATGCGGTGCTGGCGGAGCAATTACGGTCCTAAGCACTTGCGAGGGCGAATGGGATGAATTAAACCTGAAACTGGATAGTGTCTTGAAAATATTTAACTAATGCTAATTTTCCAGTTGAATTCTGTTGCGCGCGGCCAGCGACCCAGAGAACGTGAACTTGTGGCACCCGTTCTGCTGGGCTCTTTTTTTAGGCTCGGAACTGGTAGCACCGTATCCACCTCCTCCGGGAGTGAGTATCCGAATGCGGTCTCCTGCTGCCACCTGGACAGAAGAGCGGCCACCGATATTGATAATCCGCTCCGACTCCTTACCTTCGCTGTCCTTCGTCTTCTTTATCCACAGGTTGACGCCCCTGGCACCGTCCTTGCCGCCAGCAATTCCATGTGGCGCAATCACTCGTCTTTCGGAAAGAATAGAAGCCGTGACAGGGACTCTAAACTCCACGTCTCTTACGACACCATCACCTCCTCTGTGCATACCATCACCACCGGAGCCCTTTCTAATAGAGAACTCGCGCAGAATGATGGGGTATCTCTTTTCGAAAACCTCAGGGTCTGTGATTCTGGTGTTGGTCATGTTCGTGTGGACTCCAGAAACTCCCTCCCATTTGGCAGACGCTCCGTGGCCACCAGCAATGGTCTCGTAGTATCCAAATCCCTGAGAATATTTCCCGTCTGGACTGTTTCCACCAGTACCAAAGGTGAAGTTGTTGCAACATCCCTGGGAGTCGGCCATCACGTGGAACGCTTTCAGTAATGTATCGGTGATACGTTGCGAGGTACACACGTTTCCACCAACAACAGCACAACCGTCGTCGGGAGACAGAAGCGAGCTCTCAGGGATGACCACCTTGATAGGGTCCAAACATCCTTGGTTCATCGGGATGTCCTCGTCCACAAGACACCGCAGACAGTAGATTATGGCAGAAAAAACGATGGCTCTTGGAGCATTAAAATTGTTGTAGGCCTGAGGAGAGGTTCCTGTGAAATCAAAAACAACCTTGCCGTCCTCGCGGTCCTTGCGAACTTGCAATTGAATCGCACTGCCGTCATCCATGTAGTCTGTGCAAACAAGGTTTTCCTCGCCGTGCTCTTCGATCAGCTTGTCCAGCATAGCAGAAACTGTTTGTTTGGCATTCTCCTGGATAGCGGTCATGTATCTGATGATGGTAGGAAGTCCAAACTCGTCTACCAGGCTCTCGATGAGAGAAATACCCTTCTGGTTTGCTGCAACCTGGGCTTTCAGATCGGAAATGTTGTCGGACAATCTTCTGGTTCCCGAGCTACCGGGGTACTTGGCGGGATCCTCCAACATAATCTTGGTGATCTTGCTCATTTGGAACTCTCCATCTCTCACCAGCAGCTCAGAGTAGAAAGTAGCACCTTCTTCCCACAGCTCCTTTGAGTTTGGAGGCATGGACCCTGGCAAAACTCCTCCGATGTCTGCGTGGTGTGCCCGTGAAGCAACGTAAAATATGATTTTGTCGCCGTCGAAGGCAGGCGTGATCACCGTGATGTCCGGAAGATGCGTTCCGCCAGCAGAAGGATGGTTGGAAACAAGCACATCGCCAGGTTTCAGCTTTCCCTCCCAGAGTTTGGCCTGGGTAGCAACACAGGTGGACATGGATCCCAGGTGCACGGGAACATGGGGGGCGTTGGCAACCAGATTTCCATGAGGATCGAACAAAGCGCACGAGAAATCGAGTCTCTCTTTCACGTTGACAGACACGGAAGTCTTTTGTAACGAAATGCCCATTTGCTCAGCAATATCCATGAACCTGTGGCCAAAAATGGACAGCAAAACAGGCTCCACGACAATCTCCTCGTCACCCGTGGCAATAGGCTTCTTCTCCTCAGCTAGCTGGATAACAAGGTGTGCGTTCAGAACGGTAGCCGTAGCTTTTGGAGGAATCACGTTAGTCTGGGTACCGTCGGCGACAATAGCAGGTCCGACGATCTGAGTGCCAACATCAAGCTGCTCTAGTCTGTACACAGGAGTGTCTAGATCCTCGTCACCCCAGAATGTTTTCTTGACAAACTGGACTTTGCTTTTGGAGACGGCAGTCAGACGGTTTTCAGATTCAAGACGCTGCAATTGGTCATCGATGGCCTCTTCCTGTCTGTCAAGCCCTTTACCAATGGCTCTCACACGAATGTCATCCACAATGATTTCTTTGTCGAAGATGAACCCAAACTCTCGCTTATGGAGAGCAAAGAAATTCTCTTTGAAGTCCCAGTCTTTGCCCTTAACCACCATGAGTCCAGACTCTGTTCCCTGGTATCTCAGATTCAGATACTCTTCGAACGAGATATCTTCATTCTTAAAGCCTTGGGCCTGCAGAGATGTTGATGCCTGCTGCTTAAGTGCTTCCAGACGGGCCTCCAACATAGACCGGGTGCTATCCTCCAGCAGATATGAGGAAGGCTCTTGCACCTCCTCGACAACGTCAGCCAGCGCCATACCGTATGCCGACAGAACAGAAGAGAATCTGTGCACCAGCACAACAGAGATGTTGAGCAGCTTTGCCACGTCGCACGCGCACTGTCCACCGGCACCTCCAAAAGAAACGAGTCTGTGTTTGGCAAGAACGTGACCTTTAGCCTCTGTCAGCTGGCGGACTGGACGGGCCATGGTCTCGTTGGCAACCTTGAGAAAACCCCATGCGGCCTGCTGGATGCTCATCGGTGGAAGATGTGGATGAGCGGCATTAATCTTGTCTGTCATTTCTTGAAATTTCTTTTCAGCAACCTCTATATCCAGTGGCTGGTCTTCGTTGGGCCCAAAAATGCTTGGGAAATATTCTGGCACGAGTCTTCCCAGAATCAAATTAGCGTCGGTAATGGTCAATGGGCCACCCTTGCGGTAGCAGGCAGGTCCCGGGTGGGAAGAAGCAGATTCTGGGCCGACCGTCATGAGACCGTTTTTGAAATCAAGAATGCTGCCTCCGCCAGCAGCCACCGTGTTGATATCCAGCTGTGGAGACTGAATTGTGACGCCGGCAGTGGTGGTTTCGAAAACGTGATCAAACTTACCGTCCCCAAACCGCGAAACGTCCGTGGATGTTCCACCCATATCAAAACCGATCAGGGGAATTTTATTCTTAGGGTTGTAGCAGGTCTTGGAGTAGCCAACGACACCTCCTGCTGGACCAGATAAAATGGCTCTCAGACCAGAAAACCCAGAAGCGTCGACCAAACCACCGTCCGACTGCATGAACTGGCATTTAACACCAGAGGTCTTTCCATGTGCAACGCTGGCTAAACCGTCTTTGAGGCCTGATTCGAAGCCAGACAAGTATTTCTTGATTTCTGGGGTCAAATATGCATCTGCCACTGACGAGTTGGCTCTTGGAACAAGCTTGATCATTGGCGTGAGCTTGTGGGAAAGCGATATGTGAGTGAATCCAACTTCTTCGGCAATTCTGCCAACCAGAAGCTCATGGTCTGGGAAGGTGAACGAGTGAAGCAAACAGACGGCTAGAGATCGGATACCGGTTCCATACAGGACCGTCAGCAAGCTTCTGATCTCGTCCTCATTTGGCCTCTTGAGCACGCGGACAGTCTCCCCAGAGAGACCTTTGACCAGGTCAACTCCATTTGGTGCCGTGTAATTTCTTTGCGGATCTTCAACAAAGTCCTCCAAAGTGACTCTCTCGTCGATCTCGATAACACTCTCGTAGATGACGTCAGGCTTGGCAATGGATAAGTCAAAGATGTGTGGCCGGGACTGATTACCGATGCGGAGAATATCCTGGAACCCTTGGGTCGTCACCAAAGCACAGCGCTCTCCTTTTCTCTCTAAAAGAGCGTTGGTGGCAACGGTGGTACCTAGACGCAGATGCTGAATTCTGGACGTGTCGAGTGGCTTCCCACGGGGTATTTTCTCGCCAGTATAAATCTCCATCAGTCTTCTAATACCTTCTAGATTTGCATCCGGATAGTTTTGAGGATCCACTGATAAGAGCTTGATAACAACATCTTTCTTGCCGGAGTCGGAGTCCCAACTACCAACACAGTCGGTGAATGTTCCTCCTCTATCAATTGCGATTCTCACACCGGCCATTTTGGTTCCCATGTCTAAGAATACACAAAGTATTTATAACTGAACGTTCAGAAAATTTCCGTCGCTATGAAACTATATAGCGGGAAACTAGTTCCGACATTTGAAAAAAAATATTATCGCCTGAATAGCCTCAGGTGTGGCTATTGTTTGTGCACCTGACCAACAATATGCTTTTCTCTTTCGCTCTTGTATTGTTTGTTCTTGGAGTGTCTGCGCTCGTTGTTCTCACGACGCTTCTGGCTCTCAATCTCGATTCTCTTGATTTCTCCTGCTTTCTTGACCACTGCAGGGAGATGTCTGTGTCTCTGTATTCTTCTGATCTCCGGCATGTTACCATATCTCTCCTTTAATTTTTCGTCGTATTCCAGTTTGTTTCTGAGTCTCGTGGACTTCGGACCTGCTCTTTCGTTGGCCTTGGCACGCCAAAGCCGCACGTTGCCCTCATCAGACCCCGAAAAAATGTACTTACTATCCATCGAAAACTTTGTGATAAAGACATGTTGCATTCTTTTCGTGTGATAAATGTCTCTCGAGTGCCCCTTTCTGTACCCGAAAATTCTAATCGTTTTGTCGTATGATCCTGTCACGATCTCTTGACCTGTAGGCGAAAAATCAACGTCCATCACTGCAGAAACATGGTCTTTGAAGATATTAATAGAACGCGACATGTTCCTCATATCCCATAAGTATGCGTTGTGATCCTCACTGGCGGATGCAAAAACGTACGCCTCCATTGGATTCCAACAAAGCGAGTTCGAGCGCATGCTGGTTTTTATCTTTTGCGTAGGCGAATTTGTGCGGATATCATACAGAATTAAGGAGTTGTCCGAGCCAGCACTAGCAAACACAGATGTTTCGGTCTGATTAAATCTGACAGCGGTGATATTGTCTGCTCCCCACGACAGATCAGACACTGGACGACTTCTGTTCACATCCCATAAGTTGATGGTGGCTCCACCGGTGACAAACAAATTATCGCTGTAATGATGATCCAAAGACTGGAATGCATGCTCACCCAAGAAAGTCTTTTCCAGGCCCTGGGTACTGGACTCCGACTCGTTCTCTTCTTTTTCAAAATCCTCGCTGTAAACTTTCCATAGTTTGATCGTCTTGTCATGTCCACAAGATAAAAGCTTGTGGGTTGGGGTGACAACTAGCCCAGAACACATACCATAGTGAGCCTTGAAACTGTACAACTCATCCCTTGTTGTTAGATCCCAATATTTGATAACACCATCTCCAGACCCGGTGGCAATCTTATTAACACTGCGGAAGTTCTTGGCAATTGAGTACACACCGTCACGATGTCCGTTGCCTAGTTGTCCTATGAATGGTTGTGCAAACATGCGCTCGAGCTTAGTGGCCGTCAACGCCTTTGTGTATTCTCGCGCCCGCTCAAATGGATGCAGAGAGGGGTCCAAGTTACGTGGCAGAGAACTTTCCTGGGTATTTCGAACGGGCACATAAGTGTCCGACGATCTTGAGATGGTCTTGATCTTCATAAAAGTTTAATAAAAAAAAATTTATCTAGCACAGCCGGCCTATATAATTCATATTTCTCGTGGAACCCCGATTATCTAATCCATTTGGACTTTGTGGTCTCCAACAGGAGGTGGCGAAACAGAATATTTGATGGCGTCACTGTAACTTGGAGGCTGCGAGGAAGATTCTTGCGCAACTTCTTCACGAGGAGTATCCGGAACGGAATCGTCGTAGTAAAATTGAGCCGCTGGACGTTGTGGGGTAGGAGAGACAACGTTCTGAGGCTGAGCTTCCGTATCTTCATCAAGGGCCTGGTACTCTCCATTGCCATTTGCACGGGCTCTGATTCTCGACTCAACCCCTTGATCTGAGCCAGTCACCAAGCTCGTGTCATAAACTACGTACACTGCGTAGAGGAGACCCGGAAGATGTGCCAAGATGGTGAGAAGGACGACAATAAGCAACTCGCTGCTGCAAAAGCCTTTCCGGAGGAAAACTGGAACCGGCGGGAAGATGAAAGCCAGAAAATACAGAAGTACGTCGGTGGGGTCCACCACGTAGCCAAGGACGTGGAACGAGTTTGGATGCTGGTCCCTGTTCATTGAATGCTATTGCTAGATATTTTAATTAAGGTCTGTGGCTGTGTTAATCACAATCAGCCACTTCGCTAGATAGTAGAAAAAAAAGCACACTGAACATAACTCGGCAGCAAACCTTTTATTCTGGAACCCCCCACTCAGAGTAATTACATGGAAATTGTGCCATCTTTACAACCACGGACGAGCCTTTCCAGTGCACAGAAAGTGCCACGAGGCACGGCTCCGGCAGAGCCCCGCCACCGCGGCTCTTTTGATCATAGGCGGAAAAGCTCGAATAGTGAGCATTTCAGAAGTGGCCGTTTTTCGTGGGTGAAACGGCTGATGAACAACAATAAAACTGTTGCACCTCAAGGTACTCAAGGTACTCAAGGCTCCAGCAAGGATGTAAGGAAAAATGAACCCGTCAACCAAGAGGCAATTCCCGTGACGGTAACAAGAACCCCCGACGAAAGAAACAGTTTTTGCAGCACAGAGGTCTCGACAGGTGATAATATTAGCACCAGGCCCATCTTATCGAACTCCTCTGACGAGAGCGACAATGAAGATGATGAAATTGACTCAAGCTACAAATATTACGATCCATCAGTCAAGTCAACGGCAATGACTTCTATTGCACCAACAGCATTTACATCCGCCAGCAGCTCCGTACCAAGCAACATGATTATTGTGCCTGGCGGTTCGAGTGGCACGCAAGGTCACGGCACTAGCATTCTAAGCTATACCGGAAGCACCACTCCTACAGCTGTTTCATTTTCTCACCAAACTGCTCACGGCGCAGACTCTTCTTCTGTGATTACAATTGCAAGCTCGACACGAAATAGAAGACGCAGGAGCATCGACACTAATGCTTCTACATCTGCAATCCCACCAGCAAGTATTTTTGAGCGTATAATCACCGCAAACACCAGTACGTCGAAGCTTCCAGCCTCTGAGGGCCCTTCGCGTGCTCCTGTCAGTGAACAGGACTCTGTGGCATCAGGAGATTACTGTTCGGCAGCTTCTCACTAAGCTATCAAGGGTCGTGCTACCAGCTCAATTTTATGCAAAAATGTAAACAAATGACGTACAGGTTTTTAGTTTCTAATTAAGTGACTAGTTTCAGTATCCTGGCAGTCTGCTTGGCAAGATAATATCCCTACTTCCCGTGAAGAAGTGGTTAAGGGGACCTTGATACCCCATTAGTGTCTGGATATTTTGTCATTTCCAAATATGGGTGCCAACACCTGCGACGGAGACGTGTATATCCATAACTTGGCCACGTTCATAAAATCTCACGAACGCCAGCTAGCCAATGCTTTAGTTGCCTACAAGAAGAGTGCTCCTAAGACAAACACAAATGGAAAGCCCAATTCGATGCCGAGACAACAGCAACAGTCGGCAAAGCCTGTCAGACTGTCTTTGTCTCTTCACCATTTGTATTTTTTACTGGGTAAATTTCAGGAACTCGGCATCAGCGTAGGCCCAATGAACATTCGACTGGACAATATCGATACCGAAGGCTCTGACAACTATGTCTCATTTTTGAGTGAATTTCAACGAAACAAGGCCATACAATCGGACGCTCAATCGATTCACTCGATGTCTAGTGTCAAGTCAGTTATGTCTAGCGTGTCAGCACTGTGGACTACGCTCAGCTCAAGTGGCCAAAAGGGAGACAATATCATCAACGATCTTAAATACCTGTACTCTGCATTTACAAAACTCCCCTGTCTCAGATTGGCGACAGATCCCAATGCTAAACTTATTGAAGGCCACGAGGAGTATCCTTTCGATACGTCAACACCTATAAAGATATTCAAGAACCTTTCTGTTTTGGAGATTTCAGACATGGATCCGAAGGAGATTTATGGCTGGCATATACTGAGTGAAAACATCAGATTTTTGGTGGTCAAACGCACGAACATTACAGACCCTTATGACATTCTTGTTACACTGGTCCACGACGACATAAATAAGCGTGGGTCAATGTATTCTGAAGATTCTGAGCGATCACCCTCATCTACTTCGTCTCTCGCAATTCCAATGCCCAAACGAGGCTCTTTTTCTTCCCCCTCAGTTCACAACGGTGCGACTTTCTCTAATTCATATGGATCTTCTCACCATCATTACCTCAGCGGGTCACTTCCAGAGACCACGTCACCACCGTCATCCTACTACGCTTCACGACTTCCCACTGACGACAAATATGCATTAATTCCTAGGAGACAATATCAGTACCAGCACAAATCACGGTACACCCCGAAAGATACACTTCCTACTATTGACCAGATTCCTATATCTTCAAACCCGCATGAATTGTCTAAGATCCATTGGAGATTACTAAAACATTTGTCGCTCACAGAGAACAAGATAACAAGAATTAACGAAGAAGCGTTCACCAATTTGGAGAATTTATCGTCTCTTGACCTGTCTTATAATAACCTGACGGAGATCCCGCACGCTGCACTGGCCAAACTTCATAATCTCAAGTCACTGAACCTGTCCTATAACAAGCTCATGAATACAAAAACGTTCCCAAAGACGCTGACCAAATTGGCCATCCTAAACTTGCGTGGTAATCAGCTAACAAATTTGGATACTTTGGAGAATGCCACATCATTGGAGAAGATTGATTTGCGACAGAACAAGTTGTCCAAGGTTGCTGAGATGAAGCCGCTTTTTTTGATGAATAATAACGTTGTGAAGCTCAACATCTTGTACTTAGTTGGTAACCCATTGGCTAGCAACAGAGGTTACAGAATAGAGTTGTTCAACTTGTTTAATGGAGTTGATTACTCAAACGATCTGCGCATTGATGGCTCAAGGCCGGGAATATTTGAGTCGAGGTTATTGCTTGATGCAAAATCCGCTCAATTAAAGTTGAATAAGTTTCTGGACCCAAGCATTATTTCAAAGATGGCCGAAAGTGTTTCCACAATGAACATCAACAAGGTAATTACTACCACGACCACCGGAGATAATTCGATGTCATCGGATATGTTGAACAATCGGATGAGCTCTCAATCTCGCGTGAGTGTATCTTCCAAGGAAAAACATGAGGATGCACGGGATTCTATCGATTCAAGGGCCTCACAAAGGTCAAAACCCCCGCCTTTGAATTTGGACAGCCACAAGACGCAGGTGGTCACCCCTCAAGCTCAGATATTGACGCCAAACAAAAATCTATTGAATTCTTCTGATCACATGCTTCCTCCGCAGAAACCGTTCTCCCAGAAGACATCTTCAGTACAATCTTCAGCGACAGGGAACTTGTGGGAACAAATCAGTTCAGCAGTGCCCGTATCTGAGGCTTCGAAGACTACAACCTTGGCTACCCCAGTTAGTGCGAACTACACTTTTGAAAAACCTCAGCCGGACCAAGCGTCACAGCTTCCTTCACCAGTCGCTTCAAGCCAGCCATCGAGGGCGGTCTCAATTGACGAGAATGTTTATCCTTCAGGGGTGCTTTTGACAAGGCAGGTCAACGCATCGAACTCATCACTAGTCACAAGTTCCTCAAGAAAGCCATCTCAGGAAGCTAACCCAATCAGCAAGATTAGCCTGGCTGCCCCTGCACTCCCAGTGATCACGCAAGCTACCACAATGACTACGGTCTCTTCAGATCCTCCGACACCTCACAGCCAGCGTCGCAGTGCAGACCACGAGTACTTTGCCGGTGCTGTAGCTTTGCAAAGTCCGATCAAGGCTCATACTTTCCGTCACCCTGATGCTAGAATCGAACCGAATCCCGACTCAGCATCAGCTATAGACCTTTCCATTATGAACATGATACGCGAAACCAAAGACGAAGCCAGCCAGCCTGAGCCCGATTCCAAAGACGATCTTTCGCAGGGACATAAGATATCGGTTAGCTAATTTTCAATTCTAAGGCCTCTGTATATCATATGTAATTTAGTGCATGACATTTACGGCACTGTTATCTGGGTAGTATTTCTTCCTTGGGCTATTAACCCAGCAACGGTAGCACCTGCTAGTGAAGAAGTCTCCATGGTGCTTATAAATTGTTCCATGCCATTGAGGTAGTAGAGGTTCTCTGCAAGCTTAAATTCGTCGAACCTGCTTATTGGATTCAAATATGGATAGCTGTACCAGATTTTCTCGTACTTGTTTGAGTAGTTTCCAAATATGTCATGCAGCAGTTGCTCATCCAGGGTTTGGAAGCTGAACACTTTATAGACATACTCCTGGAACTTTTCACTGTATCCCACAAGGCCAATTGAGTTGAACTCATCACCACCTGTGGTTAAGATTGTTTGCGGAGTCTTCTTATTGTTGAAGTAGGAGCTTTCCGACAGCAGATTTGGCGTTCTAACCAGGGTCACAAAGAGATGGACATATTCAGCGCTGACTAGCGATACAGAGATGTTGGTTTGGATGTTCAACTGGTCATATGGTCCTGCAAGGACAACGATATCGAACTCCTCGGTGTGCGAGCCGTAAGAGACAACATATCCTGACAATGTTTTAGAAATTGCTGTTACTGTGGTATTGAGTCGCAGATCAGCATCGGAGGCTTGTATCCATTTCTGAAATATTTGATTATTTCCTCCCTCAACATGGAATGAGGACTCTCCAGAGAGCAGCACTAAACTTCCCAAAGAATGTATTGTACCTAGATTCTGAGCGTAATTATTTCGGGTCAGTGATTGCACAAAGCTCTGGTAGTTAGCGCCCACCCATATAGAATTGAAGAGTTCCTTGGCTGTCACAGATGTATATTTCAGCAGATCAGTGACCAAGTTGAGAGAGGATAAAGGGTAATATTTTTCGTAGTATTCTGTAAGAAACGTCTTCATGGCTGTTTGCTGCTGATACTTTACAGCTGCAATGGAGTAAAGCCCAAATCTCCACACAAGCTTTAGGTATGTGACCCAAGAGTTTGACGAAGGCTCCAATATGTAGTCAAAGGACTCTCCGTTCCACAGTGCGAACGAGGTGGACTCTGAAGAACTGTTTGCGAAACTTAGGTTGAGCTCCCCCACAGCATTGTATAAGATTCTATTGTCCTCAATAAACATGCTAGCCCCCAGCTCTGCTTCGACTCCATCAAAGTTAATATTGGTCGCCCGACCTCCAACATAGCTGTTTTTTTCAAATATTGTGACATTGAATTGATGATCCGTGAACTTCCGGAGATAGTAGGCACATGAAGCACCGCCAGCCCCAGAGCCGACAATAGCCACACGAACGTTTGAATTAGGGAGCACCTGCTGTGCTAAACAAGAAACGACAGAAAAGAGTAAAAGGAGCATCCGCGACATGCTGTACCCTAAAAGAAATATTGTGTGAATCTGACTTTTCAGGGATTAGGGGCACTCTATATAGTAAAAGCTAAATCAATACGCCGATAATTACCTGAGAGGAAATACACCATACAATTAAAGACCGTAAGGGGCAGCTTAAAACATGTGGTGCACGACTGGGGATCACTTGATACAAGGCTGTGCATCCTCAAACTCAAAGTGGTCAATACATCGTAACATAATGATGCGCGAACCGTTTTCAGGGTGTGGGAAAATAGCTGGAGGTAGCGTTATTCAAGAGAAGTAATTGAGTTCCGGCTGTGCGGCTGCAAGTTGCATCAAATACCAGAGCCAGGGGGCTTCAACAAAAATCTTTCTCGCGAGAGCTCAACGGAGTTTAGAAATATGTAGTCACATACTCTGATTGTTCACGTCTCGCAAGATTACCCCTACACAATAACCATCAAGACCAATTGCTAGTATCCACTCAACTAATTATCATAGCACGAGAAACTTGACATATCCGCACATATCAAGTGGAGACTGTCTCGGGCCGTGCAGCATGATTGGACACTCGATTAACACTCGGTTGCGTTAACGGTAGCTCAGATAACTCCGGCACTAGGAGAAAAAAATGTCGCGCAGGTGCTGTGAGCGACCGATGTGGCAGCCGATCCTTGGTCGTCCCCATATTAGTCAGAACACCTATCGATTTCCTTATCGAGAACGAATCGATAGCAAGTCACGTGAGTCAGATATAATTTATCCACAGTTGTTGTCTGCCACCACCACAGCTTTGCCGTCGGAGAAACTATAAATAGGGTTGTAGCTTGCTAATATTTCTCTGCACAATCATGGTCGTTCCACTCACTGTTTACAGCAACAGCGATATCCACTTCAGGAAGGGAGAAGACACCATCCGGAATGGCGTTTACTCTATCTCTGATGATAACTACAAGCGCCTCAAGTATCCGGCCTGGACTCCCACTTGGGATCCAAAGCATCAAATGGCTTTCACAAACCCTAAGCCATTCAGACACACCGACAGAGGTTACTTTGGTGACCCTACTTTCCAAAACTTGCTCTCTGGCGAGGAAGTTCAAACCAGAAAACTTAGCCCTAAGCTCGGAACTGAGGTCACGGGCGTGCAATTGAGCGCTCTTACCCCAAGACAAAAAGACGATCTAGCTCTGCTTGTGGAGCAACGGGGTGTTGTTGTCTTCAGAGACCAGGACTTCAAGGATCAATCGTTTGACTTCATCAAAGATTGGGGCAAACATTTCGGTCCGTTGCATGTCCACCCTACCTCTGGAGCACCTCTGGGGCAGCCAGAGTTTCACATAACCTTCAGAAGAGGAAGCAGGGATGAAGCCAAAAAGACTTTTGCCAACAAGCTAAACAACATTTCGTGGCACTCTGACGTTACATACGAGACCCAGCCGCCTGGAATCACTCTGTTTGGTATGTTGCAAACCGATGTTGGTGGGGATACTCAGTTCCTTGACACTGTTGAGGCCTACGAAAGACTCTCACCAACCATGAAGAAGCTACTGGACGGCCTTAAGGTTCTGCACACATCGAAGGACCAGGCTTCCAATGCCAGACAACAGGGTGGTATCGAGAGAAAAACTCCAATTGACTCGATCCACCCACTGGTCAGATACCATCCTGTTCTGAAGAAAAAATGTCTGTTTGTGAACAGAGCCTTCTCCAGAAGAATCCTGGGTCTCAAAGAAGAGGAGAGTCAGGCCCTCTTGAACTTCCTGTTCAGACACCTGGACACCTGTTTGGACGCTCACGTTCGTGCTCAATGGGATGAGAGAACTATCACCATTTGGGACAATCGCCGTCTGCTGCACACCGCCACGCTTGATTGGGACTCCGATAACCTGAGACATGCCTTCCGGCTGACCACCATTGCTGAGAGACCAATTGGCAGCGAGGAGGAATTCAATGAATGGACCGAGGAACTCGAGGAGGAAAAAATCAAGCGCACGGAGGAGGACAGTCTCATCCCACCATACGAGTATTACGAGAGATACTACAAATAGTTGCTTAGCAAAACCAGAACATGAACAGTGTACCGTAAGTTGCGTAAAAAAAAATCTATTAAATGTACTAAGCCACACAGTAGCCTCCGTCAACTAAGATATCGCTACCCGTGCAATAGCTGGCTGCGTCACTGGCAAGGAAAAGGTAGGCGCCTGCAATCTCTTTCGGAAGAGCCAATCTACCAAGTGGGATCAGTCCCAGCCATTTGTTCATCAGGTCTGCTGGGAGCTGCGCCACAAGCTCTGTTTTGACGTATCCGGGAGACACAGTGTTAACTCTTGCGAAACCTGCCCATTCGACAGCTAAACTGCGAGCGTAGTGTGTAACAGCAGCCTTGGCAGCGTTGTATGGTGCCTGTAGTTGAGGGAAATTGACAATGTGTGCAGACATGGAGGAGGTGATGATAAACGAGCCCGACCCCTGTTTCTTGAAATGCTTGCCAACTGCTCTCGCACAGTAATGGATGGCATCAACGTCGACGCTGAACAGTTTCTTCCACTCATTGATGGCCTCCTCGTCGTCCTCGATAGACAAAATCTCGCCTTTATCCCAAGCTACACCTGCATTTGCCACAAATATATCTAGCTTGCCAAAATCGGACACGATCTTGTCGACAGTGTCGTTCACCGCGTGGAAATCGGTCACGGGACACCTGTAGCCACGACACTCCACACCGTATTTATCAGTAAATTCCTTGACAGTCTCGTCGATGGGCGTCTGATTGAACAGAAGGGCCACCTTGGCTCCTGCGCTGGCATAGGCTTCAGCGACCGCCAAACCAATACCTTTTGAAGCACCAGTCACAGCGGCCACCTTGCCTTTGAGAGAGAAAAGCTGAAATGGGGATCCTTCGAGCTTAGGCTCTGGCCTTGGCAATTCGCCGATATCGAGCAATTGTGATTTCACCATTGTGAATCAAACGACTGGCAGAAATATATATATATGCATTGGTAGAAAGCTATCTGGAATGACGTAATTGCTCTCTTGGAAAAACCCAGAATGGATTTCAGTGCCGCATCCTGTTTTACCGTCCAAGAGCGGCAAAGCTGATCTTCAGAAGAACAATACCGCAAGTAGCGCTAGAGACGATGTTTGGTGTGATAGCCTCTTAGGACCCACTAATTTATGTGCCGGATGTAGATCAGTTACTCCGAGGCCAGCCCTGTGCTAGTTTTCAAGGCTGTGAAAATGCGTAAATTTCGCTTGTCACAATTGTAAACAAATGGCAGATATTGCTAAAAGTCCTTTTTGGCCCACCAAGTCTCCAGTGCGCAGATCTATGGACTCTCACAGCTCCGTATTCAACCGTCTGTCACTACGCAAGTCGACCCCCATGGAATCTTTGCCCAGACAGCTCCATAAGAATTGGAAGATCAGTGATTTCGAGCTCGGTCGTAAACTGGGAAAAGGTAAGTTTGGTAAGGTCTACTGTGTACGGGAGATCGCAACGGGGTTTGTGTGTGCACTGAAGGTCATGGACAAATGCGAACTGCTAAACTATAAGGTCGAGAAACAATTCGTCAGAGAAATCGAGATACAGGCAAACGTGCGCCATGTGAACTGTTTACGTTTGTATGGCTGGTTTCACGATCAGAAGAACGTGTACCTGATTCTGGAATACGCGGCTGAAGGGGAGTTGTATAAAGTGCTCAAATCCAAACGGCGGTTTGATGACGTCACCGCGTCCTACTACACCTTCCAAGTCGCCAGCGCGCTCAGCTACTTACACAAAAAACATATCGTTCACAGAGACCTCAAACCGGAAAATATACTGCTTCATTTCAACAACCAAATCAAACTCTCGGATTTTGGGTGGAGCGTTTACGCTCCCGGGCATTCCAAAAGAACGACCATGTGCGGCACTTTAGATTACCTACCACCAGAAATGGTGGAAGCCAAAACCCACGACGAAAAAGTGGACGTGTGGGCACTGGGCATCCTACTGTATGAGTTTCTGGTTGGCAGGCCTCCTTTCGAAGAGCAGAACTCAAGCACCACGTATAAACGCATCGCAAAAGTGGACCTTCGCATTCCGTCTTTTGTCTCACCAGATGCCGCCGACCTTATCCGCAAGTTGCTGAAGTACGAGCCAGAGAAGCGCTTCAAACTTTCGGAAATCGGCAAACATCCTTGGATACTCAAAAATCGGCTCCATTGGCCTACTACCTTCATGAGTCTTGAAAATACTTGATCTACGTACAAATATCGTTTACGCCAAACGTCTGTTATTACGCAACACCTTCGCAAGTCCCTTGGTATTAGGAGCGCTTTTATCTTCCAGAATCAGAAACGCTCTTCCCGATTGGTTCATTCTGCCTGTCCGTCCCATTCTATGGACCAGATCCGAGGTCATATTTGGAATATTGTAAAGTACCACGTTACGCACGCCGCGGAAATTGATACCCCTGGACATGAGGTCTGTGCATATGAGCACTTTCAATGTTGGCTTGGAAGGATCCTTCAGTGGCTGGGGTGGACTAATGAAAGGCTCTAGAATTCGTCTTCGATCCTCAGGAGTGTCATCTGACGTCATGCTCTCTACATCATGTTTGTATCTCTCTCTGAGCTGCTGGGCCAAAATCGGAGCTTGCTTTTTCTCGTTAACGAAGACGACAACTCTCTTTTCATAACCCGGCTCTGTTCCATCACAATGGATAGCGTAAAGAACTTGAGCCAGTGCTTTTAACCGCGACCCGTTATAAGGTTTGGGTTTGGCGTCTATCACACGGACCTCAATTGCCTTAGGGATCTTGTGGAGCGATGGAGTGGTGATTGGAACAAAGTCCGGGAACAATGACTTAACCACTTTTCTCAGCGAGGAGGAGATGGTTGCCGTGACGAAGACCAAGTGACGCAAGCCGTTCATTTTTTTCAGCAGGTCATAGGTATCCTCGATAAAAGATTCGTCCATGAGTGTATCTGCCTCGTCCACCACACAAAAGCTGACATTTTTCAGCAACTGTCTGAGGTTTTGAATATCATCATATTTTGCCAAAGACGCCAGTTTCCCTGGGGTGGTGACCAGAACGTCAATTCCTTGTCTATAACTATCCATAAAATCCTTGAAGTTCGAGTCCAAGTCCCACAGAGCCACTTTCGTGCCTAAGGTATTTTTGGTATGTTCCACAGTTTTGAAGACTTGGTCAACCAGTTCGTGGGTTGGAAGTAGAATAACACTTCGTATTCCGGGCTTATTGGACTGTTCATGCCCCTCTGCAATATAGAACTCTCGCAATTTTTGCAAAAGTGGTGCCAAGTATGCCCACGTCTTCCCCGATCCCGTTTCTCCAGCCAGTATATAAGGATTTAGTAGCTTGTGGGTTTTGGGGGTGCCATTAATAATCTTGATAGCAGCTTTTTGGATGTTCGTAGGTCGTATCACAAGGCCATTCAGCTCAGACTCCGATAGTTTTTTCCGGTTTGGACTCATGTAGTTCTGGGACTTAAGAACCGTATTCTCTTTCAGCTCTTCTATCATTGCTGATCTCACTTCCGGAAGTAACTTGAGCTGATAAAATTCTTGCACTCGTTCGTAGAGTCCAGACAAACCCCGTAGATCCTCTTTGTCGAAGGTTTTGAGGGCTGGGCCATTTCCAAACTTATATACTTTTTCTTCGCTCGAGATTATCTTGGGCTTGCCAGAAGACTTAGCTGGCGATTTCGCATATGATGCAAACCACTTAGCAGAGTGAGCAAACCTCCTCCTTCCGCAGATGAGCTGGGCTCTTCTGAAAGAGTATGGCAATGCCTGGATTGACCGTAGCATAGATATAGATCAAGAGAAATTTATATATGCAATTTTCATAAATTACCCTGCTATAAATTTTTCATCATCAAAACTCATCGACCAACGTCAACACCATGTCGCTGTCGGATTTGGTCTCACAATTGCAGATCTTTTCGAAGTCCGATTCCCACAGACAAGTTTTTGATCTGGGATCAAAGATATTGAGTCAAGAGCCTACCAATGTTGCCGCTTTCAAGCAATGTTTGGTGGCCCTCATCAACCTTGACAATTACAAGACTGCCCGCGAAATGCTTGACAAACACAGTGACCTTATTGCTGAAAATCGTGACATACTCGCCGTTGAACTGGCATATATCTACTATAAGCTGGATGACGAAAAGTCTCTGACAGAGCTTGTGTCTCAGGGATCAACTAATCGCGGGCTAAAACATGTTTTAGCTCAACACTACTATCGTGTTGGTAAAAACGAGAACGCGCTGGAAATATACAGAGAACTGTTGAATGATACTCCACCAGAGGAAGTGCTGGATCTGAGTGTTAACGAACGCGCTGTGCTTTCGCAGATGAAAGTGTATTCCGAGGACAGCAACTTACAGCCAGTTTCTGCTCCACATTCCAGCTCATACGATCAGAAGTTCAATTCAGCTCTGATTCTCCTAAGGGACGGCAATTACGTGGCCTCGTTGGAACTTCTGCGAGAAGCAAGACAGCAGTGTTTGGTGTCCCTTGCGGATTACGAAGAAGAAGAACAGCTGGAAGAACTTGCGCCTATAGACGTCGAAATTGCATTTCTTACACAATTGTTGAATGGTGACGATGCTGCTAAGCCATTTTACGACGAAATAAATGTGTCGAAGTTGAAGAACCAGGTTTTGAAAGTTCTCATCACCACCAATCTTGCTTCCTTCCAACATCAACCGTTTAATGCAGCTTTGTTGTACAAAAACCTTGAATTTCCCCAGTCGCTCAACAAAATCCTTGATAGATTGGCGATTAGACAAATAAGGGATCTACATCGCAATGAAATCTTGCTAGCATACAAGGCTGGGAAATCTGTTTCCAAGTCTGCAGCCAAGCATGAACATCAATTTCCAGAGTCGTTATTGCCACAGGCCCTGGCTACTATATCCAAAATAACAGAGTTTGACTCTAAGAACTTTAAAACCTTGGGCAATGAAAAGCTGGTATTCAGAGAAGCGATAAGAAATCCACACAAGCTGGGCCTGTGTTTGTTTGCCGCACAATTGAGTGCGAGTGCTGGAAAACTTCAGAATGCTGCTCGCGTTCTGGAGGCTGCGGTTGAAGCCGATCCGCTTGTGCTTCTAAGACCAGCAGTTGCCTGTTTGCTTTTCACAGTGTACGACAAACTGGACAGAGAAAACGACAAAATTAAGCTCCTTCTTAGCCTGTATGAGCATTTAATTTCTGCAGAGCTCAAGACTGTCGACCAGTTCAAACTTTTGAGATTTGTGGCGTTCCAAATGATAACATTCGACGAGCCAAAGTCCCAAGAACTATTCCTAAAATTGCAGTCTTCGGTGTCTTCAGATCCCCTGGTGTCCGTGGTTTTGGGCGGGAAAGCAGAAACTGGCCTGGGCAATGTGAACGCATTAATTTCAGAGGTTGACACAGATTCGCTACTTGAACAAGGACTGCAGCCCCTGCTATCAAAAACATCTACCACCAAGACCAGTAAGGGAATCACCAGAGTAGAAAAACGAAAGCGAAACAAACCTAAAAAGCTTCCTAAGGACCTCTCCAAAAAGTTGGACGAGGAAAGGTGGCTACCAATGAAAGATAGGTCTTACTACAAACCAAAGAAGGGCAAGAAGGGTAAGGATACCCAAGGAGGTCTCGTTGACCAAGCCACAGAGGAGTCCCTCAACATCGGTTCCAACTCATCGACGCCTGCCGCAGGCAAAAAGCAGACCAGCAAGAAGAAGAAGGGAAGAAAATAGCTCATGTATCGGCAAACATCATTAAGATCTATGTAAACAACGTATCCTCGTCCCTGAGATACTCTCCAATGTCTCCTTGACGGAAAACCACAATACCTGTTGGTTGCAAGTTCTTTGCTTCGATAGTCGACTTTGCGCTAACACCAAATCCTAGAGGCACATCTGCCATAGAAAAAACTATCACTCCGGCATGTTCTGGAATGTCTTCGCTCATCTTTCCAACGTGTGCTTTGAGAACATGATTTCCATATAGAAATGGCATTTCTCCGTTTTGCTTGATCCAGACCTTGTATTTAGCATATTGAGCGAGGTATTTTAAAGAAGTGATGTGCAATCTGAATTTTCCAGTTTTTGTGAACTTTCCGAAACACACACCAAGGGACATGAGGTTTGGTCTTGCGACAGAAGTTGCAACTTTCGCTATGCGATCACTGACGTAATAGACTCTATCTTTTTGTAATCTGAAAACATGAGGGTCTTCCTTATTATCCACAAGATATGCAATATTACGGCCAATGTAGTTGGCCAGCTTTTCGAAAACGACCTTGGTTTCTTCCTCAGTGAGCGGTCTCATCGATAAAGTATATCAAATATTTTTTTGAAATTTTTTTAGCTTTTCCAGCACTGCCTTTTTAAAAATTTTCATCATCTAGAATAGATGTCAGAGCCTATCAATGAACGTACTGAGGAACCTGATCAACTTGCTGAAGTCTACGACGACGATGAACAGGGTAGCAGAAAAGACCCTAGTAACAAGTGGCTCCGCACTCGGAAAGGAGACGTCATCGGTGACACAGCTAAGAGACAGAGAGTCCTCAAGAAAGTCCAGGACACGTGGGTATGTTTCGCGGACAGAGCTTCTGGAGACGAACTTCAGACGACTTTGTTCACGAATGTTAAGTTACTAACCTTGCAGACGGATTTTGAATGAGGATGGTACCCCCAAATACGAAGGTGAAGAAAGAAAACCAAAGAAGAAGGTCGCATGTTATTTGAGCTACTGTGGAACGGGATACCACGGCATGCAGATGAACCCTCCTGCCAAGACCATTGAGGGCGACCTATTTGACGCTTTTGTGAAAGCGGGGGCGATTTCCAAGAATAATTCCAACGATTTGAAAAAGAGCGGTTTCATGAGAGCTGCACGTACCGACAAAGGCGTGCATGCTGCTGGAAATGTGGTCTCGCTGAAGCTTATTATTGAGGATCCAGATGTGGTTGAGAAAATCAACAGCTATCTTCCTGACCAAATCAAATTTTGGGGCTATGAGAGGGTGAATAAGTCTTTTGACTGCCGCAAGGTATGTTCATCAAGAATCTACGAGTACCTTATGCCAACATACTCATTCCTGCCTCCAAAGCCTAGCAGTCCGCTGGCAGCTCAAATAATGGAGGCGGAAAAGGAGTTCCCGGGAACCACGAGAAGAGACCCAGAAGGAGAAAAATTCTGGGAGGAGGTGAACGCTGAGCTTGAGAAGGCCGGTATTACAGAAGATCAAATGGCACAGATCAGAGAGGCAAATAGAGAAGGAATTCAATTGACTGTTCCGCTCGAACTTGCCGACAAAAAATCCAGAGAAATCATGAATGCGGCCCGCAAGCGGTATAAAATCTCAAGTGAGAAGCTGAATTTACTGAGAGATGCTTTAAAAATATACCTGGGACCGCATAATTTCCATAATTTCACCAACGGGAAGGACTACAAAGACCCTTCTGCCATCAGATTCATGAAAAACATCACCGTGAGCGATCCTATTGTGGTGAACGACCAGGAATGGGTGTCAATCAAGATACACGGACAATCATTCATGCTGCACCAGATTCGTAAGATGATTGCTATGGCTACCCTTGTTGTGAGAACAGGATGTCCATTGGCCCGAATTGAGGAGGCCTTTGGACCCGAGAAGGTCAACATTCCTAAGGCGCCCGCTTTAGGACTTTTGCTCGAACAGCCAGTTTATGAAAGCTACAATGCCAAGCTCGAGAAGTTTGGATATAATCCACTTTCTTTCGATAAGTTTGCCGCAGAAATCGATGAATTCAAACGCAAACAAATATACGATAAAATCTACGCTGAGGAAGAGCGCGACAACGTTTTTTATGGATTCTTTGGCTTTATCGATGGATTTGCTGGATACGACGATCAGAACGGTACTCCTATCTTTAATTTCCTCACTGCCAGAGGCATCCAAAAAGAGGAAACCGGAAAAGAAAAAGTGGAGTGATTTTGATGTCTGCACTCAAGTCCCCGGCGGTGACCAAATCACTCCACTTTATTTGGGTATATAAAGGGCAAATAGAAGATGAAATACGTGTAATCAATTATCATCGTTATACCACATACTGTTCCTACAATGTCAGCTATCGCCAGTGTCGCAATAAATTCAGCCAAAGCTGCAAGCAAAAGCATTGGCCCAAACCCCCTTTTCAGAGAACTTGGTGTCCACGCCCAGCAGCTCGCAATATGGGGTATCGGACTGGGTAGCTTCCTCTATTGGCCCATCATGGTGGCAAACGCTAACAGAAAGGGTTACTGGCACTTGTAACCGGAAAAACTGCTCTGGTGTGATTTTCCGCGAAATAATTTTGCATATATAGATAAAGTCTAATTATCAATCAATATTCTCGATGTTTATAATAACAGGCGCTCTGGCGCTGCTTGTTCTGCTTGTTGTTTTCAGGACTCGCTTTGTTGAGTATTCAGTCAGCTGGGACAAAAAGTATCGCCTTCGAGAAGATCTCTACCTGGCACCTGTCATCATCTATCAATTCGTCCGTCATTTTTACCATTGTTATGTCACCAAACGCGTTTCTCTATGGTACACCTTAGAATACTCCATGAAGAAGCACGCTCAGAAGACTGCCCTCATATTTTTACGGCCAGCGGCTGCCAAGGGCAAATTTGACATTGAGAAGTATACCTATGCGGAACTTTACGGGCTCGTTCTCCGCTTGTCTCATATTTTGAAAACAGAGTACGGAGTCGAAAGAAATGACATCGTGTCTCTATATATGAACAATAGCCCACTGTTCATTATCATGTGGCTTGCGCTGTGGAATCTAGGTGCAATTCCATGTTTCCAAAACAATAACCTGGCCCATAAAGCTCTGGTCCATTCGCTTTCTGTTGTTGACTCTAGACTCGTTTTTGTGGACGAGGAATGTCAAAGCCTTTTTGATGAGACTAAGGACGAAATCTCTGAAAAGATTCCTGATTTGAGATGTATCTATGTTGATCAAAAGCAGTGGCTCAAGAGTATCGAAAATCCTTCGTCTCCCAGTTTCAGACTCGATAACGCAGAACGTGATAAAAATCTGCTATACTACAATCCTGCGGTTCTGATTTTCACTAGCGGAACCTCTGGATTACCAAAATCTGCTGTCAACTCGTGGCGAAAAGTATTCTTTGCTTCATTTTTTTTCCCCCATGCCATGAGACTGAGCAGTTCCACCAACATGTACACCGCCATGCCACTATACCACGGTACTGCGTCCATACTTGGTGTGCTCCCGATTTTGGCCCACGGTGGCACGCTTTCTTTGGGCACTAAATTTTCTCTCTCTTCCTACTGGACTCAAGTCAGACTTGCCGGAGCCAACACTATCCAATACGTGGGTGAGGTGTGTCGCTACTTACTTAATGGGCCAGCTACAGAGGACGAAAAATGGTGTCATGGAAAAGTCAGACTTGCTGTTGGAAACGGTTTGCGTGCTGATATCTGGACCAAGTTCAAGGAAAGATTTAAGATCCCTGCTATAGGAGAATTCTATGCCAGTAGCGAGGCTCCTTTCGCTACCACATGCTACGAGCAATACGGTATTGGTGTCGGCTGTATCAGAAATCAGGGATGGCTGGCAGATAAAGTTCTGAGCGTGATGTATTGCCTCGTCAAGACAGAAAAGGACGACGACGCAACGTTATACAGAAATGAACAGGGCTATTGCGAAAAACCTCGCCCAGGAGAAAACGCCGAACTCTTGATGCACGTCTTGAACCCAAAAAATATCAAAGCCACCTTCCCAGGATATGTCAACAACGAGGATGCAACTTACTCCAAGATTGTGCGCAATGTTTTTCGCAAAGGTGACGCATGGATCAGAACCGATGATCTTTTTCAGTACGATGAGTATGGTTGCATCAAGTTTGTCGATAGACTGGGAGACACGTACCGGTGGAAATCTGAGAATGTGAGCACCACTCAGGTGGAAAACTGCTTACAATCGCATCCTTCAATTGATGTCAGTGTTGTGGTGGGAGCAAGGGTTCCTAATCATGAAGGCCGCTGCGGCTACGCTATTCTTCAGACCAAGTCCAGAAACCAGGAATCCAACGACGAGAGAAGAAAACTGCTCTTGGAGCTGGGAGAAGTGGTCTGCTCACAATTACCTCATTTTGCACGCCCGTGCTTTGTCAGATTTGACATCATTGAGCATACCCACAACCACAAGATATCCAAGAAGAGATTTAGAGATCCTGTGTTGCCGTTTGGTCCTTGCAATAAAGACACGGTGTACTACCTCAACCTCAGCACTAAAAAATATGAGCCGCTCACAGAGGAAATATACCAGGGCATTGCATCCGGATCAATACGAATTTGAAAAATTACGTGCGGCGTTGCCGCAAACCCGTGCACCTTAAATTTTTTCCAAGTCTAATAGAACAGAATTTAGTCATCCATTTCCATTTATATAAGTCGAATCATAAATCCGGAACTTAGTATTTGAACCAAATTACGATGCCAGTAAGTGTATAACAAGAGGGAGGATTTTGGACAATGATGGTGCAACACCATTTTGTGCGACGTATCACACGTGACCTGTCTGAAAATTTCGGCTCCTTCTCTTAACATCATACTGACCAACCAGGCGCCAACCGCACCCCACAGCAGAATGTTCATGGAAAATCCACATGTTGGAGATAGATCCCGTCTAGAAGACTGGAGAATTAGAGGCTACAATCCACTGACTCCTCCAGATCTTCTTCAACATGAATACCCACTGACCAGCAAATCTGAGAAGAACATCTTGGAAGGAAGAGAAGATGCGTGTAATATTCTCAATGGACACGACGACAGACTTCTGGTAGTTATTGGACCATGCTCCCTTCATGACCCCGAGGCTGCTCTTGATTATTGCAACAGACTGTCGGCTTTCAAAGAAAAAGTGAAAGGAGAACTGCACATTGTTATGAGAGCATATCTTGAAAAGCCTCGTACTACTGTCGGCTGGAAAGGTTTGATCAACGACCCAGATATTGATGGATCTTTCAACATCAACAAGGGACTCAGAATCGCCAGAGAATTATTTGTCAGACTCACAGAAAAGCTGCCGATTGCTGGTGAGATGTTGGACACTATCTCTCCTCAATTCTTGAGCGATTTGTTTTCTGTTGGCGCCATTGGAGCTCGTACAACGGAGTCCCAACTACACAGAGAACTGGCGTCAGGTCTGTCTTTCCCCGTTGGTTTCAAGAATGGAACGGACGGCTCGCTAGGCGTGGCCGTCGACGCTATGCGTGCTGCCGCCCACCCCCACCACTTTTTGTCGGTTACCAAGCCAGGTGTCGTTGCCATTGTTGGTACGGAAGGAAATAAGGACACTTTTATCATCCTACGCGGTGGTAAGAAGGGTACCAACTACGACGAACAGAGCGTAAAGGAGGCAGAGCAAGCGTTGAGCAAGGCCGGGATTCTCAAAGAGGGAGAAGCCAGAATAATGGTGGATTGCTCCCATGGCAACTCTTGCAAAGACCACCGTAACCAACCAAAGGTCGCTGCTGAAATTTCCCGCCAGCTCAGAAATGGTAATACCAGCATCTGTGGTGTCATGATCGAAAGCAATATCAACGAAGGAAGACAGGACGTGCCATCACTTGAGGAAGGAGGAAAGGACGCCTTGAAGTATGGCTGCTCCATAACTGACGCTTGCATTGGCTGGGAAAGCACCGAGGAAGTGCTGGAGATGCTAGCAGAGGCCGTGAAAGAACGCAGATCGCTCAAGAACAAAAATTAAGGAGGGTATTTGGGAACGTTTATCTGTTTATATGGTCTGAAATGGTTTTATACAAGAGTTAGTAACGTAGATCATAACATTTGGCTGAGAATCGTGGATGCAATTTTCACGCCTGGGCTGATATGTCGGTGGCTAAAGTCTGACAGTTGAGTGGTGTGGCTGGTCAGGTTCTCAAGCTCCTTGGCCATTTGCTCCTTCACTGACTTGTTCTTCGTGATCACCACCGCATTTGTTTCGAGGTCCAAGGCATAAGCTCTACGAGTGTAGTTTGAGGAGCCTATAACCGTTATACTAGGCATATTCTCTCCTGAGAGTGACAACCAGAGTCCTTTGGCATGGTAGGACCATCCAGTGGGTGTATTGACAATGCCATTCCGCCATTCCAAAAGTCTAACACAGTCTTTGCGGCGCACTTGATCTAAAAACAATTGTGCTTTGTAGAGGTATGCGTCCGGAAGGTACTTGGAAATACCTTTTGATTTATAGAACGAGTTTGCCTCTGGAGCTGCAGTGATAACAGTTCCTTGAGCATGCGACTCAATAAACCTGGAGCTGATTTCAGGATGGATATTGAAATATCCAGCAGTAAAAGCCCACTTTACGTCGGGATCATTGAGGAGTGTCAGCAAGCGCAGAATTGCAGGCTTTTCAGTGGACCTATCTGGATTCATGATTGGTTTCAGCGAAGAAACAGGATAGACGATAATCTCAGGGTCATCAAGGTATTCAGGTTTGGTAACGGGGCTTCTCAGAAGCGGTTGAACGAGCCTGGTGGACTCTTTGATGAACCTTTCAACGTTGAGATGAGGCTCTGAGGCAAAGTTAGACGATGGCCATTCTAGGGTATATTTTTCAGAGGTTTTGGAAGGTACTAGCTGGTAACTTATAGAGCTGACTGCTTTTTGCAGGCCAAAATAGTAGTCCGCTAAAGGTGCATTCTTGAACAGATAGTACCTGTCCTGACGGTTGGTAAAGTAGTCTTCCGAGAGGTTTGCACCTGTCAGTACCACTTCTTTGTCAAATCCACATATCTTCATATGTTGCAGTCCCCATCCCTCGTTTATTCTTTTTGGAAGCAGTGCTTTTTTGATGCCTGAAAGATGCGGGGTATGATAGAAACGAATGTTGACTCGCTCCTTGCCAAATTGTTCCACAAGCGGTGCTAAGAGCGATGCTGGACTGGGATTAGGAGACTCTCGCGTGGAACGAAGATAATCGACAAGGATGTCGACTTTGAGCTCAGGCTTCTCAGACAATGAGTCTTGCAGACATTCGACAAGCTCGTACTGAGTTTTTCCAATGTAAAGGGATGAGAGGAATATACGATTCTCCGCAGATTTGATTTTTTGCTTTAGGAGATTGTAGAAGTCCGCGGGGTGGTAAAGTATTTCCAGTTGATTTTTAGCGAGCTCGAAACGCGGGCTTATGGCATCCAACTGCTGGATGGTGGCTCGTAGGGTGGGATTAAAAGTGTCATAGTTCCGCAGTCGTGGATTTTCCACCTTGGTAGAATATGTTCGGATCTTCTGAAAAAGACTCGAGAGAAGAAGCATGGTGACTGGTAAAAAATTGGTGGAAATTTTTCATGTTCAGAGCGCTCTACAGAATGGCTTCTGAACAACCGAATAAACTTCGCAAAGTTGACGGCAAAGGATTTCGAGTTCGCCAGGTGTATCAAGATGCAGCACAGAAGTCTGCATACGAAAAGCTTGGAGGTGACAAGAACGCTGAAAACTTGACGGACATACCCATGAATAAGACGATAAAAGAAGAGGAAGATGATGCAGTGTACAGCATAGACGGCCCTGTTCGGAGACTGAGACCCTACTACTTCACATACATGACCCACTGTAAGCAGCGATGGATAGATCGAAATATCCTGGACGTATTCGCACATGAATTTCGGTTACATCCGAAAAGCTATTATCAAAATGCATTAGAAAAGGGCAGAGTGACAGTTAATGAAAAAGTTGCCAATATAGATACTATTTTGAAAAATGGCGATTTGATTTCGCACAGAATGCATCGTCATGAACCTCCTGTGACGTCGCGACCCGTGAAAATAGTCCACGAGGACGACGAATTAGTGGTGATTGACAAACCTTCTGGGATACCAGTTCATCCTACAGGACGGTATCGCCATAACACAGTTACTTTTATTTTAGAAAGAGAAATGGGAATCAAGGCTCATCCTTGTAATAGACTTGACAGATTGACGAGCGGGTTGATGTTTTTGGGTAAGACTGCCGCGGGAGCCGAGAAGATGGTCAAACAAATGCGCGAAAGAGAAGTCTCTAAAGAGTACATTGCCAAGGTCGTTGGCGAGTTTCCTGCGCACCGAGAAATTGTTTGCGAGGAACCTTTGAGAACAGTAGATCCTAGGATTGCATTTAATATTGTTGATCGTGAAAAGGGAAAGGAAGCCAAAACAGTGTTCAAAAGGCTCTCGTACGACGGTGTCACAAGCTTGGTCATCTGCAAGCCGCTGACTGGGCGCACACACCAGATCAGAGTTCATCTACAATACCTTGGACACCCCATAGTGAATGACCCGTTGTATTCATCTCCCAAGATTTGGGGGCCAAGTTTGGGAAAAGGTGCTGATTTTGACATTGACGCTATTGCGAAAGAGTTGTCCAGAATTGGCAAAACCGAGCCTGCCACCAGCTGGCTACATCCTAATGATGACGGCGAGATACAATCCACCGGCCAATTTTGCAGCGACTGTGGCGGTGAGTTGTACTCCGATCCTGGGCCTAACGACCTGGACCTCTATTTGCATGCTTATAAATATAGCTCATCACAGAAAGATGGGTGGTCTTACCAGACAGAACTTCCGGAATGGGCTGTGGAGACACAAAAGAAGTATATGGCTCTTGCCCTAGAGCATGCAGAGAAATGCCCGCAAATCGATAACGCATTTCGCGTGGGAGCAGTCATTACGTGTGGTGGCGAGGTGATTTCTACTGGCTATACGAGAGAGCTGGAAGGCAATACGCATGCGGAACAGTGTGCTATGGAAAAATATTTTGAGAAAACAGGTTCCCGAACTCTGCCGCCGGGCTGTGAGATATACACTACGATGGAGCCATGCAGCGAGCGCTTGAGCGGTAATAAGCCGTGTGTGGATCGGATTCTCGATTACAAAAATTGTTTTACAACCTGCTATGTCGGAGTTATGGAACCAAATACTTTTATTTCCGAGAATGTGTCTCGCAAGAAACTGGAGGAGGCAGGTATATTATACATCCAGGTGCCCGGATACGCAGAAAAGAGTCTCGAGGTTGCAAAGCGGGGCCACAAGGAGGCAAAATAGTGTATATAGCGACTCACAAATAACTCCGCAACATCTTGCCCCACAGAAAACTGCGTAGCCGAAAAAATGTTTCTGGAAAACATAATAAATACGCTTAGTCTCCTGAAGAGAATCCTCTTTCTCAAAATACAAAATGCCATCGGCAATAGTGGATATCTGTCGGGAGTGCCACTCATTGGTGGCAGACTTTCTTGCGATGAAAGCTCCTTACCCTGAGGCCAGCAAAGGTTCGAGGGCCGTTAGCTCTTATCCTGATTTCCATAATGACCATAAGCTTCACCAAAAGACTCAAGAACAGGTGGTAAAAAGTATGCGAATTTTTGCCCAGGCGCTAGAGAAGTACAGTTTGGAAGAGCTCTCAATAAGCTATAATGGAGGGAAGGATTGTTTGGTAATGCTGGTAATCTATCTGGCTGCCATCTATGAAAAATATAAAGACCAATTGCTTGAGCTCAAAAGCAATAAAATATCAAGCGTCTACATTAACAACGAGAACGTCTTTCAAGAGCAAGACGAGTTCTTGTACTCATCCGTAATGAAATATCAACTCTCGCTCACGAAAATCAAGGACCAAATGAAAGGTGGATTTCAGAAATATCTCGATCAAAATCCAAAAATCAAAGCTATTGCCGTCGGTATCCGTCGAATCGACCCATACGGAGAAAACCTAGCCTATATCCAGCACACGGATCATGGATGGCCTGCTTTTTACAGAATCAACCCGGTGCTTGATTGGACGTACTGCGAAATCTGGTATTTCATTAAGGCAACTAACATCGAATACTGCTTACTATATGATCAGGGATACACCTCGATAGGTGGAATAGACAATACGATTAAAAACCCTCTTCTCAGGCTTGGGGACAAGTACCTGCCGGCTTACATGCTGGACGACGATCGTCACGAACGGCTAAGTCGCTGTGACAAGAAAGAGTTAGATTCACGGGGAAATAGACCCGAAGAGAAGTTATAGTCAATTAATGAATAATGGTTTACGAATATATCGCATCGTAGAGTGCTGAAAAATTATTCTTGCAAATCAATGTCCATCTTTGTAAATATTACTGATAAGCCGCTATATTCGGCTGAGGTACTCAATTATGTTCGGCATCCTCACGCAGGAGCAATTGTGTATTTTGGAGGCACAACAAGAAATACGTTTGAAGGCAAAGAGGTTGTATCTCTAGCATATGAGGCACACCCAAGGTTGGCGATCAAAACTCTCGAGTCCATCGCCCACGAGGCCAAAGCCAAATTTCAGAGTGTTCATAAGATAGCAATTGTGCACCGCACAGGCGTGGTGCCAGTAGCTACAGAGTCCGTTATGATTGCCGTCAGCTCAACACATCGAAAAGAAGGGTGGCTTTGCGGAGAGTGGGTACTGGAGAAAGTTAAGGAAAGGGCAGAGATATGGAAGATTGAAAAATATGCGGACGGAGATAGTGTCTACAAAGAAAATGACGTTTCTAACGTGCTTAGTCGCACCTAATAATGATTTATGTACAGTTATGGTAAGAATGCCTCCTTCGGACGATACACGGTTTCGATCCTCCGTGTGTCGTAATTAATTCTTGTGATAGCGACAGCATCCTTTTCTGGTTTGTCCAGCACCAGTCCATCCACCTCAGGCAGCACAGGTTTCAGGTATTTGCGTTTCAGAGCCAATTGCTGGGAAAGAGTGAAGCAATTGTCCTGGCTTCTGAGAATAGCAAACACTTGATCTTTTAATTCTTTCGTGCGAGGTTGGTTTGGGATCACTAGTTTGTTAAGTTCAGCAATGGCAGCCTCTTGGTTTGATTTAATTGTCTCTGGGGTTTTGTAAGCACAGAGCTCAAAGAATGCATCGAACATGATACTGGAGTCCACCGACTCAGCTAATGACTTGTACTCGCTTGACAAAGTGTCATACTGCTCTTGCGAAATCTCGTTTCTGCGTAGCTGCAACTTCAACTCATATAGATGATTGTAGGTGGTTTGGACTTGAGCGTCTTCCTGCGACTTTCCACCTCTCAAGAATCTGTCAATTTGAAGCAATCTACCAGCAGCCAGGTTCTTTAGTTCCTCTGACTCCAACTCCATAAACTGAGAAAGCTGATCTTTCAACTGGATCAGTCTGGCTTTGCGTTTCTGTTCACGTTCTTCAACACCCTTCAACAATTCAGGAAGGATCTGAGACTCCTTACGACTTTGAAATTCGAGCTCTGCTTCGGCTGCCTCAGGCTTCTTTATTATATGACGGCCAAATCTTCTTTTTCTAGGGTCAAAGTGAGGGTAAGGAAGCCTATCACTTCGCTTCAACACGACTCCGATGAATTTGCGCTTCGGATGGAAAGGGTCTAAATAGTATCTAACAAATCCCGGTTCTAGAGCGAAAATGGTGTGGTCTTTTCCAATTCCGGCGTTCTCACCCGGATACCATCTTGTTCCACGTTGTCTCATAATGATCTCTCCGACATCGACGGATTCACCTTCGTGTTTCTTAGGGCCAAGACGTCTACCAGCAGAATCTTTCATATGCGTTCTAGAACCACCTGCTCTTTTCGTAGCAGTTCTGACCTGAAAGATGGACTGGTGTCCAACAGAAAGTGAGGTCTTCACTCTGTCGCATACCAGACGGACTATCTTGGATGAGAACATTACGTTGTGATTTTCCAAGTTGAATGTCGTTGGCTAAAATTTTTCACCAGATGCGGGAGGGCCGATCGGCGCGACTGAAAATGCAGAACTCAAAAATAGTAGAAAACCACTGAGACCGCTATTCATGGAGGGGTACTGGGACGTTGTAGTGTCGTCGCTTCAGGATACTTGCAACGCAAACGAGGCTAACTCTTTTGATCCTCTGGAGCTGGCGCCAGCTGAGGGGAAGGATGCGAAATTGCAAAATCGAGATATCGTGGTAAAGCATAAAGAGAATTTGGAGAAAACAAAACGCATTTTGGATACAGCATTGATCAATGTCAACGGCTTACTATCACAGGCTAAGGTAACAGGGAACGAGGCTGATGACGGATCAGTTGGCAGACGCAACAAGCTTAAATCGCAGAAATTTGGTCGATCGTATTACCAGTCCCCGTATAATCCATCAGAGCCTGTTGTTGTAGGATCCGAAGTTGCCTTCAAGCCAAAACAAAAAGGAGCAGAATGGATTCAGTGTGAGGTTTTGAAGGTCCTAAATGAAATAAAATTCGAGGTAAAAGACGCCGAACCTGATGAAAACAACCCTAATGGACAAATCTTCAAGTGTACCTGGAAAGAAATCATCCTCATGCCCACCGCAGAAGATTTGGTGTCACTCAAAAACTACCCAGTTGGCTACAGAGTTCTTGCACGATATCCGGAAACGACGACATTCTATCCTGCAGAAGTCATTGGATTCAAGAAGGACGGAACTTGTCGTTTGAAGTTTGAGGGTGAAGAAGAGGTTGGTAAAGAAACAGAGGTGGAAAGGAAGCTAGTGTTGCCGTTCCCAGGCTAAATTACTCAGTGGTAAGTGTAATAATAGTTATACATCAAATTAAAAATGATATGCTCATTTTCTCCTTGTCTTTCTTCACATCATCGGAAGAAGATTGAGGAAGAACAGAGCTAGCTGAAGTGTTGGTCAGCGCGGGTTTTCCGAAGTCAAATTCTTTCTTGAAGATATCCTTCTTTGCTGGCGGGCCGCAGGAGGACGTTAGCGGCAAATTTGGTGAGTGGTAGCTGCCACTATTGGCAGTACTGAAAAATTGTGGTGAGGAGGTTCCGGATGCAGATTTCCTAGGAGCCAACGATGGACTCTTGAACTGGGCACCTGCTGTCATCATCTCCACGTTGGCGAACATCGAAGACCTTCTCGAAGTGATGGAGTTGCCGTCACTCACGTGTGTCAGTGGTGTACAATCAGCCGACACAATGGATGAGTTTCTGGACGAAAGTCGGGACATCGGGGAAGATGTGTATGGTGATGAATTTCCCGATAGCGGAGGTATATGATTAAAATGGTGAATCCCCGAGGTACCACAATGTTCTGATAATCCGATCGATGCGGCCGAATGTCTGCGGATTGGCTCTGATGAGTAGTCATCTATTAGTTTCCGTTTTCTGATTGGTGGCAAGTGTTCGTAGTTGTAGGCTCTGGTGTCCATGGAAGCACTTCTTCCGGCCCTAATAGACTGAAATGCGGGGGCAGGGACTTCATCAGACGCACTTCCAAATATCCCGACGTTGAAATTTACGCTTGGCTTCGGAAGAGGCAAAATTGCTTCTGATGAAGGTACCTGCTCGATCGGCTTATCATCCGCAGAGTGTGGCTCTTGCTTCTCGTAGGAGCTCGAATCAAGTCCTTGGATAGACGCTCGCTTCCTTCGGTTTGCACCGCCGTTCCACCAGTTTTTCACCGCATTATCACTGCGGCCATTGAGGTGTCTGGCAATTTCGGCCCACCGTTTGCCATACTTTTGAACCAGCTCCTCGATATATTTGCCTTCTTCCGGGGTGATCGGTGTCCGGTTGAGTGACGGTTTCAGGTTCTGATGATACCGTTCTCTTGCCTGTTTTGCGGTCCGGGTCTGCAGAACCTGAGATATCTTCACCCAGTTTAGGTTCTTTTCGCCCCCGTATAATCGCACTAGCTCTAAGAGTTTGCTATCCTCTTCTGGAGACCACGGCCCACGCCGGAGTCGAATCCCTCCGTTTTTGCCATTTCCGTCACCGGAATCCTTTTCCACATGCTGATTTTCCTGAGGCATCTTGCTTGGTATTAGCTGTGAACAAGTGTCTTCAAGTATCTCTCTAGCAAGACAAGATGCGGCGTTGTCTTTTCTAGGCTGAAATATGTTATTACCCCCAAATTAAGATGCTCAGGTGAAAGAAGATATAATATAAAATAGCACTAGCATGCAAAATTTTTATTGCTCAAGTTGAGGACGCAAATTAGAGACGGAAGAAGGCTACACATTTTGACTGCTGATCGGTTCTACGTCCCTTTCACAAAGCACTGCCCCAGAGTCTAGCCTCGCAAATTACATTTATTCTATACCTCAAAAACAACTATAGCCGTTGTGTTTGACAACGGTCAGATTGCTAAAATTACCCCATACTCAAACATGTTTATGAAAAAATGCCTGTCCATCTCAATTTCGCGGGAGGAAAAACAATGCTGATTTCTTGAACTTTACACGAATTGCCTTACCCTTCCAGAGGTAAATGGATTTTTTCCTGCATAGGCCCCCGGCATGCTTGCCAAGCTTTTGCTATCTTTTTCCAATGACCCTTGCTTGCTTCTTATTTGTTTCCCCAATCCCACAGAAGTACACATCAGTGAAACAACGTAAAAGCTGAAACTGCACCATATCATGGCTGCGGCTCTGTGGCCAATTGAAGCTTCGATGATCGTCATTGATGCCGTAGCTCCAAGAACGGCTCCTGATTTGGCCGCAACGTCAATCCACATCCCGCCGATCCCCCAAAGAATGCATAATATGGAACTCAAGGCGAAACTCGTATACGGAGCCACCCATTTCCAAGGTAAAAGAGGAATCCACCCATACAGCAAACTTGCGAGCAAAAACAGAGTCAACACCAAGCTGGCCATAAGGATATAAGGTTGTGTCACTTTGGTGTTGAATTTAACTGCCATGTCCACTAGGCTCAGTGAAGACGATGTTGAATTTGCGTCCGTGTTGTAGAGTGAAACTCCCGGATAAGCCTCTTTGTAGTTTGTATTCTCGAAGTTCGTTGAGCATGATGTCGCATTGTCTGTTTTGACACAAATGCCGCGATAACCGACATAAACTCTCATTGAGGTCAGATCGTGATTGTTTGAGTTCGAATACGCGTTTTCTATCTTATCGTAAAAAGCGGAAGACTGATTGAATTTGTATTCAATTAGGTAGACGTTAGAGTATTGCGAGCTGGAGTTGGTGCATCCCACAAGCAAGAAGGCAAGTAAAAATACGTTGACAACAAGTAGCAGGAACATCAAAACGTTCGGCCCTTTCCGTAGTAAAAAGACAATCATACTGTTTTTGGGGTAGCACTCCAACTACGGCCTAAGCTGGTCATATATACTGAAAGAGTGTGTCTGGTTATTCGTAGAAATTGTCCCACAATCATGATACAGGTCAATTATCAGGTCCCCAAACACTTTTTGATTTCTCTTGATACAGGTTCGACGCAAATATAGCTCGAAATCAAATTCTCGAAAAAATATGTCTGGCCTTGTGAAGAAAACATTCATCCCCGGAAGGGGCGAATGGAAACTGGCATACGACTTGTTCAGTCCCACGTCAATCGGATCCAATCCTCCATTGGTATTGTTGCATGGCTTACTGGGAAACCGAAAGCAGAATCGTCATGTTGCAAAAATCCTAGCGCATAGTCTGCAGACACCCGTCCTTATTCCCGACCTAACCAACCACGGTGATTCTTTTCACCGCAGTGCGCACAGTAATGCGCTTATGTCTGAAGATTTATTCAACTTGCTGAAATCTCCTGCGATCGACCCACAGTATTCCGGTGGCTACGTTCTGATTGGACATTCAATGGGTGGAAAAGCAGCGATGTTTCACGCAGTAAACCACCCCAATGATGTATTGGGCGTTGCTTCTGTCGACAATGTGCCATACAAAAATCCCATCGAAGCTGACTCGGAGTTCGCTCGATTTGATCGATTCTTCACCTATGCTAAGGAAACTTTACCGACTACGTTTTCGAACTTAGCTGAATTGGATCAGAAGTTGAAGGAAATTGAACCAGATAAACGTTTCCGACAACTTCTTGCTAGCAACTTCAAAAGAAGTAAACTCTCAAAAGCCATTGAATGTAAAGTTCCAATCGAGGTTTTGCAGCAGTCATTGGAAAGCCTGAAAGTCTTGGAAATTGAAGACTCTCTCAAATATTATGGACCTCTACTGATCATCAGAGCATTGAAAAGTCCTTTCGTTGGCGAGATCGACCACGAGAAAGTCTCCGATCACTTCCCAAACTATTCCACGCGTGATATCAACACTGGTCATTGGGTGATTACCGAGGATGGTCCCGGATTCGTAACGATTATTGATCAATGGATCAGAAATCAAAACCTCGGAAATCATCAGCAGTAATCCCGAAGCATGTTTACAAATCAGGTAATTTTCTGATCGATAAAAAAAAATTTACCCAAGAAAAATGGCTTTCTACCGTTGAGCAAGAAATATTCTAGATTCTTATTTCACATTATGACCGACCGGCATTCCTCTGACCTAGTCTCAATAGACTCAGAGGTCTCGAGGGACCATGACAAACCTGTGGGTTTGACTGAAGACAATCAAGAAAATCAGCAGAATGACGGAAGCGGTGCCTCACTGGCGGCCTCCTTAACGAAACTTTCGTCGTACAAACTTGACAAGTCAAAGATAGTACCCAGGGAGAAACGGCGAGGGCTGTTCTCTGCCTTACTTTTAATCCCTGAATACGATAACCCTCGTGAACTGCCCCAGATGATAAAATATATCATAGTGTTTAACGTTGCCTTCTGCGCGATGATAGGACCGATGGGTACTTCTATCCTTCTTCCAGCTACAGAAAACATATGTGACGAACTACATACTTCTGTTACAATTGTTAACATCAGTATTGGTATTTATTTGATCACTTTGGGAGTTTTCCCGCTTTGGTGGTCAAGCTTCAGTGAGAGACACGGGAGGCGTTCTATTTATTTAATCAGTTTCATTCTCTACTCTGCATTTACCGTTGGATGTGCCTTGTCGAAGTCAATAGGCATGCTTATAGGATTCAGGGTGTTATCGGGAGCTTGCGCTGCTAGTGTGCAAGCAGTTGGGGCGGGGAGCATATCAGACTTGTATCCGATTCATCAGAGAGGAGCTGCTATGGGTATATTTTATCTCGGTCCGTTGGCTGCTCCACTACTGTCGCCTATCGTCGGTGGTGCTATCACCTCGAGAAAAAGTTTTGGATGGAGGGGTACCCAATGGTTTCTAGTGATTCTGTCAGGAGTTTCCATTATCCTTCTACTTTTTGCACAGCCAGAGACGCTTCGACTACAAGATAATAGAGAAGCTGTTCGAAAGATATTAAGAGAACGTTTGAAGAAAACCCCAGACGAAGAGCAAGGGCTGTCAGACGAAAATCAGGAGTCAGATGTACAAGTGGATCGAGTGTTGTCGCGACTCTCTAGGCAGCCGTCGAGACTCGAAGAGTCAGACCCAGTGGATACGGTTACTCCCATAGGGCGTATATCCACTCATGTTTCTCAAAGTCAGCGCCAACAGGATCTAGAGAGACTGAAACTAGAGATTGAGGATTTAGAAAAACCAGAAAAGCAGGGAAAGGTTGCACTATTCAAGCGAAATCTATATACCCACACTCTCTTGCCATTAAAGTCTCTGCATTTTCTGAGGTATCCACCGGTTTTCTTAGCTATATGCTACTCTGCTCCATGCTTTGCAGTGTTATACTTTGTCAACATGACGCTTTCTTACTGCTATTCTCGACCTCCTTACAATTTCAACTCCCTTCTGGTTGGTCTTGTCTACATTCCAAATTCAGTGACTTACATTATAGCCTCGGTCTGGGGAGGCCGATTCACAGATTACTTACTTGAGAAAAAACGCCAAAAGTATGGTATCGTTGCCCCTGAGGCACGGTTTGGTGTCAACGTCTACTTAGCCGCAGGTATATTTCCATGTTCGCTCCTGATTACCGGGTGGTGCCTGGACAAGAAAGAGCACTGGGTTACACCATTAGTCGGAACAGCTCTTTTTGGATTTGCTCAAATGATTGTTATCGGAACTACAGTCACTTATATTGCTGACTCTCTACCTGGCAGAGGTGCCACGGGAATTGCACTGTCCAATTTTGTCCGGATGCTTTTGGCATCAGGTGCTTCGTTTGCCACAGAACCTTTAATAAAAGCTCTGGGCACCGGTATCCTGTTTTCCATTTTAGCGGGGTGCACTATCGTTCTCTCGAGCATTTTAGCCATACTCAAGTTGCGTGCTGATTATTGGCGAGAGACGTATAATTTAGAGAGACTTTATGATATAGTGGACGATTCGTAATACATGGAGTAAAAAATATTGTTTGAAGCAGAAAGTGGATTTAAATGGTCACAAAATTAACTTTTAAGGGAGAAAAAAGAGGCAAAGGAAGGTCGGATGATGAACGAAAAAGGCGCAAAAAGGAATCCAAAACCGAAAGTCAGAAAACTCTTGTCACTTTGACCTCAGTTAATGGACTTCCCACCAACATATATGATATTCCTAGAGATTATCTAGAATATGGTTGGACGCTGGCGACATCGCACAAAGATCTCGATAGCCCTATTGTGATTTGTTTTGACCGTTCCGGTAATATTGGGTGTCTTGAATTCGAGAACAAATGTGGCCTCATTGCCGCAGACCAAAAGAAAGTGGATATAGCGGAAGATGCCATCAACTTTATAGACTTTGAGCCCGATTCACTGCTTTTTAAGCTTGAGCCGCAGGAAGTGACTCAGGTATTAAGTGTGGTGAACATTGACAACTTCCTCAAACTAACACAGCAAGCTGGTGATATTCCTGACAATATTTTAAGGTACGCGCTGAAGAACAACGAGGGGAAGTATCTATCCTACGATGTGGACACCAATACATTGACACAGACAGATGTCTTGACTGAGAACGCTATATTCAATTTAAGGGCTAATACTGACGGCCTTGGGTTTTTTATTTCCGTGGGGAACCTGAACTCCAAGAATAAATTGATAGTAACGCAGGATCTCAAGTTTAGAATAATTCAAGACACGGATGATTTGCTTGATGACTTGAACCTTTATCATATTCGTGTCCAGACAAAACACTCAGATACTGGCAGGAAAATCATTGCTTCCCTGGATCTCAAGAATGGGAATCGAGATCAGTTCTTCGATGACCCGAAGCAGAACCAATTACTAAACAGAGCAGCCAAGGAGCTTGCCAACAATGGTATGAAAATTACCAGCACACTATTGTCCCAGATCAAGCGCGCAGTTGAAGAAGGAAATCTCAACGAGTTTCTCGTCACAGTGAAGGAAAAGATCAAGTCCGATCGGAGGGCATAGCCTGGTGTTGGGTGTATGTTACGCGTAAATATTTTGATCTGAAAAATAATTAGCCGTGTATGAGCTCGTTATTACAATTCAATTTCTCGTCGTCTCTGCTTGCCGCTGATCCGGCACCTGCTCCCCTGGACACAGATACAGTATCAGCAGATGGGAAAAGGATTGTGCTGTCGTCCGGCAAACGTATCACGCTCAAAACTCGCAAACCAAGACACCTAAACTTGGGTGATGAGAAAGATCAATCCCAGCTGATAAACATTAACAAACTGTTATCCAAATTAGAAGTAGAAGAAAAGGCTGCCGAACAGACAATACGACAGAAATCCAAGCTTGCAGAAAAGCAGCCCAAACTGTCCACTTATAAATTGTGGACAGAAAAATATAGGCCGTCTGGCTTCCTGGACCTTGTTGGGAACGAGAGAACAAATAGACAAATTCTCCAATGGATAAATCAGTGGAACCAAATTGTTTTCGGGAAACCATGTGCAGAAACCTCTGACTTTTACAACCGTCCAGATAAACGAGTTTTACTCATCCATGGCCCCCCCGGGATTGGAAAGACTTCTATCGCCCATGTTATCTCAAGGCAACTGGGGTACGAGGTACGTGAGATAAACGCTAGTGACGAGCGCGCCGGAGCTACAGTCCAGGATAAAATCAAAAATGCAATGAAAAATAACTCGCTAACAGGAAGTCCTGTGTGTCTAATATTAGATGAAGTTGATGGGGCTACGGAGCACGGGTTTATCAACATATTGGTAGACCTTATCAACAAGGACCGCCGCGACACGGCTTCTCTGGGCATTGATACGAAGCGCAGAACACAAAGAGAGATTATCAAACGTCCTATAATTGCCCTATGTAACGATGTCTACTCACCGGTCTTAGAAAAGCTCAGGCCGCACTGTGAGACTATTGCCTTCCGCAAATCACACCCACGTCTCGTCAAATCAAAACTCAAGAAGATCTGTCAGAGAGAAGCTCTCGTTGTGGATGAGCGCGTTTTAGACGCAATTATAGAATCTACGGAAGGCGATCTGAGAAATTGCATCAACTTTTTACAGTTCATCTCGTCGGCAGCTACTCTAAATCTTGAGTCGAGCTCAAAGGATACCCAAATAGGGTGGTTTGTTCTGTTGGACAGTATTTTTGTCAGAAACGCAAAGATTAGCAAACAGGAACAGTTCCGAAAACTCATCAAGTCCCTTTGGTCCTCAGCGCAGGTGGACAGAGTGACTACAGGGTGTTTCAATGTGATGCTTGACACAGATACCGATATCAATAAGTTAAGCGAGATGTCAGACTGGTTGTACTTCCAAGACGCGCTTAGCACAAGATTCGCGTCTTTCGAGGCGCAAGATTTCACGTTTTACCAGTCAGCTGTGCCAATGAAGTTTTATCAGAAGTTCAATGAAATTAGCCACTTGTCGGAAAAGAGGTACAATTATAGAACTCGCGACCGCTTTTTTGACTTACGAAAAGAGACAGCTGAAGCTCTCCAAAAGATAAAGCACTTGAATAACCAGGCAAACAGTTTTAAGCTTGCCAATCGAGCACAATTGGTGGGCTACGAACTGAATCTGCTCAATGCAATACTTGTGCCTGACGTTCCCTTTAAACAGATCGAGATGGCAGGTGGAGGCGTCAAGCTTTCTAGAATAATAGAGCTCATTGAAGCTTACTCGTTGCGCGTCGACGTATCGAAAAATGAGTATGGGAATGCAACTACTCAAATGAGACCTGGAATTCATCTTTTTGCCAATCTTTCAGCCAAGCAGCACCAAATATTGGTGAGACTTCAGAAGGAGCTACTCACAAAATACATCCAAGGACAGGAGTCCAAGACAATAGATCGCAAGCGGAAGGGGCCACGCGACAACGATCAAGCGGCCAAAAAGAGCAATTGCAGCTCAAGTGTGGAATATTTTAAGAGCAAGTACGCGGCTTTAACAGATCAATTAAGTCACGCAAAAAGCAGCAAAGAAATTTCTGCTTCAGTGATGGGTCAAAATGAGTACAGAATTTGGGTCAAGTACCACGAAGGCTTTTCAAACGCAGTCCGTCGAGACATTACATGGGAGAACCTATTTGCCGGACGATACGGGCCTTCATAGGCGATGCTGCATACGCCCCAGTCGGGCTTTTCAGTGGAGAAAATATGTAATACTTGCATAACGGAAGAATATTGTAGCTAATCAGAAAAAAACAAAAAAAAATTGCTTTGTCATGCCTGCGGAACGCCGACTCAAAATTCACCTGTGTGCGATGATTTCAAATACTCTGAATATTACTTTTTCCTTGATATGCATCAAAAAAGGGTGATATATTTATAATGTATGCACCATAACGAAGATTTGCTCTTGGATTTCACGATATCAAATTTTCAGAGAGCAGTCATCAGATGACCTGGAGTTGTACCCACTTTCTGTTCTTCTGAGCCCTCAAAATACTGTAACATTAGTTTTCAAACTGTACAGACATAGCGAGATTCGCGAACGAGTACAGAAAGTTCACTGGCACATGGAACAAAAGAAAAGTCGTTTGTTTTTCCAAAGGCATTAGCTAATCAGTCTCTTTTTTTTTAATTTTTCCTTTGGTAAAAGAAACGGGCGCGCGTAGTCCCGCCATTCCGACGGCTGGCCCACCCGCCTTTGAGAAATCTATATTTTGTACATGGGAAAGTTTTACTGATATATATGGTTTTTTTCCTAATATTAATGGTTGTATTTGTCTATTAATTGAAATTTTTTCTCAATTCTCCACTTTCAAACAGCCATCACTATACCCCATTCAAGAGCATATACATTGAACAGAATCATATACTGTTGAATTCGTACTCCAGAGGTTTTCGTTTTTGAACATTCGACAGGCCTTCAGAAACGCATAAAAATATGAACTCCCACCTTAATAACACGGGTGACAACCAAGAACTGAAACACCCTCCACATTTCAAAAACGTATTCTCAAGTAAGGATTCTAGCCCGGTTGGTGCTCCTGAACAAGATACGGATGCCATGGAGGTAGTCGAGAACAGAAGGCCGTCTGTCGTGGTGCCCACTAATCTGGACGCCTCCATGCTGAACACGCCTTCGACGACCGCACAACCGCACAATGAATCTAATGTTACTTTTACATCTCAGATGCCTTCAACATCCGAGATAAGTTCTTCGTCGACTGAAAACCTTCTTTCGCCGCCCTCGTCCATAGACATTCCCCATCGGTCAAGATCATCCTCTAAGACTTCAAAGAGACTTAGAAGAAAAAGATCCAAGTTTTACAAAGGAGCGGCTTCCCAACGATCCACCTCACCCGCTTTGCTCACAAATAATTTGCCCATATCCAAGAGATTCAGATCGCGGTCTCTTCCAAATATTTGGATCCCCTCACACAAGCAAACCAAGCTGCTCATTGACGATTTACAGCAAAGGCAACCTTCTGAAAAGGTTCCTGTCCCTCCGGTCAATCTCCAATCGATGCACGAGATCGATCTTCACGAGATCCTGAAAAATCCGCAACTGCGGCATGACATCTTATTTGAGCCCCAATTACAGTTTAGACCTAACCTTGATGGCGAACGTGGCAAACGGAAACGGATGCAAGGCGACAGATATTGGTCAGCCGTCAAAGCCGAAATCCGTCATTTGATGAGCTCGGAAAATCTTATCGCAGACAACTCGATCATCGTTGTTATGTTCCAGACGCTGAAGGATATCCTGTTGAGTTTGTTGCCTTCCAAAGATAAGGCCAATGTTGAAGAGATTATGGATATATCTCTTTTGGTTCAGGAGCTGAACTCCAAATGTTTCAATTTCATCAAGTTTTCGAACTGGATCTCCACTATATTCAAAATGCACTGTGCACCAATGAGAGACTCCTGGGTGGACGAAATGAACTCCATATTCGAAAAGGCTTGCTCCACTTCCCCAATAAACGTAGACCAAATTGTCGAGGGGCTTCATGTTCTTTTCTCTATCCTCGAGGCTATGAAACTTGATGTTGCCAATCATCAGATTCGCATTCTTAGACCGCTACTTTGCTCGACTGCAGTGGCTTTCGAAAAAGAATATTTTCAAACCATCATTAGAAAGAACAAAATCAACCTTAACGGAAGTTTGGACTGGTACAGAAAGTCCAAACAACGTTGCAATGGCGCAGAAAGCATACAGCAAGTTCTTAGTTACGGAATTTTGAACTTGCTTTCGTGCTCCCATATGTGCTCAGAATTCCCTGACACACTCACCTTTGACCACTCAAGATTGGTGATTTTGAGAGCCGATATTCGTCAACTAATTTGCATCAAGATTTGCCTAATTCTCTACCAAAATCTTGTGACCTCCCATAGGTTGTCCACCGCCGAATATTGTTCCGCAGACAAGTTGCAGCAGCTGAAGAAGGAAATCTTAAGCATTATTGTTGACGAGAACGGAAACTCCAAGTGGACAAGAAATCTCAACAACCTTGCTGTGCACTTGGTCAGTAAGGCCAGCCAGGATACGAGCCCTTCCAAAGTGAAGTTTTGTTTCAATTGGCTTCTCAACCAGACTCAACCAATCTCACAAATATATTCCATGTTAGAACAAAAACTGTTAGACAATGTCTGGAGAAGCCTCAATACTGGTGATAAGAGTGGGCTCGAACAAGAAGTTATTATCCGCGAGGAGTTGAACGGAGTGGCCGAAAGACTAAACCGCATCGTTGAGTTCCATGTGAGCGTTTTCGGGGACATCTACAATTAAATGACTGTTTTATTGCTTTTGGTTTATAGAATAGTAGGCTAGGGATGTTAGGTTATGCATATTTACAAAAAATCTAAACTTATTCAGAATGACATACTCTGGCTTATGAGTTTGTGGGCTGGGATGGAGTCCGTGGATCCCAGAGCTGCCAATCCTACTGGCTTATCGCGCAAATAGCGCTGACACCAGTCAACAACGTCGTCCTTGCTGATATTATTCACAATTTCAAAGATTTCTTCGGGAGACAATCTGCGGCCAGTAGTGACCAATTGACGGCCAATATCCTCAGCTATAGCAGTGGTTCCATCCAAAGACAAGAGCAAAGAGCCCTTTAGCTGAGACTTTGCTGTTTCCACTTCTTCGATCGAGAAGTTTCCATTTCGCAGTCGGCTCCATTCTCTTAGAATACAGTCTATCACTGGGTAGCATGTCTGTGATTTATCTACCACAACATATGTTCCCCAAAGGCCTGTGTCGGAGTAAGATGTGGAGAATGACATGAAAGAGTTGCACAAGGGCTCTCCCTGTCCGGAAGCAACAGTTTTTGCTAAAGGCGTAGGAGCAACATTTGTTGCTCTATCCCAATTACCCACGATAGCTTGTGCAACAAGTGCTTTGAAATAGTCATCGGAAGACCACGAGCAGCCCTCCACGCAGATGGCGAAGTAGGTATTTGGTAATGACTCATCCTTGACCTTAATTTCTTCACCGTAAAACTTTGGAAGAGCTCCGCGGGGGGTCCCGAGTGGCAATGGTCTTTCGGACAAAGGCACATGTCCAAATGATTTCTCGGCCAGCTCAACAAGTTGTTCGTGTTCCACCGCACCTGTTCCGACCAAAACCATCCTATCGCCCTTGTAGTTGGTTTGAATGTAGTTTTTCAAATCGTATTGCGTGATAGACTTGATATTTTCTATCGGGCCTAAAATGGTTCTCCCCAGAGGCTGGCCCTTGAACACAACTTCGTGGAGTCTGTCGAAAACAACCTCGTCGTACATTTTATCAACCTCCTCACTTTCTCTGATAATCACAGGCCTTTCCTTCTCAATAGCGGTTTTCTCAAGCTTCGAGCGCGTGAGGATATCCGAAAGAATGTCAACTGCTCTTGGAATGTCTTCTTTCAACGATTTAGCATAATAAACAGTATTTTCTCTAGATGTGTATGCATTCAAGTGGGAGCCGCAATTTTCCACTTCAAGCTCCAGGTTGAGCTGTGTTCTGTTATTGGTCCCTTTGAAAGCCAAGTGCTCAAGAAAATGGGCTGTTCCAGAAGTTGAGTCGCTCACATCTGCTCGAGAGCCGGCATCGATCCACACCCCGACGGTGGCGGTCAACGAGTTGGGAATCTTCTCTGTCGCCACCGTTAGTCCATTTTTCAGAACTGTGGTTCTTGTTGTGGGTGAGGCTGTTGCAAGGCCACGTATACCCGCAGGGCGAGTCACTTTGCTAGCAAATCTTAACATTAATAATCCAAGATAATCCAAGTATCGAAATTTCTTTATTTCTAGGCTTTCCTTATTGACCCGCGTTTTTTAGTGTACAGATCAAATAAGTTTCAACTATATTTGCCACTACAATTACACTTGATGACAGTAAGTAACATGTCTTTATCCTCTAGAAAGCTGACTTTCAAGGACCAGAGAATGCAAGTCGACTCTCCTCAGGAAGATACGATTGATGAGGGACTCTACTCGCGTCAATTGTACGTTCTGGGAAAAGAGGCCATGCTCAAAATGGCCTCGTCCAATGTTCTGATAATAGGTCTGAAAGGCCTGGGAATTGAGATTGCGAAAAACGTTGCCCTGGCAGGAGTGAAATCATTGTCGATCTATGATCCAACTCCTGTCTCGTTGACTGATTTATCAGCCCAGTTCTTTTTAACTGAGAATGATATTGGCAAGTCTCGTGCCGAAGCTTCATTGCCTAGACTTGCTGAGCTCAATGCCTATGTGCCAATCTCAATCGTCAACGACCTGACTGCGGAAACTGTTTCAAGCTTCCAAGTTGTGGTTACCACAGAGACCCCCTTAGAGAAACAACTGGAAATTAACGAGCTAACCCATGCAAAAGGGATTAGATACATAAATGCAGATATTAAAGGACTTGTGGGTCAGTTGTTTGTGGACTTTGGAGAGGATTTTACGATCTTTGATACAAACGGAGAAGAACCGCACACAGGCATTGTCTCAGATATCGAAAAGAATGGAACGGTCACCATGCTTGACGATAATAGACATGGATTGGAAGATGGAGATTACGTCAAGTTCTCCGAAGTGCAAGGAATCGATAAACTGAACGATGGTACTGCTTATAAAATCAAGGTTTTGGGTCCATATGCCTATCAATTGGTGGATTTTGATCCAAATTGGGGAACCTACATCAAAGGAGGAATTTATACCCAAGTCAAGATGCCTAAACAAATCTCCTTTCAAAAGCTATCTACACAGCTGGAGAATCCTGAATTCTTTTACTCAGATTTCGCAAAGATGGAAAGACCGCCTCTATTTCACCTTGGATTCCAAGCTTTAAATGAGTTTGAAAAGGCCCATGGGGAGCTTCCGAAACCACACTCTGAGTCTGATGCAGCAGAAATTGTGGATCTAGTGAAGAAGCTCAACTCCAGGTACCCAAGCATCCTAGGCGGTGCTGACATTAACGAAGATTTGATCAAGGAACTTTCCTATGGTGCTAGAGGTGAGCTGCCAGCAATGGTTGCCTTTTATGGCGGTTTGGTTGCTCAAGAAGTTCTAAAGGCTTGTTCGGGTAAATTTGGACCAGTGAAGCAATGGCTCTACTTTGACTCTCTCGAATCTCTTCCGGAGAGTAAAGAGTATCCACGTACTGAGGAGACGTGCAAACCAATCAACTCCAGATACGATAACCAGATTGCGGTTTTTGGACTTGAATTCCAAAGAAAAATTGCCAATTTGAAAGTGTTCCTGGTCGGATCTGGTGCTATTGGATGTGAAATGCTAAAGAATTGGGCAATGATGGGATTGGGAAGCGGACCGGAGGGAAAAATATACCTGACAGACAATGACTCTATCGAAAAGTCCAATTTGAATAGACAATTTTTGTTTAGGCCAAAGGATGTGGGTAAGAATAAGTCCGAAGTCTCGTCTCAAGCCGTCTGTGCCATGAACCCAGACCTGACGGGTAAAATAGAACCGCGGACTGATAAGGTTGGTCCTGAGACTGAGCACATTTTTGACAACGATTTCTGGGAAAGTCTCGATTTGGTGACTAATGCCCTGGACAATGTTGAAGCCAGAACCTATGTCGACAGGAGATGCGTCTTTTTCAAGAAACCACTTTTGGAGTCTGGTACTTTGGGAACAAAGGGTAACACGCAGGTTATCATTCCAAACCTTACTGAGTCATACTCTTCTTCTCAAGATCCGCCAGAAAAGTCGATTCCACTTTGTACATTAAGGTCCTTCCCAAACAAGATTGATCATACAATTGCTTGGGCCAAGTCGCTTTTCCAAGGGTACTTTACTGATGCTCCAGAGAATGTCAACCTTTACTTGTCACAACCTAATTTTGTTGAAAGCACTTTGAAACAGAGTGGTGACGTAAAGGGTATTCTAGAGTCTATTAGCGCTTACCTGACCAAAGACAGACCCTACACTTTTGATGATTGTATCAAATGGGCTAGACGCAAGTTTGAGGAAACCTTCAACCACGACATACAACAGCTACTTTACAATTTTCCTAAGGATGCTGTCACGTCGACTGGTGCTCCCTTCTGGTCCGGACCAAAAAGGGCACCAACTCCTTTGGTGTTCGATATCAACAACGATGACCACTTCCATTACATTGTCGCTGGTGCTAACTTGTTAGCCTATGTTTATGGCCTCAAGGGAGACCAGGGAGAGCCTGACAGGGCCTACTATGATCGCATTTCGTCTTCTGTCACTTTAGAACCATTCAGTCCCAAGACCGATGTCAAGATCCAAGCCAATGACAATGACCCTGATCCTAATGCTGATATTATTATGGACCAAGGGGCAATTGAGAAGCTTGCTGCCTCTCTGCCAACTGCTTCTTCTTTGGCGGGATATAGACTGAATGCGGTAGAGTTTGAGAAGGATGATGACACTAACCATCACATTGAATTTATTACTGCAGCCTCAAATTGCAGAGCGTTGAACTACCACATTGCTACTGCAGACAGATCCAAGACAAAATTCATTGCTGGCAAGATTATTCCTGCAATTGCTACCACGACTGCCTTGGTGACTGGCCTGGTGTGCTTGGAGCTTTACAAGGTTGTCGACAAGAAAACCAATATTGAGACGTATAAGAATGGTTTTGTCAACTTGGCCCTACCGTTCATTGGCTTCTCTGAGCCTATCAAGTCTCCATCCGGCAAATACAACGATAAAACGTTCGATAAGATTTGGGATAGGTTTGACTTGTACGGAGACATGACTCTGCAAGAGCTTCTTGATTACTTCAAAGAGAAAGAAGGTCTTGAAATAACTATGTTGTCGCATGGAGTTTCTTTGTTATATGGATCGTTCCATCCTCCAAGCAAACTGAAGACTAGGTTGCCACTGAAGTTGACCGAGCTTATAGAAACGGTGTCCAAGAAACCAGTTCCTGAACACGAGAAGACTCTGATTTTCGAGATCTGTTGCGATGATCAAGAAGGTGAGGACGTTGAGGTGCCTTACATCTGTGTTCATCTCAATAAATGATCACCATAGTTAGTTTATGAGCTGATAAAAAAGGTTTTTCCTGTTTGAAAGCGTATTGTAGTGGCCCTTCTCCTTGATGATTCCGTCCTCCATATATGCCACGGTATCTGCTATCTGCATCATTTCTCTCTGATGGCTTATCATGATGATGGTCACGTGCTTCTTCAGTCCCAAAATGATTTTTGCTACCCGCTTAGTATTTTGCGGATCCAACGATGCTGTGCATTCGTCAAGAATTAAAACCTTGGGCGATCTAATGAGAGCTCTAGCAATACAAAGCCGTTGTAGCTGTCCGCCAGAGATCAGGAGATTAGAAGAACCACCGATGCGCGAGAACAAATTGTCCGGAAGACTGTGAACGAATTTTGCCATATCCACCAATTCGAGGACTTCATCGATTTGTGCTCTCGTTACTGTTTTATGCAAATTGTACGTCAAGTTTTCGAAAATTGTTCCATCAAAAAAGTAATGGTTCTGAGTAACGACAGCCACCTCTTTTTTGAGCTCAGACATATCAAGTTGATCAAGGTTTGCCCCGCAAAATTTGATTGATCCTTTCTGGGGGCTGTAGAGCCGTAATAGGAGATTCAAAAGCGTTGATTTTCCGCAGCCAGATTTGCCCACTATACACGTAATTTCATTCATGTAGAGAGAGAGATTGAAGTTATCCAACACCGGAGATGTGTTTGGGTCGTAACTAAATTGCACATTCTGGAACTTAAGCAATGGCTTATTTGGTTTCATTACCGGTTTGGTTGTCCCGTAAGATTCCTGTAAATTATCCGGAAGTTGGATCAAAGTAAGAATTTTCATGAAAACTAGCACACCTTTGTTCACGTTGGGCATTGATGAAAGCATAGCAGAAACGTAACCAACAGTGAACATTATTAAAGCTACCACCTGAATCATCTGGACCAAAGTGATTGACTTTTCTGACACTAATTTGATGCCATAGTAGAGCATGATTGCTTGTGAGAGATAGATTGCAATGTTTTGTGCAGCCATGGCTATGGAGATAATCAGTGCCCGCTGTTTTCCTGCATGGTTCATTCGATTCATGTGATTGTTGAATCTGGCTTGAAAATAATTCTGAAGATTAAGTGACACCACTGTTTTCATTCCCAAGACGCTCTCATGGACAACCCCTTCTACATTATCGGATGCTTCCTTGTACTCCGTCTCATATTTTTGCAAGACAATGGAAAATAAGATTGAAAACATAGCGAAAAGAGGAGCAAAACTGAGGCCCACTAGTGCTAGTTTCCAACAGACGATCAAAGACCAAACCAGAGCAATCAGTATTAGGGCAATAACAGAAATGAGCTGACTTGGAGCATCTGAAATCACAGTTCTGAGGTCCTTGATATCATTGATAAGCAGTGACGAAAGGGCGCTTGGGTTTGCGCTCTGAAACCAGCAGACAGGCTGAACAAGAATCTTGTCAAAAGCTCTGTTTCGCAGCTGATCAACCAATGTTTCCGAGCTCTGGCTTAGTGCCATCTTCGAAGTGAACAATGAAAGTCCATCCATGAACGCCACGCACAAAAGAGCCAGAGACCATTTCACCATATAAGTACTGGACACCTGCTGTCCAACTGACACTATCCCAAGCACTAATTTGGAAAGAAAAAAGGTAAACAAGGGCGTCATAGATGCATTTACCACGGAAACTATAATGCCAAGCAAGAAACAGACCCTAGAGCCAAATGTAAGAACATGCCACAGTTGACGAAGGAGGCGTAAAACGCTCACTTTTTTATGAGCTTGGCTCTCCAAATCTTGTACTAGATCAAGTCTTTGCCCGACTTCCTCTTCTTCCATTCGATGCTCAAAGGGATCATCTGGGATATCCAGTTGGTATTGGAAGGAGGCAAACCTGGTTTTTCTATTTAGCAGGTCAATCTTGACGCCCTGCTCCTCAATCTTACCATTTTCCATAAGAACAACGTAATCTGAATCTGCTATCTCGGAGTAGTCGTGTGTCATAATGATTGTGGACCTTCTCCTTCTGTTTCTTTTGAGCTTCTCCAAAATCAAGATTCGCTGACTATAATCCACCGCAGACAAAGCTTCATCCAAGATGAGCACGGGTGTATCTCTAATAAGTGCTCTACATAGAGCAACTTTCTGCTGCTGTCCTCCGCTCAGTGTTATAGAGCCAGGACCTCCTCCCACTTTCGTGTTCAATCCTGCAGGCAGAGAAGCAATCAATTGATCAAGACCTGTTATTTGTAAGGCCTCGTTCAGCAATTTAGGGGCAACAGGAGTAGGACAACCCAAAGACAGGTTTTCAAATATTGTACCACCAAAAAGAATGCATTGCTGCTGGACCAAAGTGATTTGTGAGGCTAGCCAGCTTCGATCCAGTCTCGAAATATCATAGTCATCACAGGTAATTTTGCCGTCAAAATGGTACAGCCTCAGGATGAGGGACGCAAGGGTGGATTTTCCTGAGCCTGATTTTCCAACTATATACAACAGATGATTTGCAGGGATTTGTAAGGTAATGTTTTTGAGGACCCAATCGTCTCTCACTGGATACTTGAAGGAGACATTAGAGATTTTGATATCACCCATCATATCATGTTTAGGCTGGAAACCTCCTTCATAACTGACATTTGAGCAGTCCACACTTTTGAAAACATACTTAAGTGAGATATGTGCAGTCCTCAAACTCACAATCTGGGAAGAGATGGTTGAGAATATCCGTGAAACGGTCAGGCAAGAATAAAAGCAGGAAATAATGTCGCCCGAAGAATTGAGGTGGTTGCGTACTAAAAATGATCCATACCAGAAGCTTTGAATAAACATCATGAGTGCCAAGAACTTTATCATGCCTGCATTCAAGTTGAAGAAGAGCTTCGTTCTCAAGAAGCTGTGGGAGGTCAATTTACTAGCAGCATCGAGCTTCCTTTTTTCCAGCAAGGAGGAATCAACAATTTTGATCCACGTGTAATTGAGCAAATTCCACTCCAGGACCTTGACTGTATTTTCTGAATGCTTGTTTTCCAATGTGGTATATTTCCCTATTAATATTCCCCAACCACTGGTAACCAGGACGATTACAGGAATGGTAGCCATCACCAGCAAAGTTAGCCTCCATGAATAATAGAAGCTGAGTATTAATAAAGCACAGAGCATGGCAACTGACTTAATAAGCATCTCAAGACACTCGGAGACTCCCATCCTGAACTCCTCTATGCATCGGTTCACCTGCATCAAATTGGAGTTAAGATCCGACTTCCTGTCAAACCATTCTAGTTCTTTTCGAAGCAAAGATTGGTAAACTTGCTGTCTACAACGTTTTTGTTGTCTCTCTCCAACAAGAAGAAAGCAAGTCAGTCCTAACCAGCTGAAAAGCGTGGCACCAATTCCAACAAAAGCGATTGCGAAACAAAACCATTGCACATCTGCCACGAAATCACGGCTGGATGAATATTCATTTCGACCAAACCCCTCCAGTTTATCAAATACTCTTGCTAGCAGCACGGCGACGGTGGCAGGGACCATAGCAGAAAGGATGGTAAAAATCGATGCAGGAAGTAATAACCAGCAGTCTTTGGCTTTGACAAACATGAATAGCCAAGGTTTGCGAGATACTTCCGTCACCCCAGAGGTTTCCAGAACCGATGTGATGGTCACAGGGGAGCCATAGAAGTCTTTTTCATCCATTTGGTGGCATTGTGGTTGCGTTCACATCGATATATATCTCGCTCATAGGATTCAGTTTAAATTTTAGAATTTCCGAATCGGGAAGATCAATGAAGACGGCGACGAAGTGCTCTGAAAACGCCAGAGGTAAGAAAAATTTTGTATCAAAAATTCAACTCCTTCCTAACCACTACTGTACTTTTTCGCTCACGCTAACGAGTGTATCGGAGGACCGGTACTATCGTCAGCAGCCATCTAAATGATGAAATATCTGATAGGGACAACTGACTCATATGATGAAAGTTGTTGGAACATAGATAGATAGTAAATATTCTGAAAGATGGTTCGAGCTAACTAAATTAAGTATCAGCAGGCGTTAGCCTCAGTACAATTTGTATACCTGTACTCATAGCGTTTTAAGTGCATGAAATTGGCAGCCTGCATATCGTTTGAAATTTAAAGATCAAGCTGTTTTAATTTGAGGGCAATTAAATTAAAAAATCTTGTTTTTAAGAATAGATAAGCTAATGACTAATCAGGGTTGGGTGCTGGTGTTGCTCACGGCAGTGACCACCATCACAGGCTGTCTAATGGTCTACACAGACACTGTGTATCGTGTGATATTCCCCAGACTATATGGAAAGCACCCCTTTAACATTCAAAAAAACACACCCTTCCTTGTGGCCACACTGTCGCTGAGTTCTGGTAGCTTATTATTCACCTCGCTCAACAGACTGCTTCCTGAAGCGGACAAATACCTGGAACAGCTTAGATCAGTTGAAGGCAAACCAGAACTGCGCAAAGCCTTGTTGGTCACCTTCTTCTTCATGGGTATCTTGTGTTGTACCCTGCTCAATCTGGCGATCCACTTTTTCACCAATGAGAGCATTGTCCATTGCGTTCATGATGAAGAGGACGACCATTCAGATATGGAAACGTCCGATTTGGAGTCTGCCTCAGAGGAAAGTCCTTTGCTAAATCATGGACATAAGCATCACGACTACTTTTCGCATCATGCTCACCATCGTTCCTCAATAGGTGAGGATGTCCAGCAAGACCGTGCAACAGCCACTAAAAAGATGTCCCTTGTGGACCTATCCTTGAAAACACTGAAGGGAGCCGAAGTTGAAGGCGAGTGTCTGGGCACAATAGATTCTTGCCAGGAAGAACTTATCGCACGCCATCACTTACATGAGGGCAAAAAGTCAACCCCAAACGAGCTACATTTTTGCACTCTACCAAGCGAAGAGAATATTATGTTTTTCGACAAGGACAGAGAACTCATTGTCAATAAGAGTGAGATTTGTTCAAAATTCCCAGAGTTGGAAGTTAACTCCCCCTTGCTGGTAAATGGCCACCAAACCCCATCGACTCATAAACAAAATGGACATTCCCAGCTGGACCATTCCCATTCCAAGAATATTGAGGATCATCATGGCCATGAACATATACACAATTCTGATTCACGTTCTCTTGAACACCATCATCATCATATCCAAACGCCTTTATCTCGACTGCTTTCCATTGGACTGCAGACTGTTCTTGCAATCACGATTCACAAACTTCCAGAAGGATTCATTATGTATTCTACTGCCCAGGCGGATCCTAGTTTGGGACTTTCAATTTTTCTTTCGATGTTCATTCACAACATAGTGGAAGGATTCACCATGACCCTGCCGCTTTCTATTGCGCTCAACAGCAAGTCAAGCGCATTTTTTATATCAAGCATACTTGGAGCGAGTGCCCAGCCTATAGGGGCAGTACTTGGATGGATAATTTTCAGAGGAAAACTTGATTTGGATCAGGACATAAATTTGCTACTTTTTGGCTCCTTGATAGCTCTGACATCCGGCTTCCTCACATACGTTGGTTTCCAGATGATAACGAGCGCTGTTGGATTTGGAGGAAAGCAAGAAAGGGTGCTAGGGTTTGCTTTCTTTGGCATGTTTTTGATTTGTCTCAGTAACATCCTAATAAACAGGAACTAATCGACGCGTCGACACCAAAGAATTTATTTTTTGACCTTAATTTTGTAATTCATGCTTGTTCGCTAATGGGACAAAAGACAAGTAAACTGAACAAGGAGGATATCTCAACTTTGAGACAGGAAACGAAATTCTCTGCGCGAGAGCTGCAGCAATGGTACAAAGGGTTTCGCAGGGATGTTCCTAATGGCCAACTGACAAAAGAGGAATTTACCAAGATTCATAAACAATTCTACCCGTTTGGCGATCCTACAGAGTTCTCGTCATATGCATTTGAAGCCTTTGATACAAATGGGAAGGGATACATTGATTTTCACAGTTTTATTGTTTCTTTAAGCTTAGCATCACGAGGCTCAATAGAAGACAAGTTAAAATGGTCGTTCAATGTGTACGATCGTGATAGGGATGGCTTTATCAGCTATGACGACCTCCTTACAGTAATAAAAAGCATATACAGAATGGTGGGTACCAGCACATTGCATCTCTCTGAAGACGAAGCTACTCCAGAGCTTAAAGCAGGTAAAATTTGGCAAGGTTTTGGCAAACAGCTACACGACTCTCGAGATCTCATATCGATGGAGGAGTTCATTAATCATAGAAATTTGGGTTCTGAGGTGCTTGAAGCACTGAACTTATACAATGATCTGGTGTGATCCAGACCTTCAAATCCTCTCTGCTGTCCAAACGGCAGCTTTGCATGTCAGCTTAATAGTTTCTGTCAGCAACCAGTACGGCCTGGCCTTTTTCGAGTCATGCTCAATAGCTGTGTCCAGATGCTCCAGCTCCTCATCTCTAAACACTTTTATAGTTTCCTTCAGGCTCTTAATATCCGCTGAATCCGATGTCTTAGCGCTATCTATTTCTTCAATGTCTTGGAATCCATTGGACAGCACACGCAACTGCTGGTTGTAATGATTTCCAATGACAGTCTCCACAGCCTCGGTACAGGCCATTGCTCCTTCTTTACCCAGCAAACCGGTGAAAAGTCCCATTGCAAATGCACCTGCTTTCCATGCTGGGGTAAGCAAAGACGGACGCACTCTGTGGTCAACCTGAAGTCGGTTGAAAGTGTTATGATGGTGTATTTCCTGGTCCCACATATGTTTCAGCACTGGTTTCAGTGCAGGCTTGTGCGACAGTGCCATGTACTGACCTGCGTAAATCAAGTCCGCTCCGAGCTCTCCAGCCTGGTCAACGCGAATTACACGGTCCAGATATGCTTTCTGAGCTGGCGATAGAGCTTTGTGAGTACTTTGAAATCGTCTACAAATGAGCCTGTTCATGAATTTAGTTAGGTTTTGGTGGTACCATAAATTATATTTCGTAGTCTGTCAACCGCGAACGCGTGCAAGATATATAAATCTACTTCCGGGAAGACTTGAATACAGGGATATCGTCATCATCGTCAATAGCGGGCCGCCGTACCATAGCAGCCGAGCGGAGCGAAACTGGTCGTTTGCGGCGTGGAAACTCGAATTCTTGGTCGAGCTCGGGAATTTGTTCCTCTTCCAGATGGATTCCTTCCCGTGTGAGAGATGAATTGTAGCTTGAGGATTTGAGAGGAATATAAGAGGCCATGGCATCAAAAACAACATCTCTCTGTTCACCATTGTTGGTTTTTCGGAACTTGGAGTAGTCTTTGCGACCTCTCCACTTGTGGTTAGCGCCCGTATACTGTTGAGCCTGATATTCTTTGATTGCAACACTGAATTTGGTGACTTTCGGTTGCAAAGCCTCTCCCTCCATCTCCAGATGCTGGCTTTCTTCTTTGACCTTTTTCGCTTCTTTGAAAATCTCGAGCAGGGGCAAGTCGTGGGAAAAGTTTTCTTTAGGTGCATCAGCAGGTGTAGAAGTAGGCTCAATCAATGTACTCTTAAATGGCTCGTTATGGTCAACTTGTTTCACAGTGGGTGTAGTAGAGTTTAGTAATGCTTGAAATTTTGCAACCGCTTCCCGACCTTGAAGAGCATCATTCTCATTCGATGTTGGCTTTATCGTCGCGTCCTTTTCTGGAGAAGGTCCAGATTCGCTCCTTATGACTTCAAAATCGTCAATGTTGGGAAGAAAAATCTGCGATGACCCTAATGAGCCGGGGGTTCTTTTAGCGCGTCTCTGACTTGGCTGCGAATCTCCTGAAGAGGGCGTTTCCCCCAAGGCACAACTAACAAACGGAATATTTTCAACAGCAACCATTTGCGTATCCTCCACTTCGGTAGCAGACGGATCATATTCCAAAACCACTCTGATTGGCGTGTTCTCGTCGACAACCTTTTTGAATTGACCAACACTCTCCTGATGGCAACTGAGACGAAAGACCAACAAGTCCGAGGGCCCTGCTCTCTTAAACTGAATACCGCGCAGACGCTTCAAGTCGTCATATGTTTTTCCAATAGTGACCAGACAAATTTGATCATCGTTCCAGTATTTTTCGAAATCTGATTCCAGTGCCGACAAGTTAATCTGTTGTAACCACTGCTTGTCCATGATTTTAATCTCGGGATTAGAACGGCATAGGTCGATCAAGTGACCAATTGTCTCTTCTCCAGTCACAAAATAGTGTGTTGTATGTCGCGGACTCACTTGAGCCAAATTTTGAAGCTCAGGGAGGGCTCTATTAGTAACCATATCTTTCCAGACAGCCCTCATTAAAAATCCTTTTCCGCGGATAATCAAGTCTCCAGTTCCTGTATCAAAACGCAAAACTTCTTCGTACCCCAGAGCAACGCCATTGATCTCCACAGCACCTATCTTTGGTCTAGGGCATACATTTGCAATCTCTAGGGTGTGGCCTTTAACTTTGAACGAAAATTCGAGCCTCGACACCGACTTATGCGGTATGTGGAAGTCTGCATCTTTCTTGCGACCAACTAAATACACTTTTTCGGGCAGGAGAAGATGCAATATACCATCATCAGAAGACTCGACAAGCCACATTTAAGCGGATCAGACTTATTTTGTGATGTTTTATTTTTTGATCTGCTACACACGATAGTGAAAAATAAATATGGTATTATACACAAATTAAGAGATTGCCACCCCAAGTTCATTTGAGCTGCTTCAAATTTTCATAAAACTGGACAACATCCTCACTGACCCTGATGCGCTTTTCGTCAAAGTTCACAATCTCAAGATTTTTCGTATCGACACATCTACTCAAAGCAACGTAGACCTGTCCTTTTTCGAAAATCTTGGTCAGGTCGACCTTCACGCGCTCCAATGTTTGTCCCTGAGACTTGTGAATAGACAAAGCCCACGATAGCAGGATCGGAAGTTGTTCGCGGCTCAGGTCGCTATTAGACTCGGTAGAAAATGGCACTGGCTCTATAAGTCTGAGTGAGCTATGAGAAAATTTGACAAGGGGCAAGACCTCTGAAAGTTTGGAGTTTTTGGCTGTCCGAATCATTTCTTTAGCAAGTTCCACCTGCGCGGGGCTATTGTAATTTGTGGCCAGAAACTCGTTGTATAATGCTTCGTCCTGGGCGGTCGGTTCATTACCAGTAAACCTAGATGCCATTACCAGAAGATCGGTGTGCACAGACCTTTCATATTCCTTGAATGTGTTGGTGAATAAGGTCCAAAGTGAGATACTGCAGAAGCAGACGATCTTTCCGATCGATCCATTCACTAATTGAGGATCTTCCAGGTCGTTTTTTAAATACATTATCTGCGCACCTTCTTTGAGTTGCAGAGTCTTTGCACACATGAGGCCATCCAGTTGTTTTATAAACATTGCCGGATTTCCAGTCGGAGGGAAATTGTCGCGACTTTGGAAGGTGTAGACACGCCCTGGAAGCGAATTCAATCTCTCCAAATTAGCACGATCGACTTCTTCTCTAGTGGGGTAGAGCTCCGTAGGGTAAATACCATCGCTGTATTGGAGAGGGCGTTCGAGCCGTTTAAATTTCTGCTTGATCTCATCCGAAAGTTTACCGATTCTCAAGGCGTTCAACATCTCAATCAAGTCAGAATCGTTTTGTTGCCGGAAAACCTTAGTTAGGAGGATTGTCTCATCAATACATTCCTTCCAACTGATCGCATCAAAACAAAACTTAGCTGCACCCATTTTGCTTAACGAAACAGGAGGAAGCTGAAAGAAATCTCCTGTCAAAACCAACTGGATACCGCCAAACGGTTTGTTGCTACCTCGTATTTGTTTTGCAATCTCGTTCAACTTGTCAAAGAATATGGAGTCGATCATGGATAGCTCGTCGATGATTAACACTTTGGTACCTTTCCACCTTTCAACGACACTTCTTCTGCTTTTTATCCTGCTCACTAGCTTGTTTACCGGCTCAGAGCCCAGTCCAGTGCCGGCAAAACGGTTAATTGTGGTTCCTTCAATGTTCGTCGCTGCCAAACCAGTTGAAGCAGTCACCGCAATGGAGCTGGAACCGTATCTATTCCTCAATCGTTTGATTATTTCACGTAACAGAAAAGACTTACCAGTTCCTGCAGAACCTGTATAGAAAATGTTCTTGCGCTCGTACAGCACCATCTCAATGACCTTACGCTGTTCCTCCGAAAGAGACCCGCTAACACTGTTGCTATTTTGAGATGACGGTTTGTTTTGGTTGCGTGGATTTGAAATCTTTTTCAAGTTCAGATTAGACCATGGCAACGATCTTTGACGTGAAGCTGACATGGGCTTACGTACAGGCAGCTTGATCGGCCTGCCGATGCTTACATCCTGTCTTGTCGATACGTCAATCTCTGTCTTTTCAAATCCTAGTCTTTCAATTGGTTTTGAATGTTTGAAGCTGGATGGTTGAGACATAGACACGTCGGAAACAGGAGTCTCCAAATCGCCAAATCCCACACAAGAGACCGACCGACCCAACTTCATGCGCTTCTGCGCGTTTTCTTTATTTTGCAGGAAATCTTCATCGCCAGACACGCTTCTTTTGTCTAATTTGAGTGCAGAGAACGGCTGATTGGGCTTGGTGTCCCGACTGGGTTTCGAGGAGTTTATGAAAGATGCCAAAGTGGACTGCTTAGATGCTCCTGGTCTTTTTGAATTAGATGTCTTGAGCGACACATTGAACATCTGATTATATGCTTGTCGTGTTGTTTTGATTTAAAAAGCGTGAGTCGAATAATCAGCGCGACGATCGACGCCTTAGACCAGACCTCTACTAACTTTTATGGATTTTGTGCGCGCCACAGGTTTTCGCAAACATGATAGGACATTGTTTATGCGCATTTTTTTCACTTTGGAATAAATCCCAGCCCTTCCACCTGGACCTAAAGTAATTTTATGCGCGTGATGCGCATGAATTGAGACAATCCTTACAAACTAGGCAAGTGTGTGTTCATTCCAGCAGCAATGAACTATTTCAATAAAAGAGAGTCAGCATTAATTCAGATTTTGCATATTCGATCGCTGCATACGAGATCGGGAGCTGGGGAAATTAATATTGTCTTGGTGTGAAACAAGTGTTTGCACCTGCATGAAATGACTTCCGATGATTTGCTTGACTGGTAACTTTATAAACCGGATATTTTTTCGTAGCCTGCCCATCTTTCCCAATCATGACTGAAAAGCTTTGGGTGGATATAGAAAAAGGTGGACGTTGGATTCCGCAGCGCAAATTGTGTACTTTGAACCGGATTCTTTTGTACGTTCTCATCTGTCTGTGTATCCTGACTGCTGTTATGACAGCCAGGAGGTCTTCAGTCCACTCTCATCATCTCATGGTGTCAGATCCTCACGCAAATCAAGAATCTTTCATTATTGATAGCCGCTCACACAAAGCCCGCAACTCCCAAAGGGTGCCCTATGATACAGAATACAATGTTGTGGTCAACGCTGCCGACGCAAAAATAGAGAAACCGGAAAGGTCGCCAGCCGTGCCTGTCAAACGAAACCCGGTTGTTCTACATAAAGAAGTCGAGGCAATTACGCTTGTCTCCAAACTGGTTTTGGTGGTCGATTCACTGAACCGTAAATACGAAAGCCTCGCTCGAAGCTTATGGGGAGAGCCTTTACTAATGAACCTAAGCAAGCATCCTTACAACGAAGCGCTCAAGGAATATATGGTGGACTACTTCAAGGTCGAGAAGCTGCCCATTCTGCTTGTGAACGGAAAGCCAATGGTGAGTGGAGATGACTTAAATGATGCAAGATCTGCTCGCATCAACAGACTCATCAAGGAGAACTTGGATTAATCAAATATACGTTCGAAAGACTCCTCAGGCTGGTCCTCATTTTAGAGAGCCTAATTTTGTACTCAGGATTTATAATGAAATCGAAGATTTATGATGCATAATTGCTTCTAAAATTCAAATCGCGAAAAAATGGGGGTATGTACGGCAATTCGGCTACTTACTAACAGCTAGAACGATGGAGGTTCCATTCCGTCCAGAAAGCTTATTGTGAACTTCTATGCTTCGGACAAAGCGAAGGACAAAGGCAAGACGTTTAACGCCTTTACTGTTTGCGCCTTATCCAATGAAAAACTAAACCCTCCTGTTGTCTCAGACTACAGAGGCCAGCTTTTTAACAAGGACTCGCTTCTTGAATTTCTTCTTAATAAAGAGTATCTGAAAAATGAGAGGTTTGGCCACATTACGTCCCTCAAAGACGTCGTGCAGCTCAATATCAAACTGGATGGAAATAAACTAAAGTGCGAACTTACTTCTTCGGAGTACGACATTACGTCTACTGTATTGCCCAAATTTGCATATGTGGTACCCTGTGGATGTGTGATGCTGAAGAAGAACTTGCTTTCTCTTCTATCTTCCACAAAGCTTGGAGAATACGCTATAACACGATGTCCAATTTGCAATACCGAGTTTTTCAGTCGCGACGTGATCGAAATAGAACCAGACGAGGATGAGTTACGTATTTTGGAAAAACGCATGAAGCTGTTGGAGACAGAAGGGCTACACCACTCACTCAAAGCCAGAAAGAGACGAAAGTCTGTGTCCGGGGAGAAAAGCGCTAAAAGAAGCAAGAGTAAAAGCGCAAAGCCTTGACCGCTTTGTATGGTATTCCCAAAACTATGTACATTATTGGCTAATCTTGTTCCGCCTGTTTTGCCTGCAATTCCTTTTGTAAGGCGAGTCTTTTCTCGTTTTCCTTGCCTGTCATATATAACGTGTAACCGACATTAGCGGTCATATAGAGCGACAATCCAACAAGTCCCAAAACAGTGATGCGGTGCGCCACGTCAGTAACTCTAGTATACCATGGATAAGCCTTAGACATGATAGTGTGCAATAAAATTGAATTTATTTAATGAGCGAAAAAATTCGGGATACGAGCGTGTATCTATTAAATCAAGTTATAGACCTGCGTTTGAAAAGCTTTTTGAAGGTGCTCTTTGGGGATGGCAGACTTGCCGACGATATGCTATTGCGGAGAGTGGAAACAGATTGGACGCTTCCAGACTTGCTGACTTGTTCCTTCAAGTGTTTCGACTTCAAGCGAGGACTGTCTGCAGACTGTCTCCGGTGTTTGAGATAGGACTCCAGGCTACCATTATCATTGCCCATCAGATCGTACACGACACAGTGATCCTGATCAACTCTTGCAGCCTTGAGGATAGAGTTCACAAATTCCATGAACGTGTCCGTTGTAAAATCAGATGGAAGTTCTGTTTCAGAGATGGCTTGTTCCATAGCTTTGGTTTTAGCTATCACGACCGAGGCCTGGCGCTTTAAATCCTCCAGGTTGATGCTTTGTTTCTCCAATATCAGCTGGTTGAGCTCATCGTCTCCATCTTCCAACAACGTCTTGATGAAGTCTCTCGATCCGAAGTCTGTGTCTTCCAGCCCTAGCAGATCTAGCTTCAGCTCGCTCAAGACGGATTTCCTTTTGGACTCTTTTGAAACTATATTCTCCGAGTTGTTTGAGTCGAGAAGCGAGGCAAACTCGGCAAGTCTTAGGTACTTGTCAATCAGATATGATCTGGACGGAAGTTCGCTCAAAATTTCCTCAGAAGCCGTCAGCGAGGGTTTTCCCATGGCGTTGGTCATTTCGAGTTTCTTCTCAGTGAAGTCCATTTTGCGCCCGCTTACTCGGTCACAATAGAGACGCAGCTCACTGCTCCGTTTATCCAAGAAATCCTCATTTAGGCAAAGAAGTTCTGGGTCTTTATGTGGAGCAAACTGTGACCTGTTTGCAAGCGTCATAAGAACTTTTGCAATCAACGTTAAAGTCTTGGAAACTGTACCCTGTTGATGGTTCTTTGACAAGTTGAACAACTTGGGATTCAAAATTGCTGGACACAAGAATCGAAGAAAAATAAACGAGCACAACGCATTCAGAGGGGTCTCTGTATCGCTTGGATCCACTGAATGCTCGACCTTGCTTCTCAGAAGACCCCACTCCCGTTTGAGTTCTTCAGGAAGATCATTAGAAGTGGTGTAGATTCTGTTCCATAGTTCCTCCACGTAGTTCAGAAGGTTTTGGTAATGCTCTTCATGAGTATTCGGATAAGTCTTTGGGTTTGGATCGCAAATAAGATTTTCTGCGCAGATCTGGGCTATGAATTCTCCCAGCAACTTTTCAAGGTATTCCTGACCGATTCTAATCTGATACTTCTCTAACGAGACTGAGAGAAGCGATCTTCCGCGGAATAAAGTATTGAGATTATTAGTGGGGGAGATTGCATGTAGCTTTGATCCGGAATCTTTGAGACTTTCCAGCTCAAAGGACATCAGTTGCTCAAAATATTCGTGCTCCATATTTGCGCTTTGGTAAAGATCCAGCAGCATTTGCGACAAATCATCCACGTTTTGAGGTTCTATCAATGGGGTGACAAATCTTAGAAGGTCGCGGACATCAATACCTTTCATCATTCCTTCAAGCATTCGATAATTCTTGTACGACATGATATGGATCTCACGAAGACTCAAATTGATAGTGACGGATCCAATCTCATGACTTTGTTCGCCGTAAAGCGGCAGCTTCTTCATCATTTGTGGCTCAGTCATGAAGTCAGGTGTCACAAAGGCTCCTGCAATAACTGGATCTTCCTCTATCAGATTGTAAACTGAACTGTTGTTGGATGACTTTAAGACCAGCTTGAAAAATTCTGCAGACGGAGGAAGGTCCAGGTCAAACAATTCCTTCCAGAAGGGATTCTGATTCAAATTCTTGACGATAGCAGTTCTGTACCATGGCCCTCCCCACATATGCAACTCGACATAAAGATGAAGATTCTCGTTCAAAGCAGGATTATTGAATTTGGCTTCTACAACCTCCAGCTTGTAGTTTTTGACTAACCTCATTCTGTCCTTGGTGAGTCTGTTTCCAATATACTCGAGCTTGGTAAATGTTTTGAGCGCAACAATCCAGTCTCTCAGATCTATGCCCAAATCAAACTGAATAAGAATTCTATGGATATCCGAAAAAGACTTACCGTTCTTCAGGATAAAAGGAGCATCGTCCTCGCTATCAATTTCGTTCGCATACCTATGGTTTCGACGAAGCTCGTTGATTTGTCCAACAAAAAGGATATTTGGCTGCTGGAACACCGAATGATGGATAGGCCTGATTTCAGACGAGTACAATTTTGTGATATTAACAGAGTACAATAATGTTCCATCGTTCTCGCACAACAAGTCCAAAATACCATCACGCTTTAAATATCCCATGGCTGTAAACCATCCCTCCGTTTGCTTGTCTTCGGAAGGATACAATGGAGTTTTAGGCAATTCACTGAGCTGGACTTTCTTGTAATTAGGAGCAGGTCCGTAAATACGAAATCTACAGACCAACAAGTCATTGGTCTGAAGGTTCTCGTTGTGGACAATGGATTTATTAAAAGAATACTTGTTGTAGTATCCTTGTGGTTTCAAATTCTGCCATACCATAAGGCATGCAAGCAAAGGTTCGAATTCAGACTGTTGCGTTTTGATGAAGACAGTTTTCAGGTCTAAGCTTTTCACTTTTAGCACCCGCAACTCTGGAAACAGCTGGACTTCACATTTTTGAAGACTAGGAATCATCACCGCGTCCCCATCCATTATCAGTTCACCGTTTAGGGTTATCTCCAGCGAGGCTTCACTCCATCCCTGCGAGTCACCATGGGAATTCTCAAACTTATAGGACCATTTGACGCAGTCCAATGCCACAGAGCCCCCATTGCGGAGCATGTAGTCCTTCAGCTCACTTTTTGCCATTGAAATGAAGCCAGTATATATCCAGCCTTGTAGATCTCGAGTTTGAAAAAAGAAAGCTTGAGAGCTAAAAATACTGGAAAGGCGCATGCAAAAAGCTTTCCTAAAACGGTAATATAGTTAGGAGAGTACGTTGTACCAACAATTGAAAATTCGCTGCTACGGCAGTAAGAGATGACTATTACGCAGTCTATATGACTTCTGAGGTTCAAATTTACGCATTGACTATCAAACCTTGAATGCTCTTGGTGCCTCACCTTCGGGGCCGATGTATTCAGGTTCTCTCCATGGTCCAATGTCAGACAACAGTAATCCTCCCTCAGCATCGCTGACTTCACTTTTTCCTCCGAATTTAACTGGCAGGTTTTCCTCAGGGATCTGTTTAAGTAACTCTTTTTGGTAGCTGGCACCCAAAATGAAAATCTTGGAGACAGTAACTGGATCCAAAAATGGCTTGAAGAGCTTGAACACCGTGGAGAATCCAAATGGAGAGTTGATCAGATAGAACTTGCCCATTCTTTCTGGGTAGTAATCCTGACCAATCTTGGATGCTTCTCTCACATATGAAAGCACTTGGGACGCGGCAGAGATTGATATTCCTTTCAGATCCAAGATTGTGCACGATGTTTCAACCAGAACACCAGCTTTTCTCGAGCATGCAGGTAGTCTATATCTGACAAACGACTCGTACTCCCAAACAAGATTTTTCAACATGCGTTCCTGAGTGGTAATTTTGTACATTTCAGTGATGTTCACAGACCCTAGCTCTTCAATGTAAAGCGGTCTTCCATCCTTGTCGGTCTTGTGGTAGTATTGTGGATAGTATTTGGCAACCAATGGCTTTTCCTCGTACTTGAAATCCTCCAGTATTGTATCTGTTCCAAACTCCTTTCTCCAATTCTCGCAATTAATAAACATCTCTTTGGCCTTCATCACATCAAACTTTCTGGCTCTCAAAAATCTGAGCAAAGTTGGCTCATCGAGTCTAAGCGTGTAACCCTCAGCCTCGAGTAGAGTTCTGAGCTGTTCAACAGCCGATTTCTCACTGTCAGTCAGGTAACCAGGAAATCCTGTCTGGCCAAGCGGAGGCTCTGCCACCTTATCAGGAAGGGTTGCCAATATTTCCTCGTCTGTAACCATCCTAATCACTATGGGAACTATTTGTTTGGCACGATGTAAAATACAGGTAAGTAATTTGCTATAAACATTATAGGTAGGGTAACTTTGCAAAAGCGCGACCGTCTGGTGCCAAGGTGAGAACAACATTAGGTTTTCGCTGCTTAAGTAAGCCAACGAAGAAGCAACTCTATTGCGTCTGGAAACTGTTGCATGTGAAATATCTCAAAAAGTGAAGAATCAGTTATCGACGGCTTAAAGTATTTATTGCCAAGCACATGCGCCACGTTGACGTTCCCACAAGCTAAACGCGAATACTGTTGCAGGTTGCCAGTCTAGTTTTGGCCGGAACTACCTGCAAGGGTAACTTTATTGTTATTTTATAGTTCGGCATGTGCTCGGTATGAGGTTTTTTTCCCGATTATTTTCCTGAGTACAAATAGCTAGCGAGTACTGACAAACTTTCTAGAAGGAAAAACTCATATCAACGGTTCTCTGATTAATCGTGATCTTCAAGTTAAAAGATGGCGTCTTCACAATCACTGGCATCTGGCCTCACTGAGGATAGATATGAGTCTGCGGCTGAATCTTTGAACGAGAGCCAAAGATATTCTGCGAATTACGATGCCGAAGATCCTGCAATTTCAAATACCACTGCAGAACAAGAGGATCCATCTCAAGAGGAAGTGGATCAGTATGTAAACGACACAGCCTCACAGCAAAACACTCTCCATAAAGAAGAATTCAATGATGACTATGAAGCTGAATTGGACAGACAGATAAGCAGGGTGGCCACGAACTTGTCACGTTTTTCGAGCAGAGTGTTACACCGCAATCAAGAAGAATCTACTAGCGCAGAAAAAAGCACTGAAGAGGACGAAGGCTACGATCCTCGTACCATGTCTTGGGATGGGCCTGATGATCCAGAAAATCCTTTCAACTGGCCAAGCTGGAAAAAATGGGCAGTCACTATGACCATCGCGTTTTTGTGTCTTGTGATCACACTTGGATCCTCCATCTATGTGGACGCTGTGCCAGAAATGATGGCCAAATGGGGCATTTCTCAAACGCTGGGTCTCGCCGGTTTGACGTTTTATTTGGTCGGCTTGGCCTTTGGTCCAGCTATAGCCGCGCCATTGTCCGAGGTGTTTGGTCGTAAGATCATTTACTGTTCTACTCTTCCAATCAGCATGCTTTTCATCATGGGTGTCGGTCTTTCCAAAAACATTGGCCAGGTTTTGGTTCTCCGGTTCTTCGCTGGTTTCACTGCCTCTGCTGCTCTCGCAATTGGTGGAGGTACCGTCACAGATATTTGGAAACCCCACGAACTTGGAATTGCTATGACATTGTTCTGTATGGCTCCATTGTGCGGTCCAGTGGTCGGTCCTATTATTGGTGGCTTTGTTGCTGAGAACAAAGTTTCTACTGCTATGAACAAGATTGGTGGCCTCAGATGGACAATGTGGGTCGATCTGTTTTTCGCTGCTGCAGTTTTCATTCCCCTCTTCCTGGCTCCAGAAACATATAGGCCTATCATCATGAGAAGGAGAATTAAGAAGAGAAACCTCAAGCTCAAGAAGACAATGCCGCTTGCCCAATTCCTCCTGATCTTAATTTTCATCACATTGCTGAAACCAATGGAAATGCTGATAGTGGAGCCAATTGTGCTGGTGTTTTCCGTCTACACTGCTTTCATTTTCGCTGTGCTTTTCGGCTTCTTCGAAGCTTTCCCAGTCATTTTCAGAGGACAGTACGGCATGTCGCTTGGAATATCTGGTCTCCCATTCTTAGGGGTTGGTCTTGGCATTCTTATTGGTGCCGCCACTTATGTTTACATTGACAAAAGGATTTTCTTCAGACGTTACCCAGATGGTTACATCGGCCTCAGAGACAAAAACGGCAACAATCTGCCACCATCGCCAGAATCTAGACTTCTGCCATGTAAATTGGGAGCAGTGTCAATGCCTCCAGCTTTGTTCTGGCTCGCATGGACGGGAAGGCACTCTGTTCACTGGATGGCTCCAATTGCTGCCGGTGTGCCATTTGGATTTTCCCTGATTTTAATTTTTTTCTCGATCCTGACCTATTTCAGCATGTCATACCCTCCACTTTCTGTCGCATCGGCCTTGGCTGCCAACAATTTCCTGAGATATATCGTGTCATCGGTTTTCCCATTGTTCACTGTCCAGATGATGGAAAACTTGCACATTTACTGGGGTGTCTCTGTTTTTGCATTCATCGCGCTTGCCTTGGCCCCAGTTCCATGGTTGTTCACCAAGTGGGGTCCTCCTCTTAGAGAAAAGTCTAAATATGGATTCGCTACCGAGAAGAAAGAGAAAGAAGCAACTGCCGCAAAGGAAACTGAAGTTTAGATATAAAACTTTCTAATATCCACATTAATTTAATTTCTGCTAGAAGTCTTGTTCACGTAGACCGAAGTACCCATCAGGAGCAGTAGAAGGGTCTTTCAAGGATGTTTGTCCCATACTCGCGTCTGTTCCAGAGTAGGAAACCAAATTTCCCCACCAGTTAATGTCCTTTTCGTGATACTGAACAGCGAAAAAAATTATGATGCCTCCAAAGGCAACACCAGCATCCAGCGCAGAAGCTAGAATATAGTTATACTTTTCCCACCAGCCAGAATAACGTTTTTTGATATAGTGGTTGAATGCAAAAGACACGTACAAGCCAGGAAGGAAATAGCTCAAGTTAAATGGAGCATAATTGAGGAAACCTCCAATGATAACAGCTGGCTCAAACCACTTAGTTTGTCTGCGGCAGTATTTCCTGATAGCTAGGCAGACAAGAGCTAATAAAAACCCGATTAGGAAGCACCATGGAAGCACAGGATACATTTTATTGAACACTCTCTTTGGTCCGATCACACCCCAGAACACGGAAGAGGCATAATAAGACGTTTCACTTGGACAAGTAAAGTTGTTCGACTGGTCTGGAGAACAGATGTCTTTGACGTGGTTAATCTCCCAATTAATGACCACCAACGATATAATGATTTGGAAAATAGTACCCATGAATTGGCCACGGAAAACTGCTCTTGGCGGAACTTTGGCATAGTGCGCAATTTTTTGATCGTAAAGATACTGCTGTGCCTGACCCGTAATGTTGAATCCCAAAGCCTGTAAAAACATTAAGGCATCGCCGTTCCCGGGAATAGCGTATCCCACGATAAGCTCAACGAAAACTTGCAAGGTGAAATAATAACCCGTGACTGCGTAGATAACGTTTAAAGGAACCACAAAGACCAAATTGATAGCCAAGACAAGGAAGATTCCCCAAACAGGGGTGTTGGCAGGATAAACTTTGACACAGACAATCGCAAACACCAATGCCATAATCATGACAGCAATGAAAACCCATTGTGGCACTTCTTTGTACTTGGCCATCATTCTAGAATGTGGGTCTTTGAGGACAGTGTTTGTGTTTGTTTTGATGTCGTTCCAAATAGCCTTCGACGATTTGATCAATGTCTTGCTCTCAGAAATCAAAACATATGGGATCAGAAATGTATACAGTGCACAGTTAGCTCCCCAATTAACCAGCATTCCAGCAGAGAGATACGGTGGACCATACGATTTGTATTTCGATTCGTCGAGCCTTCCATCTGTGAGAACACTATCAACATCATAGAGTTCTCCAGTATTTGTGTAAATGTTGTTATCGTTGATTGGCAAGTAAGCAGTCCACTTGTAGTTACTGTAGTAGAGTCCCAAAATAACGAAGAAGCCAATAAACATGCCAATCATCATGTTCATGTAGGTGTAAAAAGGGAAAGCGAGTGGCAGCCAGTAGCCCACAATATTCCAATCGAAGGACGCAATTGGGTTCAGTCCAAGCCCCAGCATCGAACCGGTGACGACAGCAAGGTTGAAGTTGTCTGGCTTGATCCAAGTCATCCAGTTGAAGTAGGAAAGGGCTTGGAATAGGTAATCTGGAACCCACATGTAAAGGAAGGAACAAATAAAGACAATGAAAAAGAATTTGTAACGAGTGATGACCCAACCGTTGACTTTTTCCTTCTTGTCTTTCTTCAGCAAAGCCTGATTCAATGCGAGAGTGGGCAAAATAGTGGGCCAGACCGCTCTGACTGGGTAAATCACTATTTTTCTCAAAACTCCTGCAAAGCCGAAACCAAATAGCTGGGTAGCAAGAGAGATCAGAATTTGGTAACCGATAGTGATCCACTTATTGCCATAAAATATGTCAAGCTTTTCGACATAAAAGTTGGCACCAACATACATACCGCCAATCGCAATATCAAACATCACCGTAGCGAACATCTGTTCCTTATAAGTCCAAGGTCCAGGGTTAAGTGAGTGTCTAGTACCAAAAATTGTAACCCCCCAGTCTGGCAAGATTCTCTGCAACACAAGCCCGCTAGGATACATGAGCATTTGACACACAGATGATGAGATATAGAGCGATGGCTGTCTCCGAGAAAAGATCTCGTTCACACCGGTACCCACGATACACCACAGAAAGCCCAGAAAATAGGCACGAATGGTCTCACAAGGTATTTCTGGGTCATCTCTTGGAGACGTGACAGCACGAACTTCGGGATAAGGAGAATGGTGCTCATTCAAGGTGGCATGCAACCGCACTTGGAAGTCCCAGTCTTGATAGGACATTCCTAGAGATTCGTCGTAGCCCTTGACAAGTTTTTCAATCTCTTTATAGTCTTCTTCAGGAAAGTTAGGATCACCTTCATGGTCGTCGAGGACATTGGTCAGAATCCTGAGACCGTCGTCGGTCGACATTTCGGTGGCTTGTTCATAAAGATACTCGACATCCGGCAACGCATCTTCAGTCAGGACATGTGCGTGTCCAAGCTTGGCATAAAGCGCATGCTTGTACTGGGAATTATCCAAGAAAGCTGTCTTCTCTGACAAGTCGTCCTTTTCCTTATATTCTGGAGCAGCCATGACGGTTCAAGTTCAATTACATGGGATGTAGTCTCTCTTATATTTCATCATGATTTGAGCTTCGCATTTAACTTGAAAACCGGTGTTAAGACTTAATAGCGAGGGGCTTGGAGCCGAGGCTCTCATCACAAGTAGGTAAACGATATAATGCCAAGCAGTCAACCATTAGCATTATTATTTATTGGTTAATCGGGCTTATCGGTACCCTTTACGGAATGAATGTGTACGGCTATTACTTGAAAGTATCCCACTATGCATTCATTAACCCCTAAAGAAAAAACCGGCATCTAAAACAATACCATTTGTGATTTTTTTTTGCAAATGCAATGATTGGTGTTCAATCTGGAGTGGACTATATATTTTTCATAAAAGCAATGAGTCCCAATAAAAATGAATACGCGTAGTATTATTTTAATTTTTCTACCTGAGCCCGCGTACTGAAGTTGCATTCATTTTCTTCGACGCTTATTTTGAGTTTTTTTTTCGCATGTATGGATCCGGCCTTTTTCGAAAAAAAAACTATACTTATTAGAGCTAATTGTAACCATGAACGATCCCGCAAACTTGGCTGCAACCCCATTGCATGGCATATACATACCAACAGCACTAATTATTGTGGGAATCTGCATCTTGAACTATGATTATCTTCCTCACACAATTGCAATCTTAGTGGTGTTTTTCACATTTCAATTCACCATTGCCTGGTTCAAGAAGCCTGTCTTGAGTACCACCGATTTCCAGAAATATGAACTACTAGACAAAACAGTGATATCCAGAAACTCTGCAATTTACAGGTTCAAGCTGCCAAAGGAGACCGACACACTTGACATCCCGGTTGGTCACCACTTGGCTTGCAGATTTGTCATTGACGAAAAGGAGTACGTGCGCTACTACACACCAATTTCAAACCAGTTTGACGAAGGCTTTTTTGACTTGCTGGTGAAATCCTATCCTGATGGCACAGTGTCGAAGAAATTCGCTAGCCTGTACCCTGGCCAGCTGGTGGAATTTAAAGGTCCTGTTGGTCGTATGTCGTATCAATCAAACATGGCCAGCCATATCACCATGATTGCCGGAGGATCCGGCATTACTCCTATGTTGCAAGTCATTGGCTCTATCATTACCACGCCTGCAGATGTCACACGCGTGAAACTCATCTATGCCAACGAAACAGAAAATGACATTTTGCTAAAAGAAGAACTGGATGAGTTTGCAGAGAAATACCCAAACTTTGAAGTGGTCTACCTGCTTAATAAACCCCAGAAGCAATGGAAGGGCTTGACAGGCTACGTCACGAAAGAACTTCTGGAAAGAGAGCTCCCTGCCCCAGAAGCAGATAAACGCATATTTGTTTGTGGTCCATTGGAAATGAGACAAAAGATACTCGAATACACAGAAGAACTCGGCTGGCCAAAGGGAACCATAAATTCCAAGCAAGACGATCAGGTGTTCTGCTTTTGACTTAATCATTTATATTCTATAGATTAGGCTAGCGTCTATTTACTCAATATCCGATTTCAAAGTTTTCAGCTCTTCAATCTTTTCGATCTCGTCCTCTTCCACGATGCCGTTCATTTTGAGCCAGTCCAGACCGCTCAAAAACACTCCTTCTGGGTCCATCTCACGTCTGACTTTCCTGAATGTTTGGAGGTCTTCTCCAAACCACTCTTCCATCTTATCTTTAAATCCAATCATTTCTCCATCTTTGTGGAAATTGCTAGCATCAGTCCCAATGAAATTCTTAGCCCAGTGTGGCTTTCCACCAGCAGCTTCCATGGTTTCTTCGAAAGTGGCGTACCACTTACCAATTGGAACAGACGTGTAGAATGGCCTATACATGGTAGCATTGATGTAAAGGGTTAGCTGGCGGTTTGTAACATTCTCTTGGGGAACCCAATTCAGTCTAGGAGTGTTATCGAGCAATGGGCGCAAATGATTTCCGTAGATGGGACCCGGAGATGTTGTCGTTCTAGAAGAAAGATCCTGCTCGGCGGTGGAATTTGAACATGTAGTATTGGAACATCTCACCTCAATAGGCGCATGCACATAAAAATCGTTGTTTTTGGCAGCCTCATTGATAGTGGCGGCCAGGGAGCGAAGAATTTCCGGGCCATTCGTAAGAGGGGCGGCCCACTCGTTAACGTACTGCGAAAACAAGCAGTCCATGTTCAACCCTTCGACAGATTCCTGAACAGCAATATCTCCTTTTCCGTAGGTTTCAGTGAGGCCGTACTGTCTAGAAAAGACAAATCTTTCAACGTAGGGAGTCAGACGGGGCATGATGTGAACGGAGATCCAAAGTAAAGACTCGTAAAAGAGTCTTCCAAACCTGGTACCGTACCAAGATGGGCGCGGCTTTGAAATCGGCTCGGTGGATTTGGATGCTCTCCATAGAATACATCTTTGAGTGTATGGAAACCACCAAACTCTAACAAACTCGTCGCTTGTCCAAATAGAATCAAATCTGTCCAAGAGAGTGTCAAAAGAAATCACTTCTTGTCTGGACTTAATCTGGTAGCGCGGAACAGTACGAATGGTCACGTAGACAATCAAGCCAATTTTTCCAAGTGACAAGCAAGCAGCACGGAAAAGGTCTGGATTTTCAGTTGGGGAACATTTAACAAGTTCGCCAACTCCATTGACGATCGTGATATCGACAACTTGCTGCGAGACCAATCCGTGGAAAGGAGATGATCCATGAGTACCTGTGGAGATAATGCCGGCAATAGACTGCTCACTAATAGATCCTAAATTTTGGATTGCAAGACCTTTGGTAGCTAAAATCTTGTTTAGCTGATATATGCGAATTCCGGCCTCCACAGTAAAATCGGTATACATCCCATTAGGCCCCGGTTTCTCTTCAACCACTTCATTGAATTTATCCAGGTTGACTATCCAGTCCTTGGACATAGTTAAGTTTGAAGGAGAGTGACCAGAACCAACAGTCATGACGGTGCGTCCATTCTTTCGTGCACAATTGACTATTTCTTTGATTTCGTCAATGCTTTGGGGCTGGAAGTAGTATTCGGGCTTGCAGTAGAAAGTCTTAGCCCAAGTGCGGTGTATAAACCTTGGTACCACGCGTCCTTGGAGGCTGACAGGCAGGACCGGATTGCTCATAGTTAGAGAGATAAAGGAGTTACAGGTGTAAAACTTTTTAGGGAAAAAACTTCAAAAAACATCGACGCGTCGGGGTGATGCGATTTGGCAAAAAGCGCAGGAAGCTCGATTTGAAGGTTACAACCAATGATGTCCCATTTGGTAGGCTAAAACACCATCAACTGGGGTCGCAGGATCTTTCTTTTGAGGACCAGGAATTGACACAAACCTACAACCACAGGAAAATGCAACCTGGAACACAGTCTTCAGTCAAGGAAACTGGATCATTGAAAAGAATCAGCTCTAGTAGAATTGCTCGTGCGGCCGAACTCATCACACGCTACCACATAGAGGCAACGGGCGCCAATTGGAATATTTGGCGTCCTGTGTGGCATTTCATTCTCAAATACGAAAAAGATACCCCTGCCATTTTTGAGCTGTTTGCCAACTATTTTGCTCAGAAGGATGACTTTTATAGTCATCGTATACCCGCAAGCTGGCGAAATCTCGACAACTACAAACGTGGCATGTTTATTGAATTGAACTCAATCCATCGCAAACATAGATTTGAGACATTCTACCGGAATGTTTCGTTAAGCTCGCTTTTTTCTGATTTCCAACGCTTGAAATTCGAAAACCTGGTTGTGCTATCATTACAGGGTCTTGATTTGACTAAAAGAAATCTTTGTCTGAATGTGCTATCAAGCATGAGATACTTGAATGTCTCTCAAGCAAATGTTAACGACCAGATGCTCAAAAGTTGGAGCATTAGCATGAAAAGCGGGAATTTGAAGAACCTTCGCTGCCTAATCTTGAACTATAATAATCTGGAAAACCTCGATTGCATCTTGGACTCTCCCTTACAATATTTTGAGTCTGATATTGTGGTCGAAGATCCGCATTGGAAAGTAAGTACAGATGCCAAACTGTCTGTTCTTCCAGATGGTCTGAAATTACGGCAGATCATGGGCGAAGACTATTGCAACTCTCGTATCATTATGGATTGTAAAGTATCGAGCACTGAATGTGGCGAGTCGCTTGAACAACTGTGGAAAAGCAGGTTCCAGTCGTCAAATACCAGCGGTCGAATATTTCAGTATATTCGTATTGCTGACTCTAAGCCAGCTATTCCTCCAAAGCGGACCAAGCCTCGTCCAAAAGCGCGCACAAAGAAACTCGATGTGAAAACATTCTTTGACATATAGCTCATTTATAGATAAACGGATCATTGATGACCTTAAGTAATCGCTCAATCTTGTTGTGGCCCATACCTGAAATCTCTTCCAGATTATACTCGTTCGCCTCCTCGCACAGATTCTTGAAACTTTTAAAACGCGAAATTAGTTTGATAGAGTCTGTTTTGTTGATAGATCGTATGCTAGTCATCATATCCACAATCCGCTGGTAGTAATCAGCATCGTTAGCAATGCTATCCGTCTTTACGGCTCCTTTAATCAGCTGGTTACCGACGTTTAACTCGCATTGTTTTAAGAAGGTCAAATAATCTGCACATTGTTGAAACGACCACGCAAGCACTAGATTCAGCTCATTGAACAAACATAGCTTATTCAGCTCACGAATACTATCGTTTGAGTTGTCAATGTCAACAAGGACCATTAGAATGCGGTTGATCCGTCTGTTGCTCCCGTTATATGTGATCTTTTTGATCTTGTTGTATATGTATTCCGGATGAAGTTTGTGATAACGAAGCGACAAAAAGACAACAACACAGTGCGAGTTGATCAGATAATCCACATCCTTCACCTTGGCATTAAACTCGTACGCTACCTGTTTCAGTGATTGGAGTAAAGGATTTCCTGTTTGATTTTGATTGATTTGAATGGCGCCAAATGTCTGCTTTTTAAGCGTAGTGTATTTGGTTGAATCCACGCGCTTATCCTCATTATTGGACCCACGGATGATGATTTGCGGCGACGAGTCTCTTGTAGGTCGGACTCTGACTGAGGCATCGCTTTCAGCAGGGCGTAGAGAAGGCGCATCTATCACTCTATCAAAGGTCGACTTAGACCTTTCAGGCGTTGGCAAGACAGCAGAATCAGCCTTATCTTGCTCCAGATTCTCATCGCCCTCCTTCTGCCGCATCTTGGCGACATTTGCTAGGATACTGGCAAACGAGCTTGAATCGGTATCCATTCTTGTAGTACAAACATTTATTTAGGGCTTGCACGACAGATATTTTTCAAGAAAATCCACACCTTGTCATGAGCCAGAAGAGTACGTATTTCTAGACTATAAGCTAACGTCGAAGTTGATCTTACAAAACTTGAGCCGGAACAGATCCTTGAATTCAAACGCCAGCTGAATGGAGAGCTTGAACACTTGGAAACTTCTTACCAAGCCCTAAAAACAGCACAGGCTAAATACCAGGATTGTGGGGATAACGTGCAACGAATCAATGCAAACGATAAGAAGGCACTACTTGTGCCATTGACATCTTCACTCTACGTTCCTGGGAAAGTGAAAGATAGTGATAAATTTTTAATTGATGTTGGTACTGGCTACTATATCGAGAAGACCACTGAACAAGCTTTACGATTTTTCCAAAACAGACTGACAAAGCTGACGGAGGATTCCAAAAAACTATCACAATTAATCAATGAAAAGGTCCAGGCTGTGGAACGAGTGGATGGCATACTTAGAACGAAAATCATGGAAAGAGAAAAGAAGCAGTAATATATATTAATAATTTAGTTTTTGAAGCGCCTCGTGGATGTAAGGCAAAAGCTTAGGAACCTTCAGTACACTGTCTAGCAACTTTTCTTTGTGTCCAACAAATAGCTCCTGGCCTTTTTTCGTCGCAAGCAGCTCAGTAATCAACAAACTAGCGGAGGTATTTATTTCCGTCAAGGCAAGGCTGTCGTTGAAACTGTATGGTACTGGATGGTATGGTTCTTGCATATTGTTCTTGGAACTTCCACCACGGTCCGATGCGGTAGCTCTATCTGTCAGTGCCTCAACCTTGCCTTGATCTATATCGACAGGTACAGCTCTGGGCTCAATTCCCTTGATGATGAATTTTCGCGTACCGTCAGGTAAAGTCAATACCATTGCATTGGAATTTGGAAACGCGTGTTGTACATTTTTGATAAAATCAACGGCAGGAAGCAAGCGCAAGTTGGATCCTGCTGAAGAATACTTTTGAAACTGTGCCTCATATGATCTCCATAGTGAAATCTGTGTCACATCTCCTTCCTCGGTCGCCCTATACGAGCATCTCATCCATGCTGTGGCCCTGTTGGGTTCCGGAAGATTGTTCAGGGAGGCTATTAGATTTTCTGGTAAAGTAGGAGGGTTTGCCGGACTTTCCTCTTTCGATCTTTTTGCAAGCTTCAACATAGGCATTTCCTGCGTGAATTCAGTTTTGTACTTTTGCTTGTAAGTCAGAAGTCTCGGAAGAAAAGTTTGCAAGACAAAGCAGTTTGTAGGATTCTTCAAAAGCTTTGCCGACCGTCCTGGCAAGATGAATTGATATAAGAAATCCAACGCCGTAATGAGCAACTCATCGTTATCATTGTCCTCATTCACGGCAAAAGCAAGGTATGAAACCACGCGGTCCACAAGCTCATCGTCTAGATGATCAGCAGCATCGCCTTCCTTTCTGGTGTTGTACATGAGTCTACTCAATGATCTGAGTGCGGTGATTATCACAGATCGATCTTGCACGGTTTGTAGAAGATTTGTAAGGGACAAAAACATGGGATCGTCTAGCGGGGCAGGCGCCAAATATGAAGAGATCGCCTCTATGATATCCATCGAGTACCTTAGGAGCTCTTTGAGTTGCTCATATGATTCGCTAGTAAAACAATTATCCAAAATAACAGGATGGTTCACAATCTTCATGAGGACCTCTTTGATCTTGAAATTCATTGAAATGACCTGCGAGTTGTCAATGTCTTGGACAGTATTGCGGATTATCAAAGCAGCATCAAGTGATCTATTGATATCCCCATTTTCTGCCTGTGGATCAAAGGCTTTGCAATCAAAAAACCGTGATAGAGGCTCAATTAAAAATGCAAAACCGCTCTTGAACTTTAGAAGTTCCGGATTGTCCTTGGAAATAAACACAAGGTGTCCAAGATAGTAATCAATTTCTTCGTCAATGCCAGATTCAAATGCCAACTGGATTCGTTCCACCTCAGGAGGACCTTTGTAGTTTGTGCCGGACACATTGTAGTAGTTGTATACATCGTTTTTGAGCTGCCTGTTGCTGTCTAAAAAGCGCATCTCCTGGTCTCTGGAAGCCACCGGCTCCAGAGGCATGACACGCACTGGCGTAACAATTGGCATTTCACTGCCGTTGCGCGATTCGTGTGAAGGCGGTGTGTATGACTTGATATTATACATGATTTCGATGTTTGTTTTTTCGCGGAAATATTTTCAGAGTGCAATGGTGACGTAAGCACCCCACCTAGAATACCAGAAAAGATGCTGAGCCGCTATCGATAAAGAGCAATCTGGGAGATCTTCACTCGGTTTTACAGTATTTTAGTTTCTCAGATCCAGATATTAAAGCTCTGAATAATTTGAATTATTCCAAACTGCTATCAAAAATGGTTGCTGCTGCATCAGAACTAGATCATGAACTATTGCAGTATGCTCGTAACAATTTGCGTTATGTTCCCAACACTCCAGAGTACGCCCGAATGATTTCTGGAATGTTGTATGATCCGATGGATCCATTGCTAGAAGATGGAAGGGCAATCTCGTCCGACTTGTCTGTCAATTTTGCCAATATTTGTCGCGGAGACTATGATTCTCTCGAGGAGTGGAAAAAATCAAAGGCTGACTTCATCCAGAAATTCTTTGGCAAAGTTGGTGCAAACTGCTCTGTCGAGTCCCCATTCAGGTGTGATTACGGCTACAACATAGTTGTCGGAGATAACTTCTACGCCAATTACAATGCTTCGTTTCTGGACGTCTCTCTGATTTTGATCGGAGACAATTGTCTGCTTGGTCCCAACGTTACATTATGCACAGCTGGCCACCCGTTAGATGTGAAATATCGGGCCGAAGGTCAAGAGTTTGGCTTACCTATCAGAATTGGAGACCACTGCTGGCTTGGGGCCAACTGTGTTGTTCTGCCAGGCGTTACTCTAGGAAATAATGTCGTTGTGGGAGCGGGGGCTGTAGTGACAAAAGATGTCGAAAGTAACTCACTAGTCTTAGGCGTCCCGGCCAAAGTGGTGAAGAAGCTCGACCCACTTAAGTAATGTGAAATAGAAGGCAGTTTTTTGTAAAGGTTGTAGTCAAAGTTAAATACCCTGCAAATTTTATATAAAATTGATCTCTATTCAATTAACCGGGTGTGGTATTCGACCAGCTCGAACAAAGTTGGCTGATGATATTATCATTCAACAAACAGTGGGTTTGGCCGAGTGGTTAAGGCGTCACGTTCAGGTCGTGATTTCGTTAAGAAGCAAGAGTTCGAACCTCTTAGCCCACATTTTTTTAATTTTTTTTTTTATTGAGTAGCAGCTATACGAAAATAGCACTCAAAATGGAATGTCAAGCAAATCGTCAGCCTTTACAAATCTACCATTACTTTGTTCTCCCAAAACATCAATTGCTACAAGTACTTGTTCGGCAGCTAAGGCAGGCAACACGGTCTTGAACTGTATCTTGTTTTTAACATCAATGTCTCCAAACTCAAGTTTTTGCTTGACATTTTCTGTCAATAGAGTTCCTGGATGGATAGCCACAATAGTGAAATGATTACTGTGCTGCTCCTCGCTGAGCTTCTTAACAGAGTGGTTCAAAGCAGCTTTGGATTGTCCATAAGCACCAAAAGGAATAGACATCAGGGTTTGAGCGGAGCCTGCGGCGCATGAAACGAAGAATACTTTTCTGGTGAACTTCTTCAGCATGAAGGGATGAACCTTTTGATAAACTAAAATTGGACCTAGCGCATTAGTAGTGTAATGCTGAAGCCAGGCATCTCTGCTGCATTCCAAGACGCTACCGAACGACTCTGCTATTCCAGCATTGATAATGGCAATATCAATTGAATCCGTGAACTTCTTTATCTCATGGGGTAGATTATCGATTGAGTACTGTGCTGCAACGTCGAGCTGAATAGCCTCAACGTTTGATTTTTCGGCCAGACTAAGCAATTGGCCCGAAGTCTCCAGCGATCTGTAGGTGGTGATCACATAATTTGAATCCTTTGTGCTCAATTGGTTAGCGATTTCATAACCAAGGCCTCTGGAAGCACCAACAACTAAATATACGGTTTTGTCCATTTTGTTAGCTGATTCTAAAAGTTAAAGACGTCTGCTTTATTTTATATCAGGGAAGCGGCAATAAGATCCACACGACGCATTGCATTTGATTCTCCCGTCTCTTACGAGCTGCCTTAAACACTGTAAGTTGTTTGCTCTTTAACGAGCCGCATTACTACAAGCGTTAATTGCTTGGACCCGCTTTTGAGAAAAAGCAACGCGGTTTTGGGAGATAGCAATAAGTTGCAGACTAGAGGCGGGTCAAAATATTGCATACGAAATGGAATTCTTTGATTAGTAGCAGTGACAAGCACACTCTGCCATGACCAACTTCCTAACCGCTTGTTCATCGGAGGGCTTTGAGTAAAATTTGCTATTATTTAAAATCCACTAAAATTAAAAAATCAAACCGTTTAATACATCCATCTATAGCTGGGATTGGATGGGCCTTCTGCCAGCAAATATGTTGGAACGTCTCTGAAGGTTAGTTTTGTGCCCTGAGCCTTGTCCCGGCGCTTGTTATCCACCACCATGTAAATAGTGATTAATACTATGGTGATGAGAGCAGCCCCACCAAAAGCTGCGGTGATTCCAAGTGCAGTAATATATTTTGGAGCATCTTTGGCTCTAAATATGTTACTCGCAATAAGTCCTGAAGCGTTGGCAAGAGGAATGCCAAAAGCTGATATCACCATTCTTTTGTTTTCGTTCGGCGTATTGTTGTTGTACCAGGTGGACGTCAAAACTGAAGAAGCAGAGACACCTGTGGTCATCAGAAAGCAAGAAAAATAAGCAACCCCCGTATGGGTCGCCGAGTCGATCGTTCCGAAAACAACAAATCCAATGAGAGTAGACGCAACAGCGATTCCAACAAACAAGGAACGAGTTTTAGCGTAGTCAGAAGCGAAACATAGGATCATCAGGGAAATAGCTCCCCAGACATTTGGAGCAACTGTGTAGAGGTTCGTGATGACAGTTCCGTGACCAAGCGACTGGACGATTTGTGGGAACCAGTTGCTATAGGAATTCAATGGAACTCCGATGCAGATTTCTTGGAACATCCACATGATTGCGACAGGATGTTTGAACACTTTTAAAGAGTCTTTAATTGATAGTTTGTCTCCAACCATGGAACTCGAATCCGTCGATATTCTCCACACAGCGCATTCTCTTTCTTCTTCCGTGAGGAATTTGACCTGTTGAACGGATCTCGGCAGATACAAGAACGCAACCACAGAAAATGCGACCGTCAACGCTCCTTCAATCAGGAACAGGATTTGCCAACCATGGAGACGAGAGCTTTCAATTTGAAAAACACCATAGGACAGCAATCCAGAGAATGCGTTAGCAATGTTGAAGGCACCGTAGAATATTGAAAGCCTTCTAGCCAGTTCTGCTCTGCGATAGAATGTACTCAAGTAATAAACAATACCTGGGAAAAAGGCCGACTCACACATTCCTAAGAACCATCTACCTGCAACGAGCGAGCCGTAATCAAAGGCTGAAACAAGAAGCAATGTTATGCTTCCAAAGCTGAACATCATGATTGGAATCACATTGGCTGCATTGTACTTTTTGATCAGCAACGAAAGCGGAAAGGCACAGAGAACAAAAGGAATATAGAAGATGGAGAGCATAGTATTCCACTGCTGTCCGACGATGTGGAGATCGTTATCAATACCGTCCGTTTTTGCATTGGATATGTTGGATTTGTCCAAGGAATTGAATAGGTACATCAAGGCTGTCAAAGGTAGAATCCGGCAGTCAAACTTGCGGCAAATTCTTCTTTCGAGCTTATGATCGAGCACTTTGGCCCCCTCGTACACCTCGACAACTTCCCCCTCCTCCTGAACAATTGATTTGACCTCTTGAACCGTGTCGTCTTTTGTAGCTGACATTCCAAAATTTGGCACAATCTGGTTTTTCGCCGAGATTTATCTCCCCTGGCACGGCAATGTTTATGCAGTGCTTATCAGAACATTTTGGATATGCACGTCTCCCAAATTTCTGCACTAATTGAAAACTTTTAGTAGACCAGCAGATTTAATCTGCCGATCTGTGTACCGAACTTTGAATGTCTATGTTATCACCAACAGGTAATGCAGTTCCCTGGCGGATTTGGCCTATATATATTGTTTAATTACTGGCCGTATCTATTAGCTCCGATCAACTAAATCCTTGTCAAGTACGCATCGACCATTAACATACACCCTTCTCACGTTCCTATCATCTCCATTGAAAACCCATTTGTCAATGAGATCCTGGAACCTAGAAATGTGCAATGGGTCTCCTGCCAGTAGTCCTTCAACGGAAGGGTTTAGGAAATCGAAAAGGTCAACAGGAGATTCTTTGGTGTCTAGATCTATTAGCTGACATTCCCACTTTTTACCCACCTCAAATGATCCAAGCTCTTGTTCCATACCCATAACTTTTGCTCCTCCGAGGGTTGCTAGGTACAGCGATTCGTTGACTGAAATTTTATCGTGGTCAGATTTGGTTTTCATGGCAACATGTCGAGAAACAAGTACCGCGTGTCTTGCTGTAGTGAGCATCGATGGAGAAAATCCACCTGAAACGTCGGTGCCAAGACCAACTTTTGACCCGCTGTCAATTATCCATCTCAGTCTGGCCTCCCCTGAAGTAAGGCAGCTATTAGAAGTTGGACAGTGCGAAATAGAGCTCTTGCGTTCATTGATAAGTTTCAATTCTTCATTGCTCAAAAAAATACAGTGCCCTAGAATGGACTTCTCGGTGAGGAGCTTGTGTGAGTCGTATATTTCGGCATAGGTTTTGCAGTCAGGAAACATCTTCAAAATTTGCTCGACCTCGTCCTCAGTCTCACTTAGATGAGCTTGGATCGGAATGCCTTGTTCACGGCTTTGTTCTGCCAGCCACAGCATAAACTCGGACGAGCACTTATTGGCATTGCGCGGACTCAATATAGGTTTGATCAGTTCGTAGTTTGCGTCAATGCTCTTTATGTGCTCAATTACCGTCTTAGTCGAGTGTATTCCGTCTTCAAGATGTTGATCCGTGTATTCTTTTTTTGCACAGTCCATACAACTTCTTCCGATGTATGCACGCTGGCCATGTTTGAAAGCACAATCAGCCAATATATTAGTTGCAGTTGTATGAATAGTGGCATAGTATGCACAAAAAGTAGTCCCGTTAGAGAGAGTTTTTTGAACAACTCTATTGTAGACGTCCTTTGCCTTTATGGGGTCCTCCAATGCCATCTCGACTGGATATGTGTACTTGGTCAACCAGGAAAACAGGGTCGAGTTGCCAAAAACACCACAGTTGGGAAATTGAGGAGCGTGAATATGAGTGTCTATAAAGCCAGGAATAAAGAACTTTCTGAACCCAGAGGCGGTAATGTCAACGACATTGATACTTTGGAGAGATGGATCACGGGTTCGCGCTTCACCTTCGATAGTAGTTAGCAAAGGACCTGTTGCTACGTATGTTATGATTCCGCTGCTGTCCACGCCTATCCTTGCGTTAGGAATCACCTCCAGGTCACCTATTCTCGGAGTGTGAACAATCATGCCATAGTAGACTGTAAATTCAATCTTTTCAAAAGCTCTTGACGGCACCATCTTGTGAAAAATGCTTATGGTCACTAAGCTAAGTTTTTATCGCTATCGGGTTTCGCTAAATTTTTTTGGGTTCGATATCATGCAGGGTGCATAAAAATTTTCTTATCAGTTTCGGCGGCCCGAGTCGGCACGAGTCGGTGATGGATTCAAGACACAAATTTAAACTACTTAATTATATATTTCGGCAAATTACCCAAAACTCTCTGACCTTGGATCTTGTCTCGAGATGTCTGATTCAAAAAGCTCTCATGCATTGGAGATCACTGATATTGAGCAAAATAGACTGAAAAATCTTTATAGAAAATTTACCACACGCGATGGATGGTTAGGTGATTACGACTACGTTTTTCTCTTTACCCCTGCGATCTGGCCTTTCAACAAGAAGTTCAAACATTACGATCAACCGTATTTTGGATGTAACGACGATATTCCCATATTATTGGCTGTTATACTCGGCTTTCAACATTGTCTAACATTGATCTGCAGTCTTGTCGCTGTCCCGCTTTTGATGGGCGATGCCTTGTATTTCGATGCTCAGCAAACACAGCACCTTGTTTCTTGTACGCTTATCACGGCAGGGGTTGCGACATTTGTCCAAATTACCAGATTTCACATTTATAGAACACCTTACTACGTTGGCACAGGGCTTTTGTCAGTGGTTGGGCCCACATTTGATATTGTCGGTATAGCATACTCATATTCTTCAATTCGGTATTCAAAAGGGACTTGTCCTATAGCTTCAGATGGAACTTATCTTCCCTGCCCGGATGCCTTTGGGGCATTTCTTGGCTCGATGTTATGCACTGTGTGGATCCAGATTCTTTTAGCATTTGTTCCACCAAGAATTCTTAAACGAATTTTCCCTAATATGGTCACAGGCACACTGCTTCTTCTGCTTGCTATTTACCTTTCGGGAAATGGTATGAAGAATTGGGGAGGAGGTAGTAATTGCCTGCAATATGGTGGAGGATGCGGCACCGGCTCTCACGATTTTGAGTGGGGATCTCGAGCATACATTGGACTCGGATTTTGCACTTTCGTATCCATCGTTATCATCAACCTTGTTGGATCGCCAATTATGAAAAGTTCGTCGATTATTTTGGGGCTTATCATAGGATGCATCATATCAGCAGCCTGCGGCTACTGGGACGCATCAGGTATCCATGCTGCTCCTGCAGCAGACTTCCTTTGGACCAAGAATTATACTTACTCGGTGGATGGATCACTAATTCTTGCGCTTTTACTAATGTTTATTGTTGAAGGTATCAGTTGCATACCTGATATCCTTGCCACAGCAGAGGCAAGTCACGAAAAAACGTCTGGCGTCGAATTTCAGTCTCGTATTCAAGGAGGAATAATGTGTGATGCATTAGGCAGTCTTTTGGCCTCCGTCGGTGGAGGACTTCCTATGGTCTCTCAGGCTGCTAACAATGGAGTGATCCTACTCACTGGATGTGCCTCGAGAAAAGCAGGATGGGTTGCAGCCATGTTACTGATTCTCATGGGTATTTTCTCCAAGATATCTGCTACTTTTGCGGCTTTGCCTCTACCCGTGTTTGGTGGAATGCAAGTATTTCTTTTCGGAACTATTGGTGTTGCAGGTATAAAAGTTCTCTCATCGGTTCCATGGACCAGACGGAATCGGTTTATTCTTTCATGTGGTCTCGGATGGGGTTTTGCAGGCACTGTAGTTTCCTCTTGGTTCAACCAGATTTTAGCTTACAGTGGCTCAAATCAAGCACTTGCAGGGTTCCTTGAAGGAATTGACCTTATTGTTGAAACTCCATTCATTTTTGGCGCCATAATTGTCTGCTTTTTGAACCTAATAATACCCGATGGCAACAAGGAACCAGATGACACTGCAGGTGTGGTGTAATTATAAACGTTTATGTATTTATTAATTCGATAGGTTTACTTGTGAAAGGCATATCGACGGCAGATAGAGCTTCCGCATTTTAGTGTGCTAAACGTTCTTTATGCAAAAGACCATGATTCTGCAAATATTCAATTTCAACATCAATATCGGCCCAAAACTCGCTGTCCGACGACTTTGTAGATTTCCAGCCAATGGACTTTCCAAGGTCGGGAATCGTCTTTACGTTAGAGCCCCAGAACAGTGCAGGTAAGCCAAATTGCTTCTCCACCTCTTCAGGAGATAATTGGTCGATTCTTTGATTGGATAACAGCTTTTTGGCCACCAGCGATTTAGAGACGGCTACTGACACATCTTTCCAAACATGCGGCGTCCCATCGGCAGCAAAATAGTACCCTTTATACCCTGAAGGAAACGACTCCTCTGCAACAAACTTCTTCACAATCAAAGTGTATAGTGCTGCCAAGTCATCGATGTGAACATGGCTCCAAGCTGTGTTTCCTTCGTAAACTGTGAAGTTATGGCCCACTCTCACCACTGACTTCACCAAGTGTGGAATTTGGACAGAGGTCTTGTTGTCGAATCCAGATCCAATACCGAAAATGGTTGGTGGAGACACAATGGCTGTCTTGATGTATTCTGGGTTTGAGTCCTGAATTGTTTGAACTAGTTTATCGGCTGGACGGTGTGGCTGAGAATCTGGCAACGAGTTGATTTCATCAATATCTTTGACATCGGAGTACTCCTTAGATGGATTGTAGTGGGCAGGATCAGTGGAGTCAGCAAGGACGCCTGCCCCAGATGTGTGAATAAATAAGGTAGACGTTTTCTTGGAAGCAAGAGCTTTCTTAATGGCCTGCAGGCTAGATATGTGATTGTTTGAGGCAGCATTGATGATGATGTCTGCATTTTTTGTCGCATCTTCAATCAAATCAAGGTCATCCAGACCCCCGAGAATTGTGGTTAGACGTCCATGCATTGCGTTTTTGAGTAAATCAGCTTTCTCTTTGGTTCTCACTAGAGCTGTGATTTCGAAGTCGGGGAAAGCTTTGAGGATGTAGCTCAGAACCGACCCCCCTATGTATCCAGTGGCACCAATCACAAATAGTCTAGTCATGCTAGATTTAGTAAATTGCCATTTAACGGCTTGGGGTGGTGGCTATATATAAGATTATCGCGATTTTCCAGTTTGGGATAAAACACTATATTCGGTGACTTACGGCTGTGCTATGGCTGGAAAGGTTGGTTATCGGATAGTTCGAGAGTAAGATTCGAAGACATGATCGAAATCGAGAATAGATGGGCAGCTGAGCCGCAATTTCCGATTACGCGCGCCAAAATGCTATTGTGAATTGGCTCTGATGTAGTACATATCATGTGAACTTTAACCATGCCGACATTTGTTTGCATCACGACTAAATTGCCTAAAGGCATTAAGCGTTGGATCATGCAGCTCAAATTTAAGAGTTTCAATGCTGTGAACAGACTTCAAACTCAATGAACTTCCATTGGGAAGCACTGCCACGCATATACGAATAGATAGAATACTTGCTTAATTTTTCCTTAAACGACTGTCTTATAGAAAACTTGTCAACGAGAGAAGTGAAGCATTTAGTAGACAGGGATCTTAAAAGCTGGTAAATCATAGGTCCAGCTCTTATAGGAAGCCTCGTCAAAAGAGCACTCAAAAGTTGAGAGGTTGTCAGACTTCCAGAGTGGACGAGTTGGCCACTTGCACAGTTCCTGGTTCTCTGAGGCATATTCACCCTCTGAAACTGTAGCATTCAGACCACTTGGTTTCACGCCGTTCTCAACCCAGTTGATCATGATCTCCATGTTTGTTTCTGGGTAAGGACCCGGTTGCAAATCATTTGCGCCGCAATGTGCGGCTCCTGGGATGAGGTAAAATTGGTACCAGTCATCAAGCTGCTTGAGACTATCTTCAAAGGTCAGGTTTCCATACATTGTATCTTTCACACTCTGCCAGTAGTGAATTGAAGATGCTGGAGGAATACTTGGATCGGACTCTCCATGATAGTGAATCAATTTTCCTCCAGAGTCTCTGAACGTAGTCAGGTCAGTGACCGTTGTCTGCAAACTGTCGAAATATCTGTACATGCCGGTTTTCATCCAGTCAATCAAGGTATCGTAGGTGACTCCATCGAGATTCTCCAAGTTATCCAAGTCAAGAAGCTTAATGAATTTCTGGACGTAAAGTCCACCTGTTGAAGGGATATTCAACTCCCAAGTGTCGTCATCAGCATTGTATGTCGCATCAGCATCATCGAGAGACGATCCAATTCTGAAAGAAAAGTAAGCCCTTTCTCCATCACTGTTAAACAGACCATCGTAAATCTGCTTTGCAACTGCGATACCTTCTTGCGTGATGTTTCCGCTTTGCTCTGGCGTATGGCTAGTTTGACTTGCCTCGTCTCGTTTACTGAAACCAAACCCAAGAGAAGAACTAGTTGTGGCGGCACAGTAATATGGCTGGCCAACCAAACTTTCAAGATCAAATTCTAGTGCACATAAATCGGATCGGGAGATGACTCCATCGACACGACCATCCAAGCCATCGCATGCTTCAATAGTAGCATTCACAATTTTTTCAAGTTCACAAGTTGGTGGATAGTAGCCAAGCGTGTGCTCAACAGTGGCAGAGAAAACATGAAGAACTTGTTGCTGAGCAAATCTAAATGCGGGAGCACCAGCAATAACGCCGTCATACTGGTCACCCCATCTTTGGACCTGAGACATTGCTTCACGACCTCCGTCGGAACATCCTTCAAAATAGGTGTAAAGTTTTTCATCTTGGGCAAGACCATAGAATTCTCTCGTGAGATATTTCCCCACCACAGTCAGCTCACCAAGAGCCTGGTAGCTGAACATATAAGTTGCATCCCAGTTGATGGAGCCGTTGCCATACAAAAAGACTTCGTCCAAGCTATAGTCAAAGGCATCGTAGCCAGCACTGGTAGCTCCACTGACAGCACCATAGGTAAGTCCGCCTGTAGCATCCGAATTCAGAGAGTATCCACCACCTCCAGCAAGGTAGAACCGATTCGAAAATTCATCAGGGCTTGGAAAAGCGTATTTGACAGTCACATTGTCACCCTTTCCCGTATGAGTGTACTCGAGAGTGACACTGCAGTACTTAGAGGTATACGTACTGGTTGAGCTAGCTCCCGAGGAATTTGAATCTTGAGTTGATGGGTCCACAACAACGGCCTGAACGGAGGAAGGAATCAGCTCAATTCCCAACAACGTGCCGTTGGAAGGTATAAGACTTTGTACGTATGACGAGTCGCAAAGCTCAGTTAGCGTGGTTGAGTTTGAGGAGCTCGAAACGGAGTCTGAAACTGGGACAGCAATTGAACCAGTCAGAGTCAAATATAGTGAGAGAATATAACTGTTCATCATCGTACAAACTTCCTGGCTTTTACTGTAGTTAGCCTCCACATAATAGAGATATATTTATAATTGTTGACCAAAGCAACTGAGTTCAATCTTATGAGCTAAGCATTTCGGCATTTCTTTAATGGTAGCGCTAAGCCTGTGGCTTATAAGACTCGATGCTTCTTATGTGTGGTCAATTCCAGCAAAAGGCTCAACGGTGATCAAAACCATGTCAAATTAGGTAAAAACGTTCCCGAGGAAATTTTGTTCCCCGAAAAGCCACCATACGAATATGGAAATTGGTGTAGATCTTTATTCGACGATGAAGTCATGCTTAGAAGATTTATAAGCATTCAAAATTCATGACATGCATTAGGTCGTTTTTCTGCATATTGGACCTTAACTCATACTCACCCACTTTAATCTAGTTGATCCAGGTAACGGAATAATTTTGCAAAAATGTATCAAAAAAGATCACTAAATTGATCCAGCTAGTGCCGTGATGCTGTAAAACACAATTACTTAGGATCACTTTAAATCACAAATATATTTTGTTCACTGACGACCCAGCTAAGCATCTGAGCCATAAAGGATAATCATGGAAGCCGAAGAGTATAAACTTCGCCACGGTTGCGAATTCTAATGAATGGTGTAGCCACCATCGACAATTAAATCTGACCCAGTGGCGTATGTGGATGCGTCCGAAGCAAAATAGAGGTAGGCGCCAATCAATTCCCGGGGATATCCCTCTCTTCCAAGAGGAATCTCTTTCTGCCATGTTTTGCGTAGAGTGGGGTCCACATGGTTGTTGATTCCAGAATCAATATAACCGGGTGAAACTGTATTGACTCGGGCGAAGTCTTTAAATTCCATTGCAAGACACTTTGCAAAGTGAATAACCCCAGCCTTGCTTGTGTTGTAAGCTGCATGATGAATTGGTATATTCACTATATGACCGGACATAGATCCGGTAAAAATTAATGATCCTGACCCCCGTTCTTTGAATATTCTACCAACTGCTTTTGAACAGTTGTAAACTCCATTGAGATTAACGTTCATAACTTTAGACCATCTCGACCCATCCTCATCTAGAGCATCAATAACCCCGTCCGTAACAATATGGATACCAGCATTCGCAACAAAAACATCAATGGTTCCAAAATCTTTAACTATTTGGTCAACAGTTTCTTTAACCTTCTGTTGATCACCAACGTCACACCCGTAGGACTTTGTTTCTGCACCAGTGCTCTCACTAATTTTGGCTGCTGCCTTTGCTGGCTCCTCGTAATCCCAAACAGCTATACGTCCACCGGCTTGCGCGTAGGCTTCTGCAATGTGGTAACCAATTCCTCTGCCAGCTCCGGTTACAACGCAAACTTTGTTCTTCAATGAGAAGAGGTCTAGGACGTTCGGCGCTAAAACTGGGCCTGGAGGATTAACAAATTTTGGCTCGAAATTATTTTGGGTCTCTACAGTGGGTATGGTCATCTGGCACTCGAAAAATTGTCAAAGCGGCGCGCATTTATATTGCGTTTAGAAATCTGTAACACAATCGAGGAGGTACCATTTTGAGCAGTCCCCAGCCAACAGGGCTACGGTTTCTCAGTCTATCGGCCCCACGATCTTCCAAGGGGGGTAAGCAGGGTCATTGTTTTAGCCGATAAAAATTATCCTACCCCACAAAAAGGCTTAAATTACCGTTCTTGGAAGAGCGTTACATTTAAAAGGAGCTCCGCAGTCAAGACCGTGCGCACTATGAACACACGCATTAAGCCAAAATCTATCTAATTGTGGTGCAGTTGCTTCAAGGCCGATCTTGAGTGACCAACGAGTAATATATCTTGATTACTCCCAAAATTCAAAAGGATATCTGCTACCAAACACATATGTTGTAGCCCAGTCGGTCAATGACACTCTGCCAATCTAAGTGCTGATTTCCATCTGGATTCAGTCTCCACAATTCCTCGATTATTGTCCAGATCCGCTGTATATTCGTTTCCCCGTTGCGGCTCACGATTCCGAGATATAGCATTTTCACTGTCAGTCGGTCGTGACGTTCTGCAGCAACCACTCCGGCTATCAACAACGGAAATGACAAATATGGGCTAAGGTTCGAGTTAAGCAAAACTCTCATAGCACTGAATAGATGAAGCACAAGACCCTTGACCTCATAATCAAGAGAAGACATGCGGCGGATTTTCGAGAGAAGAAATAGTTGCAAGGTGACTTGTGTTGCTTCAAAATATGTCAACAAAATTTCATTCTGCTGAACGTCCTCCAAGCTGGAGATATTCGGTAGATTTGGCTTCGCGGATGTGATTTTATCCATCAGACTCCTGCTTTGATTATCAAGCCAATCATGAAATTCTATGCGTGCATTTTCATATTCGAGATACTCAGGACCTGTGATAATCTCGTACTGAGCATTCGTATCATTTGTTTCAAGCAGAGGATTTAGCCGATTATAGTATACGAAAAGTGCCTCGACTCGCCTGCTGTATTCGTCGTAAAAATTGTTAAGCTCTGCCAAGAGCAAGAATAGTTCCACACAGCAGCCCATCAAAGGGTTGTACTGATCCATTGAGACATCTCGGCTGGGGCTGTTCTCAAGATCCAATATTCTTTTATATTCAGACAATGGAAAAGCAGTCTTAGAGTTTCTTCTCGAAGTGAGCTTCAACACATCATGGTAAAAAAAGGAACGAAGTAACCAGGTGGTAAAGTCAGTATTCTTGGGATTCTTTTCAAATGCATGAAGGCCAAATTTTTTATAGAGTATGCAGAGTTTGAAGAAGTTTGAGCTCCAAGCAAAAGAGCTTCCTATAGAGGAACCAACAATAACGTGACTTGTTAGACTTACTGCTAGCTCGAGAAGCTTTTGCTGTGAAACGTTGGTTTTGGATTGTACAACTTCTCCATAGAGTCGATCGCATAAGCTCATTGACTTCAATAACAAAGACGATCCTTTTGTAGAATCCTCCGGACGCAAAGAGGCTCCCCATGCGCACAGAGCGTATAGTACTGGCTTGTTATCATGAGCCAGTGGAAGTAGATATTTCAAAGCTTGATGATACTTAACAGATGATAGCACGAATTGCATCACGTTATGTAAATATTGCTTTTCAACATCGTTCAACATCGTAATGAAAGGATCAAGCGATTTCCGTGGTACTAACTGACTGTTGACGACCTCCGACATACTCCGCGCTGCCACTGACTGTCGCGAACACGTTCTCTTATTTGGATAGACACATTTAACATTTCGCTGAAGACAGGAGCTGCACTGAGGCGTTTGTTTGTCGCAACTCTTTTTCCGTCTTCGACAATCTTGGCATCTCCCAAAACTTCTTGCTGATTTGATGGCCACGAATTTAATCATCCACGAGTTAAATAAAATGTTAGATTTAAGCTTATCTGTTTTTTATTTTGGGCACATGAGACAAAAGTTTAAGTTTGTTACGTCTAGAAGAGATTACCAAGTACACTCAATTGCCGCCAAGAGTTTACCCAAATATACCGCAAGTCTTTCTATTTCAACCTTCCTGAAGACTTTAAGTTGAGAAGTTGGGGCCTTAAAGTCATATTGCCGAAAGTAAGACATCCCTTATCGCCTGGTTCGCAACTTCCTATTTTAGCCAGTCTGATTTTTTTTAGTCACCTATATGATAAGGTATCTGAAGCTGGCGTCTTGTTCGTGGCTATTTAAGACGACAGAGTCACGCATCCGGTGGTCTTGTAATGTCGATGCAACTAACAGAAAAGGATAACGCCAACACAGAGCTCTATCATGTTCAGACTCCAAAGGATTTCATTGATTTCACTCCCGAGGAAGAACGCAGCGTCGTTCGAAAGATAGATTTGTATGTTTTGCCTTTGATGTGCTTAGTTTTCTTTTCTCAGTACTTGGATAAAACATCATTGTCTTATGCTGCTGTTTTTGGAGTTAAAACCGACTTGAATCTGGACGGGAATCAGTACAGTTGGTTAACATCTGGCTTCTATCTTGCGCAGTTAGTGTCTCAGTTTTTCTACATGTATCTTTTGAGTTTGCTCCCAATTAAGATTGTCACAGGCGTCTGTGTGGTTCTTTGGGCAGCGGTGTGCATGTTGCATGCTGCTCCCCACAACTTTGCAGGATTTTTAGCTATGAGAATACTTCTAGGCTTCTTCGAGGGTTGCGTGTCACCATCGTTTGTCATTGTCACCTCGATGTACTACAAAAAGTCGGAGCACGGTCTGAGAACAGCGATATGGATTTCTTGCAACGCTATTACGCAAGTCCTTGCAACGTTTTTGTTTTATGGAATCGGAAAAGGTGAGAACCATTTAAGTATGGCAGTCTGGAGAGTCGGATACCTAGTTTGTGGAGCAGTCACTATCGTGGCTGGTGTTCTTTTCTGTGTCATGGTTCCCTTAAAACCATCAAATGCCTGGTTTTTGAACGAAAGGGAGCGTCAAGTTGCAGTCCACCGTATTCTTGCTGAATCAGACAGAGGAGAAAAAAACTCTTGGGATTGGGGTCAGGCTAAAGAATGTTTGACAGACTGGAGTACTTGGAGCTCTTTTCTGTTTGGATTTTGCGTGACCGTTACGTCGGGTCCCATTATATTTGCAAGTTTGATGATCAACAATTTCGGATACGACGAGTTCAAAACTATGGAATACTCATCTCCTTCCGGGGCAGTCCAGTTCCTTGCTATATGGGTTGGAGTGGCAATGCTGTGGAAGTATCCTAATCAGCGATGCATCATTATTATGATTCTTACTCTGGTTCCAATCATTGGAAATATAATGCTAATTTGCATGCGCAAAGACAATGGATGGGGTCTGATAGTGGGAGCTTGGCTTGGGGCTTGTATCACATCGTTCTATTCCATATGTTTGAGCTTAAATGCCTCGAACGTCCGTGGAAACACCAAGAAATCCATTGTCAACAACGCTTTCTACGTCGGCTACTCTCTTGCAGGTATTGTATATCCGCAATGGTGGAACTACAGCAAAGACCCTACTTATTTGACTGGTCTGATCACCGACTTGGCCTTCTGGGCATTATTTGAGGTGCTCGTTTTCGCTTACAGATGGAAATGCATCAAGGAAAATAAAAAGAGAGACGAACTGTTCAAAACGGGCGTTCTGCCAGAGTATGAGCCTGATTTGGATCTCACTGATAAACAAGATTTATACCATAGATATAGTTATTAGTATGGAATTGAATAATACCTGCTCAGAGTTATACCCTAAACTCAGTTTATACATCAAGAAAAAGTACTTGACTCTAGGCTTTCACCTCACACTTTAGTTCACCCCAGTTACTCTTGTAGACTATGCCGTCTTTCATGACAACACGTAAGTTGTCCTCGTACTGGTCCAAAACGCCGATGTCGTCTAGCGGGTTGCGCTCAAGGACGAGAAGGTCAGCGTAAAAGCCTGGCTTGATCTGCCCGATGAGATGGTCAACCTTAAGGGCTTCGGCGGGAGTGATAGTAGCAGACTTGAGGATGTCTGCCGCAGATAGAACCTCTGCCCGAAGCGAAAACTCGGATGTCTGGTATGCCGACAGGTTGCCAAGTAGATCGGACCCGTAGCAGATCTTAATGCCAAATTTCTTAGCACGAGTGAGGAATTCAAGACCACTGTTAAGCACGACTTTGTTCTTTTCCTGGGATTCGGCACTTAAAAAGTGGCTGAACTCTTTGGAGCTCATGATTTTGTAGGTGATAAGAGTTGGGGTGACGTAAACACCCTTGGAAGCAACTAGCTGCGCCGTCTCGTCGTCCATCAGATTGCCGTGCTCAATTCCCATGCAACCATTAAGCACACATGTGCGCACAGATCTTGAGGTGTACGCATGTGCAGTGACAAATGTGTCATAGGACTCGGCAACCTTGACAATGGCCCGGATTTCGTCCTCCGTGTATTGCATATTGGTAAGTTTATCTGTTGGAGATGCCACACCACCACCGCCCATTATTTTGAGAAAATGGGCTCCTTGGCGGAGATTATCTCTAGCAACTCTCATGCACTCAGTCACACCATCCGCAACAACACCTAGAGAGGGCATATGACAGTTGCAGTGGTCAGAAGGAATTTCGCGTCCGCGAAAGTCTCCATGGCCACCAGTCTGGGAGATTGCTGGGCCAGAGAAGAAAAGGCGCGGTCCTTTGATGACACCTTCCTCAATGGCCTGGAACATGGCAAATTCGGCACCCCCAGTGTCACGGATAGAAGTGAAACCTCTAGCCAACATGGACTCGATATTCTTCGCAGCACGAAACATAGCCGTGTCTCGCTGGCGTTGAAACAGATCTTTGAGGTTGTCCTCCCCAGGAGCTGCCAGCACATGAACGTGATTATCAAAAAGCCCAGGACATAGATATTTGCCCGTACAGTCGACAGCTGTGTACCCTGGAGGAGCTGCACCTTTGCAAACGTCGGCGATCTTGCCATCTGCTGTCAGCACGGTCAAGCCTTCGATTGCGACGCCCTTAGCGGAGTCGATAACCGTAGCATTCACAAAGGCATACTTTTGAGGAGCAGGAAGTTCCCAAGGAAGATATTCTTTCATGTTGTCGATGGGATTTGCTCGGACCGAAGTACTTATAGGATTCGGCTAGGAAACTGATAAAATCGCAACTTCCTATTATGGAGACTTATTTTAGGAAAGGAGCTGAATGATATGTCCCTACAAGGCGGAGCGGATAATACCATATTGTTCATCTGGAGGCAGGTATTCCTGAGCGATATTGCATTCAAGGAGAATACGCGTCTCCGATATGTGAGAAAGTATACAGTGATAAGAAAAAATAATACATTCTATTTAAAGCTCGTATCTGAAATCTGGGTTTTGCTTGTCCGTCAGATCTGCAAAAGCAAGATCTCCAGTCTCAGCTGCTGGTTTTCCCCACTTGCGGTTTCTCCTGTAGTAAATCACATACATCGCCCCCATAGCGGCTGCTCCAACACAATAACAGACCAGCATTGCGGTCTTAGCACCAACATAATCCGGAGCCTGCGCCTCAACAAATGTTTGGGGCCCAATCATATTTCCAGCACAGTATCCAATGAGGAAAACAGTGCTGACGACAACCTTTTTCGAGTGGCCAGCAACATTGGATGAGACGATAGATGCTATTCCCGCCATACATGTTGTTGACGTATAAATGATGTAGTATCCTGCAAGTCTGGATCCCCTAGGGCCTGTGAAGATGAGAAGACAGGTGCCAACCACGCAGAGAAGATTGACCAGTATCATAGAGATAAGTCTTTTATCCTTCAGGAACTTGTGGTTGATAATAGCCACTAAGGGAGGGATGACAACATCAATGGCACCACCAGGCATGTTCATTAAAATTGAGTCGGTAGTGCTGAATCCAAAGTCTGAGTTGAGTAAAATCGTTCCAAAATTATTGAGCCCCCCATTTGGAATAGCATAGGTCATGGCATAGATAAAGATCAGGTACGTTATTGGATCAAGTGCAGCTTCTCTTAGTTGAGGAAGTTTTAGTCGGTGGTTTCCAAAACCTTGTTGATTGTGTCGAGCTCTTTCAACACAACAACGTTTATCTTCTTCATTTAAGAACCAAGCTTTCACTGGGAGATCTGGGATATGAAGCATTGAGACGACACCAAGAAAAATTGTGATCACACCAGTGATAATGTAAAATAGCCTCCATGAGGCAAACGAGTGCTCTCCATCTCTGTGAACTTTCAGCCCATAGGCAATTGCTGCACCCAATAAAGTTCCTAATCCCTGAGAGCCGTACCAAAAACAAGTTCTCATAAACTGTTCCTCCTTCTTGTACCATTGAGAGGTCAGCAAGATGTATGCTGGATTCATAAATCCTTCAAACACTCCTAACAATGTACGACAGAGAAGAAATGTTGCAGCGGATTGGCAAGCTGCATGACACATTAGTACAATGCCCCAAATAATCACTGCTACTGACAAAGTTTTGGACAAGGGTAATTTCTGTAAGGCCAACCCAGCAGGGTACTCAAATACCAAATAGCCGAGATAAAAAGATGATCCTACCCAACTATACTCTTGCGAGCTCATCTTAAGATCTGTCCGAAGCCCCATAACCGCCGCATAAGAGTTGGTTGTTTTGTCCATCAACTGACAGGACATCAGTGCTGCAATCATTGGTAGGATATACCAGTCGATCTTTCTCACGAATTTTTTTTCGTATTCAGGATCTAAGGAGTAGTCTTCTGCAAGTCCTGTGTATTTTGCTGCATCGTCAAGATCCTTTTCATTCAAGTGAATGACTTTTTCATTCAGTGATATAACGGTTGATAGAGCCGCTTCTGTTCCATCCTTCATCCATTCGTTCGACATCAATAAAATAATCGAGACCAAGATTTCACGATGCCCCAAGATAAATATTTTTTCATTATCGCTGATAGGAAAAAGATGCGCGCGGATAAAATTACCCTCGCCGACAAAATGAATATGCAGTTTTTTTATAAACGGAAATCGGGGTGAGATATCGGACTGCCTTGCATATTAGCGAGGAAATAATTTTTAGTTTGAATTTCGACCAAGGATCATAAATTACCAGTGTTAAAGCAAGTGCTCCAAGCAAAGAAGGTATGCCAGGGTGAAAAGATGGAAACAGGTGTCAAAACTCAAATCGGCTGAGGTTGTTTCGAAAACTTCCAGCCTGCTGTCCAGGATCGTAGGGCACATACTATATTGAATGCACCTCGATGGGGTGCGATGAGTACGTAGGGCGAGGTGTAGTGAAAGGAGAGGTGCAAAGTCGGAGAGATAGGTAGCGAAGCGAGGGGATATATGTAAGAGGGGTGAGAGGTGAGAGGTGAGAGGGGTATTTAGAGGTAAATGGAGGTATTATGGAGGTATTATATGTTAACGAGAATGTAGTGCTGAAGGGGTGAGGGGTGTAGAGGTGAGGTGAGTAGGGAGTAGGGAGTAAAATTAAAAAGGAGGAAAAAATAAAGTTGGAGGGGGGGAAGGGGATGGAAAAAACAGAAAAGCAGGCGCGGGGTGGCGGGGTGGCGGGGTGGCGGGGTGGCGGGTGGCGGGTGGCGG